CATTTGAAGTCCTCTATGGCTTCAATCCGCATGTCCCTGTATCCCTCCTCAGAAATGCTGTCGCCCCGAATGCCCACCCTGCGTCGCAAAGTCTCGTGACAGCGCATCAGACGAGACATCACCAAGTTCAAGACCATCTACGTGAAGCACAGAAAATTATGGCGGGTCAATATGACAAGTCGCATCGTCATGTCACTTTCAAGATCGGCGACCTTGTGTACTTGGACGCAACCAATATCGCCACCAGCCTTGACTCACCTGGGACCAAGCTCCATACCAAAGGCAAGAAGCTCCGCTCGAAGTATCTTGGTCCTTTCAAGATCGCTGATAGACCCAGCGCCTTGAATTATCGCCTGGCGCTGCACCCTGACAGCAAGGTCCACCCCGTTTTCCACGTCTCCTTGCTGAAAGCCGTCGTTGTCCGCGATACTTCTCAGTTCCCGGATGCAACACCGCCTGAATTGTTCCCTCTCCCTATTGAGGATGATTCTGGTCAGACTTATGAAGGCGAATGGGAAGTCGAATCCATTCTCAAACACCGCAAGAGCAAGGGCAAACTCCAGTACCTGGTTAAGTGGGTCGGCTACCCTATCTCTCAGTCGACGTGGGAACCGGAAGGTCATCTTGAGAATGCAAAGGAGTTGATTCAGGATTACAGAAGTTCTTCCCATCTGTGAAAAACTTTTTTTTAAAAGGGGGAGTGTTAACAAAAGTGACTGCTTTTGTGGACAAGGCGAACCTTGCCCACATTTGCTCTCTCTGTTTGCGACCTTTCTCATTCGCTAGAATTAACCTTTATGTTTTCTACGATTCCATATCCCTAAACAACGCGTCTTCTACGCGCACTGCTATGGCCGAGGCCTGTCTCTACACATCTAGATCCCTTTATTAACAACCAGATACTTGAGCGTCAGCTTAAGTATTCATCACTTGATAAGAGTCTAGACACATCCTTTTTATCTTTATTTTTCTATATAAGCTGGAGTGTGTTCCCTCCAAGATTAGTTCCTTAGTCCCAACCACACCAATAAACAATCCTTCAACACACTTACCTGCTCTCTCTGCCTCCTGAACACTCCAGTCCCCACGACTCGTAAGTCTTGTCAACTTACTCTTGATCTTGATTCGTGATTCCTGACTTACCTTGATCCAGATCCAGATCCTGACGTCCCTTTTATCTTGACCGCGTCACAAGGCAGCTTCCTGTTTGTTTTCTGTCCTACCTGCAGGCTTCCTTCACACCACAGTTAATAAATCCCATGTCTTTGAGGGTTCTCATTAAGAAAAAAAAAAAAAGAACGACTTCATTAATTGCTTATGCTGTAGAATACATGTGTGAACACTCTTTAAGTAGGGCCTTCGTATGTACACTAGGGACTAAAGAGATCGCTAAAGTTATAGCAATGCAGTAATGTCTTGTTGAACGTTGTATCAAGAAAATAAAAACGCGTTCATTCGGTCCCTGAAGTTGCTCCAGTAGTTTAATGGCGGACTCATCGTGGGTCAAGGTTTGCACTATCCGACGGTTCCTTCCAGACTATGCTCTGTACAATGAACACAAAAGAAGCTGAGCATTGTGTCCTATTCGGCTCGGTCGCTTTGCTATTTGCTCTGTGGAAATGGGCGCAGTTCAGTAGAAGAGGCAGAGCATCAGCATGTGCATATGCGCGTTTAGTTGCCACCATTAGCCTCTGTTAATAACATAGTTTCCTGTGTTCTCCGCTCCCTTCCCCACCTATCTCTTACCCCCACTCCTCTCCCCCTCCCAAAAGGCATGCGCGGTTGATTGTACAGTTCTATGGAGTGTAAGTACACCTCCTCTAAGCATAAGGCATCAACTCTTTTCTTTTTTCATTTCTTTTTTTATGGTGCTCACCAGGTACCGGGTCGGAAAAAGCATTGGTAGAACCACAGCGAATGTGACCAGAGGCGCGGTAAAAACTGTTGTCCGTTCTAAAGTGTCAAGAGTGTGTAGACGTGGTGAGGTGGTTCCTCCGTCTTTTTTTTTTTTTTTTTTTTTGGTTCGCCGGCACATGAGATATTTTGGGGTTCAGAATTAAGTAAGAGATGTGGCTCCACACACCACACCGATTAGGTATTTATTTGTATTAAATGTAATAGTGAGCTGGAGGTACACTTGTTAAACTAAATATACAGTGAACTCTGGTGAAATATGCGACAGCACATGCTAGTCGGTAAGCTGGGGCGGTGTTCTAAATAATGTTGCATAGCTGCTCTGATGTTGTGGAGGGGTGAAGTATACCCAGACGAAGGGTCAAGGCGAAAGCGAGAGCGATGCTGTTACCTTTACTTTATAATTCCCATTTCACTTTGGGAGCCCCCGTGGCATCGTTCTTGGATGTCGAGAGCTTGAAGCAGTGCTTGCTGACTGACGATGATAGTGGTGCTGGCAACATCAGACTGGGGAGAAGCTCAGAAAAAGTGCGAGCTGGGCGAGCTGGGTTTTATTGGGTAAAGACTGAGGTTCAAGTAAGGGAGGCGCGTATCTTGAATGCAGTAGTGTCAATATTTCTGTCCAGTACAACATCTCTGACATTGTTCCATAGGGTCGGCTATCGAAGCAGCTTTGCCATTTTCTCTCCCTGCTTTGCAACACTCTTGGCCAGTGTTTCTCAAAAATATTCGACTTTTATTCGACTCGTGCTAGGCCAATGTAACTGTCGAATCGAATTTCGAATTTCATTCGAATTTTACATTGGCCTAGCACGAGTCGAATAAAAGTCGAATATTTTTGAGAAACACTGCTCTTGGCGATATAGAATGGCTCGAAACTTCTCTTTTGTCAGCTTTCTCCCTTTAATCCGTTTGTGCTTGTTAATGCGATTGTACGTACTGTCGATAGGGAAGGTCCTGCAACTTCTTGATTCGAGCCCGTAACGCCGCGTGGGAAGGTTAGGAGGCAACAGGAACAGTATTTAACCTCCGACGTTTTTTCTTTCGCCTATTGATGTGGAGAGCGCCTTGGTCACTTGAAGCGAATAATCATCTTCCTTCGCAGCTGTTCCTCTGTCTATATGCCAATGTATTTATATGGTTTTCATCCTGCACATACCGCCTGTTTTTTTACCAACGGCCTTGTCTAGTCTAAAATCCAGCAGATTCCCCTCCCTATCTCTTTTCATCAACGGCAACTTTCAAGGCTCCTCTTATTGTTATGTGTTACAGTCACTTTTGGCCGGTGTCCCCTGGATATTCCTCCGACGCGTCTGGTTGTCAAACATAGCACGTCCCCCTTGTTGTCGTTCAGATTCTTTTTGCTTTGTTCGCGCGACAACAACATAGCAATGGAACACCATTCACAACAACAAAACGCAGGGATGGGTCCATTCTTTTTTATTTTATCCATCCCACTTTATCTGTGCAGCGCCACTGAAAGCACCTTGTGGGTTATTTCTGCTATGGACGTTTGGAAGGCCTACTCACGAAAAAAAAAGGCGCAAGATAGAGAATAAGTTATGTAAAGCTGAATATAGCACAGGTTCCCACCGTCCGTCCTCTTCGAATGCCCTCTTTCTTTGCGTGTCAGCGGAGCGTCATCTCTCAAGGACGAATGAAGGACAGCCTGAAAGTGTGAGGAAGATGGGCACAGCAAGCGATCTGGGCAAGAGGACCCGGACCTGTTTTCCTTTATCTTTCGCTTTAGAATATTGACCCGACTCTGTGGGATGTCAAGGTGGCCCAACCAAGAAACCCTAATAAACAAGCAACAACGATGACTGGTGTATTTCCGACCCTCTATCGGACGAGTCACAAAGAACGGCATTGAGATGCGATGGCTATGTTACAAAGGGCGTTAAATCGGGCACAATAGAAATAGAGAAACCCAAACGTCTTCTTCGCTCTTCAGTTTTTTTTTTCCCTTCGTTATCATGCGAGTTGCATTACCCAACGAAAACCGAAAATTTCCCCACAAAATATTAGTGGCGAAATATGTTTCTTCCTTCACCAACAAAAATTGCTATCGACTGGCTGCACACATGTGTAGATGAACAGGATTGGACAGAAAGGAAGATAAAGCGAATGTGAAAATGCGTCGAAACTGGTCTACATGCAAGCTGCATCCTTTTCTCATTTTACGGTTGTTCTAGCATGTTACTGCATGCATTCTTTAGTGCCTTGGTTGCTTCGTCATTCCACGATCCACAGTAGTCATGCTAGTCAAGGCAGGTAATGTTGTAAAAAAATAACACCATCCGGGACGATTTATTTACCTATGAGGCAAGACGGAGGTCTTTCTTTTTTCTTTTGCACGAGGAATTAGGTTTTTACTTTTACAAAGACGAACCGATTAAACGTTCAGTGGATCTCCTTGAACTCCTCCTTTAGGCGCGACCTTCGCTCCCCTCTGGACCCTGACCGAAGCAACAGAGTTGAAAACAAGGAGGAGGATAGAATTGTGTATCCGATAGATATTCGATGGATCAAACAATAGGGGGAGCGGACACACGCCCAGGTGCCACAGTTCGCTTTGACCCCATCGCGAAGCGCAACGGCCTCCGCTCTGTGCTTGTTGTGCTTCTACAGATGGATCAAAAGAGTGAGCAGCAAAAGCAGTGGAGAAATAGGCTAGACCTTCGTCCCGTCCACCCCTCTCATGTTCCATCTTGTTCGCATACATAAACAAATACGCACGCACACGCCTCCTCCTGTCTTTTGTTGGTTCTTCCTGTAGAGCATGGAAGAAAAGTTTCCTAGTTCTTCCTCGCGTATACAATCCTGAAACTGTCTGCAGATTAACATGGGCCATCGTCTCGGCGTAACCCTGGAACTCACTCGCTCCCTGCTCCCCTATCCTCTCTCCTGGCTCTTCTCTTTCCGGGGCAATTGAGAGTCATCTCAGAATCCTTCGGTCCTGACCTCTGCCGTCCCATAAGATAGGAGTCTACGCGTGTGACGATTTAGTCATAGTTTCTCCGCTGCATCATTCCCCCTGCTGTCGGTCATCTTTCTCTCCACAAGTATCAGTGTGAGCTACTTCTGTGTTCGCTATGCAGGATGTTGCGTTGTGCGCAAAAAAAAAAAAAAAAAAAAAAAAAAACAGCATAGACTGGCACAGATAACAATAGGCCGCCGCTCAGTAGGACAATGTCAACATGGCATCACTCACTAACAACGAGAAAGGAGAGGGGAATAACGGCCTGACGTACTGCTTCCTAGCGCCTTGACCTTGGTATATTTATGCCCCTTAGACCGTCGTCGCGGGTCGTCGTCGTCGTCATGGAAGAGAACTTCTGCAGACTACAAACAGAGAGAGAGCTCAACTGGCTCAAAACAATAGAGCGGAGAAAGCGAGGGGTGCACGCATACGACTGCGCTTGGGATAAAAATATCAATCCTATGCAGAGTGTGTGGAGGAGTTTGGGTATGGGAATCTATCACGCAACGAGAAAAGGATGCTGCTGCAACTACGTTCACTATATGCAAGTTGGGCTGAACTAACACAAAGAAAATAATCATGACAAAGGGGAAATGTGTTGTTTTGATCCTGCACGTCGAAAAAAAGGCGCGGGAACGTCGTACAGCATTGACTTGGTCTGGGCGCGTATTCCGAATACGGATGTACCTTCGTATGCAAGTTACCTGCAAGTCTCTTTTTTTTCAACAGCTGCAAATGTTGCACTAAGAGAGGGAGCCGTTGTGGACTTTTTCGCGAACATTCGCGGGACAGCGGCATCTCCATAACCTGACTGACATTGGCTCCACACATACAAGACAACTGTACATGTCCGGTACCTCTATCGCACATGCAATTGTTTGTAAAAGGCAATGATCGACATGAGAAGGTTGGTTCTTAGTTGCTCTGTGAACCCACCCTCATGCTTATGCTTGAATACTCTCTTTTCTTCTCTTTTCCTTTCCTTATCTTTTTTTTTTTTTTTTTTTTTTTTTTTTTAGTAGTAGTGGTTGAGGTGAGACCCCACCGATAGATCCAAGCGTTAGCGGTGCTCCATGGCAATTGTAAAGATATCCCGGTAGCGGATGATAATGCGCATAGTCTACTGTCTAATCTTGCGGTTCCAGGGAACAAACACGAGAAAAAGCAACCATTTACAGGACAGCACTTGTAGCATTCCGCTGCTTACAAATAAATACAAAAAAAAAAAAAAATGACGCTGCGCAAGGAGTCAGGAGGGAGATTGACGACTGGAGGAAGCGTTTTCTATTTCGAGCATCCCTATTCCTCATTCCTGGGATGCATATCCACGTACTAATTTGTATTCATAAAGGGTGGGCGACCATGCAAGGATGCAACGTTGTGCGCACCCTCTGTTAAAACATCGACGGGCTTATACGCCAGTAAAAAAAAAATGCTGTGAGCATTTTTTTATAGTAAGAGACAACACAGGAATGTTTCGCTTCTCTCGGAGCCGGTGCATGGTAGCACAAACAATCCCTTATATTTGAAAAGCCCATGGCAAGCATGTCCTTAACAGTTGCCAGACTACTTTCTGTTGACTGAAGAAGGGTATACAAAAAAATAGAGGCAGTGGAGGCAAAGAAGCATAGGTGAGTGAATGGGCTACTATAAAATAACCCAAATGAGGAAGAGAAAGAGAGAGAGAGCAACTGCTTCTGTCATATGTCAGAGACCTGCGTTGTGCTTTTCCCTCTGAACTCTCTCTCCCAAACCCTGGATTCTCGTGTTTGCTCGCTGTCAGGGATGATCAGGCTAAATAGCGTCGAGTTCCTTTGTATGCAGATGATGATTCTCAAAGACATTCGAATGCTGGAAACGTTTCTTATCAAAAAAAAAAGTGGGTAATGTTCAAGTCAGTTATCCCCTTACAATACAGTGAATTTTACCCCATCGCTCGGTAGGCTATACCCTGTCCGTGAACTACGTAGCTGAATAGGAACGGTACTACAGAACTCTAAAGTGAACAGCGCGAAGCTTCTACGTAAAGTGATTTTTTTTTCTACGCGTCGTTTCTTCAAAAGACGCGTCGATGTACCCATGAACTATCAACGTGACAGCTCTATTTCTTTTCCTAATAAATTGTGGGGGGGAACCTCCGTATGTGGAGTAAAAAAGAATCATTCGCCAAAGTAACGGAAACAAGGGTAGCGCGAGGCGGACAGAGTCATGGGTCCAGCACCCAAACGCGTGATTACCGTCTCTCGTGCGGCGCACTCGCACGCAATAGATTGGAGATTGAAAGAATATTGTTGCCGACACGGCAACTTCGATGTCTCATGTGTGAGAGAATCGCGGGTAGACTACAGTAGTCCACAGCTTCATATACATATATTTTTTAAAAAAAGCCTAGGGTTGGATAAGAGCATTAAGATCGGTTCCTATCATTGGTATGTGAACTTCTCCTTTGGTTCTTTTCAAAAGCGAGAACCCCAAAGGTCGCTCTGCAGTTCTGTTCTCCTTGCAGGCGAAGCAGAAGCTATCCTCAACATTTTTTCTTGTGTCCTTTTCATATGGGATCTCATATGAGTGACGACCGAGAGACCAGACCTTTGCACGTTGAACATCTAAAGAAAAGAAAAGAAAAGGTGTGGGGTCCAATCTTGATGATGTGCATGCATAAATCAGATGCCAATGCATGCATACAGAGCTTCAGGGCGCCGGAATCATTGTCCAGAGAGATAAAGAGAGAGAGTGAAAACATGCGTGATGAGGAAGATACCTCAAAGTCCTGGTGCATTCATAGAGCAAGTTCGGGCCCCGGCGTATGACGGTCTAGCGATACTTCAATGCATGTGCTGACAGGGTTTGTTAATCCTTCTTGGAGATTAAAAAATTGGACGTTCTGTTGAGAACTACGCTATACATAGACCGGCAGGACCATTGATGCCATTAGTTCTGTATTGAACATTATATTCATCCACACCAAAGAGCCAGGACTCAGTTGGTAGGCCATTTGTGGTCAGCACGCATGATCTGGACCGGAGTCAGGGTAGCGGAAACTGCAATTTGGGGATGGCCGAGTTTTCAGCACGATAATTTCACGGCCATGGTGAGCCGTCAGGCATTGCTTATTAGGCGCGTGTAACCAGTCTGGCGCGAAATGGAGGAGTACAGTGGACATGACAAGGGAACCATAGTGAGCCTACGATTGGTGCTCAATAGCAATTCTGGGGCGAGAGATGAGCAGCACAGATCCAATGGAGGTTAACACATGCTAGGCCTCAATACAAGTTGCCGCTGGTCACGGAGATCAAAGTCGTGATATTGGCTCCGGTGTCTCTGTGTTTTAAACGATAATGCAAACAGAGCCAAGTATTAAGATTGGCAAGCAAGTAGTGAACCGGTTTATGGAGAACATATTCAAATATTACTCTTTCAGGCTTGATGCGGGAAGCCATCATTCCCTATTGAGAAGTATATGAGGTTCTTTCGGTAGTCATTCAAATCGCACAGAGCATTGCCAGATCCTAAACCAGGAATAGCTACCTGGTCCTACCGAAGGATCTGCTTTCTACACATTTGCTCCGTTTCGAAACAATTGCAATGGAAAGTTGTAAACAAGGTTGATAACGCCCAATATTTTTATTTGCCTGCAGACCAACCGCTAGTGCCTTTTCCTTTGCAAGCCGTGGAACTTATGCGTAGTTTTGTCTCCACCTTCCTGTCATACTTTTTTTCTAACCCATGTCTCTAACTGTGCTGGGATGCTACCTTGTCTATGTTAAATTCCGATGTTCGAGGGGTCATCTGTCCAATCTCCGCCTGGTGTCTTTCCCTTTATTCCATCCTACACCAAGGGAGATTTTGCGTAGTTCGACCGATGCGATGATGCGAATCACCATGCCCATCTCGCCATGCCTGCAACTGGACGCCAAAATTTTATGTCCATGGAGTACGTCCTTTTAGGTGTCCGCTCGCTCGTATCTAGCTGCCACTCATATGTTTCTCGATCGATGGAACAAGTAGCTGTTTCTTCGTCTACGGCCACGTGGTTACGCAGAAACGTGGTTGCTGCAGATGGTCGAGGTTAATCTCTTGTAGCAGCAGCAATGGTCTATCCGACACAGAGGTAACCAGTGGTCTTTGTTTGCAGGGTCCATGTTTGATTCGGATTACCTCAACTGGGCGCAATTTGCGTCTGGTCTTGTTCGTATGAGTAAGGGACGCGAACAAAGTGCGCGCGCGCGAAAGAAAATCAGCCCGCCCACTGACTTGCTTTGGTTCTATTCTCCTCTCTTCTCCGCATAGACGAAAAGTATTGTCTATCAAAATTGCCAAAGAAAGTAATGTGTGTCAATAGTATAATTTTTGCAGATCAGATTGATGGATCTACGTGTTTTTCTAATGTGCGTGTTCGCTTTTTCAACCATTGATCATCCGGTACAGCTGCCGGCGCTTTCTCTGTCAGCCAAATGGGCGACTCGATGGGTTGGCAACGCAGCAACACGGTGGGATTTTCCTGTGTGCAGTGGGAGAGCGAGAGGTTGGTCTGATGCGACTCGCAATCGAGATAAAGGATCCCTGGAGATTTCTTTTACGTTTAGGGAGGTTGATGATGTGCTGCAGCCAGCTGCAGAGAGTAATTCACACGTGAAAAACAGAGGGACTGAATAGCGGCGATTGAATGCAGCAAACGCGTTTTTAGATTATTATTAAAGCGCACTCGCAGTTGTTTTGTGATCTGAGCGTGAATTCACCAAACACAAAGAAACCAAAAGCGGTCGTGCTCGATATATCGAGGACTGAATAGGCCCTCCGATTCAGTCGATTCGATTGGAGGACAGACCAGGTGTTCACTTTCCTATCTTGTGCTTTGCTACTCCGCCAGTAAAGGCCATTTGCCCAAATGGACCTCACCTCCTTCATATGCATCCGGGTCGTAGCAGCAACACGTACGTGCAGTGTATGGATAGCCCGCCACCACCGCTGCCGACCTCGACCTCGACCTCGACCTCGACTTCGACCTTCTTTATCCGAACTGATGCCGCAATCACATTCAGTCTCATGGGTCCCTGGTTCTAAACAAAAGTGCCTTTCGAGATTGAATCAGCACCGTGTGGTGCACCGTACATGTACTCTACAGCACTATCCATCCTCCCTTGCTGGTGGAAAGGCAGACAAGTGGTACACAATCGTGCAGAATCGACCCACGACTCGGGTTGGTTTGTATTCAAACAAAAAGAGCCATCCATCTGTCTTGTTCATGTTTGCAGAGGAACATATGAAAGGGATCAGCAATGGAGGTTATTGTAACCCATACGCGATATGATATCCCCACCTTTCCCCCCTCCCCCTCCTCTTACCCCCTTTTTTTTATTTGCTTGCAAGCTACCTTCAACATGTTTGCTTTTTTAAGAATAAGCCGGGGGTGTTGGGACGTAACGATAGACACGGGTATCGAGTGATAGATTCTGAGGAGGACCGACCATTGGGCACATCTGGCCAACACCACCCTCCTTCTTTTTTGATGAGATCGCGGGGAAGGAGGTGAGGCTATGGCTGCCCCGTTGGCCCTGTATGACGGTGCTTACGGTGTCAATGGCTCATCTGTTTGCATTCCGTGCCACCCCCATCCCATGCTTTCACACCCCACTCGTATCCCCATGGCGATGACCGAGGACATCGAGCGGGGTCAATGCTAACATGCTAAGGCCATATGCGATCGGACATGGATGCACCAGCAGCATGCAACGACTCCAGCAACTGCGACAACAACAAACAACAGTGGTGTCAACAACAACGCATGCTGACGGGTTGCCCAAAAGTACACGCTTCTCCCCCCACGCAATACGCAATATCCAAAAGAGGGCGCGACATGTTTGAGTGCCGTGTAATTGCTATTGCTAGGCTGGATGGAGAGAATGCAGAGGGATTTCGAGTGTGGTCATTCTCGCTAACCAATGGACTACCACCTGTTGCGACGATCTCTTCCGATAGTCGACATGTTTGCAGAAATATGATCAAACCGTCCTATCGACGCATCTTCTCCACCATTCCTGTTTCCGTCCTCATTCTCTTGATTACTGCCAAGGATACAAGGATCGCAACGGACGACTGTGCATGCAATTGCGAAAAGTGTGTTATAGCGAGGCAGGGACCTTATCTCGTTCGCTGCTTTGCTGTGGATGAGTTGTGATCTATGCCCTAGGTTGATAATAGATGACTAAAGTATAGCCTGCAGCAGCAGAGGGTTTTTCCTTCTTTCCTTCCTTTTTTTTAGCGGGATTAAGTGAGTAGTAGTGCAAGCAAGACGCAATTGAGACCTGGTTTTGACATGGTCCTTTCCCCCCATCCTCTGTTATATGAAATCGATATCTCTGGCATAGACTGCAGTGATGATGAATGTATTGTAAACGGCTGGTCTTCAATAGGCATTGACTCAGTCGTATTCAATCGATGGTGTATTATATCCACAACACATGGGAGGAGGTCTGCCTCTGGCTCATCGACTATCGCCCCATCCCCCACCTTGCTTATCCACCCACTTCGCTGTCCCAGGGTAGAAGGCAATAAATAGGCAGCCTGTCCTCTTCTTTTCTTCCGCTTCTGGTTTCCTTGCTACGCCGCTTCCTCTCTCACCCTCTCACCCTCTCACTCGAAACCGCTTTCTCCCCCATCCTCCTCCTTTGCCACTTCCGCTTTTATTTTTATTCTTTATTCTTTATTCTTGTTCACTTTCTCTTTTTCTCACTCCTTTTGCTCCGTTCTAGTTTGCCCTTTAACGTCGAGCACAACAACACTCTCCGACTGCATTTAGCATCTCGTTTGTTCATTTGCATTTGCATTCCTCCCTTTTGTTACGATCTACTTGGTAAGTAATACTTTCATACTTCGGATTCTCTATTTTTTTTTTTCACACCTTGAATTACATAGTGCACTGCCTGGGTTATATGATCTCTCTGCCCCATGCTCTCATGTTTATTATCATAATCCCAACAACAAACAACAAATGACAGCAACGCGCGCGCTCTCCTACCCTCTGGGAAGGACGGCAGCAACAGCCACCCAACATCCTCAATGGTCCAATGGCGTAAGCAAATTGGCAAAGTAGCGGCAGATGGGCCGTTCCTTGTTCAACCTTGATACCCTTGTTCCCTATTTCCCCGCCCTGTTTCACTTGGTATTACATCCTGGAGACGCATTTCATATGATGCACCACCGACACGTGTCTGCGCTCCCCAATGCCCAACCCCAAAAGCACCACGTTCGACTTGTGCTTGCTACAGGGCGCGGCAAGCCATTATAGTCCGGGGCTGATTTCCTTACCCTGCAGCCCTTTTCTGCCTACCTGCCTGTCTGCCTGGTGGCTGCCTGCATGTATGCATGCATATTGCATTCTTTGGAAGTTTAGTTGATTTTTGCTGCCACACAGTCCTGTGTGTATCATTCCCTCCTTTCCGCCCCTTGTGGACGGGGCATACGATGGTACAACGGTCCTGTCCTGTCCCTCCAAATGCAGTCTCCTCAGGGTGCTTCGTGCGAGAAAAAAGAAGAGCAGACGGTGTGCTTTCCTGTGTTTTCTTCCTCTCCATCTGCCGGCGTACACTGAATTCATATCCCACAAAGACAAGGGCTCAAACGGTCCATGGACATGGACATGGACATGGGCGCTGTTGTACTCTCTTTCACCTTTTTCTATGGGATGTGTCCTCTGCCCCTACTCCATGCCCCTCAAAGCCCTTCCGTCGTCCCCTCGCGGTTTGTTCAGTACCCCTGATTATCCTCACCATCGACCAACTAACCAACCAACCAATACCCCCTGTGAGGCAGCAGCTGTTGGTCGCATATCCAAAGATGCATGTGTCTATGTGTCTATGTGTCAACAGAGCAATGTGCATTATCTCTCCTCCTCACCCTCACCCTCACCCTCACCCTCACCCTGCAATCCCCCTTTTCTTGCGAACGATGTTGTCGTCGTGTCAGTCGCTTCCCTTTTCTCTTCGCTCTTGCTGACCCTCTTTCTCTTATATACCCTCCCCACCAAAAGGTCCCTCAGTTCTCAAGTAAACCCAATCCATAATGCCCAAGCGAAACAAGACCGCCCGTGCAGCCGCCGCGGCCCCTCCTCGTCATAACTCCTCCGACTCTGAGAACTCGGACATCGAGGATCGTTCGCACTCTCGCACCTCAACCTCCTCGGTCGAGGAGGATCATGTCAAGGAGCAGAACGGCCACGCCCACATCAGCACCACACAGAAGGACAGCTCGGTTAGCTTCATCAGCCGCGTGAGCTCCATCCCCCTGATCCACGACAGTGTCACGACCTTGCACTCCTATGCCAAGGACAACAAGTACGGCCGCTATGCGCTCGATACCGCCGGATCTGCCGTCGAGACCGTCAACAAGTACACAGAGGGCTATCAAAGCCGTCTCCAGCCTCACCTTCAGCCCCACATTGCCAAGGTCGACCAGCTGGCCACCAAGTCTCTGGACCTCATCGAGGGAACCTTCCCTATTGTTACAAAGCCCACATCCGAGATTGTGACCCAGGTCAAGAAGCCCATCGTGTACGTTGAGGAGTCATCCAAGAACGCCTATACCCAGATCCAGTCGACCATCGATACCCGTGTCACCGCCCCTGTCAAGTCGGTCACCTCAAGCATCGCCTCTACTGCCTCTTCGACGGTCAACAGCATCACTTCCACTGCTGTCTCGACCCGCGATCAGATCACGACCGCTGCGACCTCGACTGCCAACAACATCACCACAGCGGCCACGTCGACGGCCACCAACATTGCCACCAAGGTCAACACTCATGCTACCCCCTTGGTTGATGGCCTTGAGACAATCGTCAACCGTTACTTGCCTAGTGATGCCGAGTTCGAGAAGACTTCCGTTGTTCAGACCAACCAGGCCACCCGTGTTGTCGACATTGGTCGATCTGTCTCCCTTCGTGTCACTCGCCGCGTCAGTGTTGCTGTGGCTCCTGTCACCAAGTCCGCCAATGACTTGCGCACTGCTGCCGAGAAGAATACCGTTGTTGTCAAGTCCAAGGACCAGCTCAACGCCTTGAACACCCGTCTCACTGCTCTCCTCGAGTCTCTTCGTGTGCACTCCAAGGAGCTCCAGGAGAATGTTCAGAAGGCCCCCCGCGAGGCCTCTAGTAAAGTCCAGCTGCGTGTCTCCGAACTGAGCACCAAGGTACTTTCCGAGATCGACTCGCTTTCATCCTACTTGAAGGAGCACAGTCCTGCATTGCCCGAGTTCGTCCAGGTCCGCCTTCAGCCCCTGGTGTCCTTTGTCAACGACCGCTACGTTGTTATGAAGGGCGAGCTTAGCAAGAAGGACGTTTCTGCTGTTCAGAAGGCACGCAACATTCTCCACATGACCACCGAGGAGACTTTGCCCATCTTGCAGAACGCTGCTCAGGATATTCGTGAGTCTTTGACCAACTATCAGGTCAAGGCTCAGGAGAGTGTTCACAAGGGTCTGATCAAGGTCCAGGATGTCAACTCTTCCGTACATCTGGCTGCTGCCCGTGTCTACCACTCTGCACGAGTCATCCTCGTTGGAAAGTAGACATGTCTTATTCAGTTAGCTTTTCTTATTTCATTTAAATAAAACTTAAGAAAAAAATGGAATATTGGTCAAAGCGAGACGAATGAATGCAGCCTTTGGCACACCAGAAAGACAATGCAGCAACGCAGCCTAAAGGGGCTACCATTTTCTGCATTGTTTGCCTGAGCGTCCTTCGATTTATTTATCTGATGCAAGTACCACTGGATCAAGGTTCATGCGGAGGCCAAGAAATGAACATGAAAATGTAGTTCTGGGGAAGTCGAGGGAGACGACGTCAGTGGTGGTCCCCTGCAGCCGGTGCTCAACTTGATCGATATCTCCAGCGCCTTATCCTGGGACTGAACGAGGGGCCCTGAAGGCAGTGCTTTGTACTTTGCAACAACGCTTTGATACTCGGAAGCGTAGCCTTTTGGGCAGCCTGGCACAGAGAAAGATATCAGGTGACCAAGGCGCTGCAAAACGAAAAAAACGGTTACCCATTGGTCTTCTTTGACATCTCTCTCTCTTGCCCTGATCCACACCTTCACAGCTTAACCCTCAAGTCTTCCATCTTACCATTCCACCCATTTCACCAACAAACCCTCGGTAAGCGCTCCAATCTCAGTATCTCAGTCCAAAAACCGATTCAGGGCACACTCACGCTTCCGCGGGATTCAGGAACGGAATCAATTCTCGTCGACTCTAACATCGTTTCTCGGCCGGAGGACAGCTAAGGCTAAGATCCGACAGTGATACATTCATAAGTCCAGGATCAATTGAGGCCAGTTAACCTCTAAAGTACGCTGGCGCCCAGCACAGCACTCTGTCCGACTCATTAGAGCTCAGCGCACCCACCAATTCCAAGGAATAGCAATTTCGGTGGCAAACTCAGGCGGTTCTCATTCTTGGCGTCCTAGTTTTTTATTTTTATTTTTTTTTCGTTGCCTCAATACGCAAGGATCGCGATCTTTTTTCGGGCCAGACACTGTGGACAGTTCGGTCGTGATTTTCATGTACAACACAGCTCTGACAATTCTTGGCAGATAATTGCTGTTTTACTTCCTTTTTCGTCACCGCACCCATTCATCTACTCACGTCTTGTTCACGTACATAAGCGTCCAGAAAGAAACTCTCCAATCAGAGTGACGATTGCCCGCCATGGTCGACACACGCCCGACGATAAAAAATGCGGACATGACAGAAGAGATGCAGCAGGAGGCTGTTGAGTGTGCCACTCGAGCGTTCGAAAAGTACACCGTCGAGAAAGATATCGCTGCCTTCTTAAAGAAGGAGTTCGATAAGAAGTACGGAGCGACCTGGCATTGCATTGTTGGACGCAACTTTGGAAGTTATGTTACACATGGTAAGCGTACATAGTCACTGCTAGAAGGACTTGTGGTATTGCTAAGCATTTGGATACTGAAGCGCTCCCTCATTCCCCTGTTGTCGACCATTAGAAACCAAGCACTTCATCTATTTTTACTTGGACCAGATTGCAATCCTGCTCTTCAAGAGCGGATAGATTGCGTTCTTAGCGGTTTCCTGTATATTACACGAGTGCGTCTCACAGGAGCCCACGCATCCTTTTTTTTTTTTTTTTTCACCAAAGTTGGGTTCGCAGAACCCCCAATCATTAATTAGCGCCTTCTAGCGATGAGCACACTGACATTTACCACTTCACTAAAATATCCATGTTCACAAAACTTCATCTTCTGAAGAGCAAGCCAATGTTCTATCCACATCTTCCATGCATCGGCAGTGTGGAAATCGGATCGTTTGATGGTGATACAACTTGATAATCCTTTATGTATGTTCCTGTGCAGATTGCCCTTCAAGTCAATATGATCCCTTATGCGAATTCCTCTGCTGAAAAAGCCAGCTACCCTCCCTCATGCCTTGACGTCCGTGCCAGTGCTAGCCTCAGCCTCACCAGCCTTCTTGGCCGCCTGAACGCTGTGGCTAGGCCTCATCCTCCAGCCCTTGAGACGGTTCAACATCCTTGATCGCTCATTGACAGCATCCTGGATTCCGAAAGCGGCGCTATCGGGAGCATCTGGCCATTTAAATTCTTGATCGATTGTGACAACCGCCTTCTTGAACTTTTGGCGCTTCAAAATCGTGTTTCCTCCGGAACCCGCGAGTTTTGCGGGCATGTTGGCGGTGCGGACGGTGAGTACGTTGAGCTTATAGATATTGGAGAGATAAGACTTGATATCAAACTTGTTCATCGAGGGAGGGACTCGGAAGGTAAGAGTGTTGGAGACGGCGGGGATGTTGGGTCCATTGCGAACGAGTTTGAGTACTGTCGAGGGGAAGTACAGCTTCTTCAATCCTTCCTTGAGCATTGGCATGGCTACTTGTCCGAACTGTCTTTATGGGATAGGGTAATGGGAGTCGCCTTGCTGATTCGAAAGTGTTGTCTTGGGCCTGAAGAGCTTGAGCAAAGGTTGCCTAGACACGGATGGTGAAGCTGAATGTAGGGTCAGGGTGCACTTGTTGTCTTTTCCGTTCTCCCGTTCTCCGGGGAAAGGATCCCCTGAGAATGTCGTCCCAAGGGGACTGCCGATTTGTAGACGTTTGTTTTGATTTTAATTACTTTTTCTTTTTTTCTAATGAAGCCACATTCTTGAGCCAACAGGCTGTTCTTGTGCATGCTGCCTTATATGTTTTCTGCCTGTCTTTTTGCCCTGCCGCCTTCACATCCAACCCTCAGCGATCCTTCTTTCTCTCTCGGTGTCTCCTGTTTTGTAACGCTGCTTTCGTCTCTTGCATCCCATACTTCGAGCCAACTTTCCCGGTCTTCAGAGTTTGTACATCATGTCGAGCGATTTCAAGTCCTTGACGGTCAAAAAGTATCCCCGTCTTCCAGGACGCAAGACCGCAGAATCCAGATACTGGCGCAAGTTCAAGGTAGGATACAACACCATCTCGAGTCGGCACCAGAAGCTGTATTGTTTGCATGTTGATACTAGGTCAATTGTGCCTCTCCGTCCATGGCTACTATCATTTGTTGCTAATGTCTGGTTGTGTATGATCGATCTCCTGTAGTCCCCAATTGTTGTCAAGGAGTTCGCTGCCGTTTCATCTATTCACTTCTCAGAGACTAGTCCATACGATTTTGCGGTGACAGCTTCGACACGTGTCCAGATCTACAGCTCAAAGACACACCAGGTCAAGAAGACTATTTCACGATTCAAGGATGTAGCATATTCGGGAACGATCAGAGCAGACGGACGTCTTGTGGTCGCAGGAGACGCAACAGGCCTCATTCAGATCTTTGACGTCGGGAGCAGAGCCATTCTCAGAACATTCAGGGACCACAGACAGTAAGTACCTAATTGCCCTCACAAGATGAAGCAGTGGCTTTGAATGATCAAGGGAGCAGATTATTAAATATGGACGTACATCTCTGTTGTCGACTTAGTCCTGTCCATGTGGCCAAGTTCTCAAGCGACAAGACCCAGATCATGTCTGCTTCGGATGACAAGACTGTCAGGATTTGGGACATGCCCAGCGAGACGCCCTTGATGATCTTCAGTGGACACGAGGATTACATCCGCACCGGAATGGTCTCTCACGACAATCCTCATCTGATCCTGTCCGGATCCTATGATCAAACCGTGAAGTTGTGGGATATGCGCACTCAGGGATGTGTCATGACCATGAACCACGGCGCTCCCGTCGAGTGCGTAGAGATGTTTCCTGACGGCGGAGTCGTTGTCGCGGCTGGTGGACCAAGTCTGAAGGTCTTTGATATTTTGTCAGGAGGACGTCCCATTCACTCTCTTTCCAACCATCAAAAGACTGTCACCTCACTGTGCTTTGACCACTCGTACTCGCGACTCTTGACTGGTTCTTTGGATCAGCACGTCAAGGTCTACAATGTTCAGGACTACAGCGTCGTACACAGCGTCAAATACCCAGCACCCGTCATGAGTGTTGCTCTCTCGGTATGTACTCGGCCTTTAATATTTCTCATAGGCTGGACAGCCTACTGTTGACAACCACTAATTGAACATTCGTTGCTGTGGACTATAGCCTGATGACACACATTTGGTAGCAGGTATGGCCGGTGGTTTGCTCTCGATCCGTCAGCGTGTTGTTAAGAGCGCAGAGGTGCAAACAAGGCGTGCACAGGAGGAGCAAGTCCGCGCTGGAAGCTACAAATATTTCGTCCGAGGCCAAAAGACGGCGGGCGAGGGCGACTTTACAGTGGAATCACAGAAGAAGCGTCGTCTTCGAGAATATGACAGATACCTCAAGGCGTTCCAGTACGGAAATGCCCTGGATGCTTGCTTGAGAACCAACCAACCTGCTGTCACGACCGTCTCGCTTATTCAGGAGTTAATTCACCGTGATGGTCTCCGTCAGGCTCTGTCAGGAAGGGACGATATCTCACTGGAGCCTCTTGCACAGTTTTTGGTCAGGAACATCAACAATCCCAGATACACGGCACTGCTGGTCGATGTGACCATGGTCATGATCGACATGTACACAACTGTCTTGGGACAGTCCCCCCTGATTGACGAACTGTTCATGAGGTTGCGAGAAAAGGTGAAACTGGAGATTGCGTTTCAAAAGCAATTGTTCTCGGTAGTGGGATCGATGGAGATGTTGTTTGCCAAGAGTACTTCAACCTCCGTGGGCGTCGCTGTCCATAACGAGCTGGCCTCAGCGTCCGCGAGCAGCAATGTCATTTCTTCTACAAGAGCAAGAATAACGCCATCCTCGACTGCCCCATCAGAAACAGCATCATCAACCTCATCCACGATACAGTCAAGCATCAAGGCATACTAAAAGAGAGCAGTCATCTTATCATCACCATCATCTGCTCGACTATCTACAAACTCATTTCAGTTCAAAACGGATTAGAGTGCCGGCTGGACCACCATCAACGCATAGTAATAAACTTTTTTTTAAAGTCATTCATTCAGTCCTGGCTCGTTTTCAAAGGGTTGCCTGATCAAGCAAAAGATGGGCGACAATGAATGCCCATATTTGGAAGGTGAGATGGCCTGTGCCCACAGCTGTAGACTCTTAAAAGGCCACTTGTCCTCTTTCTTCCTCCCTACTTAACAACATCCCCAACTCTTATCTCTCTATCCTATCCGCGCATCTATCAAGAAAACATGCATATCGTTCAGTTTGATCCTTCAAAGTTCAATCATCAGCACGTTATTTGTGGAGGTTACAGTTATCGTAATGAACCTGTTTTTTTTTGCTATCATATGTCATTTGTTGTCCCCTATCCACATTCACTAACCCTAACAAGGATACCAAAACGATAGATTATGTCGACGAGGGTAACAAAGCTGGGATTGCTGTCATCCTAATCCATGGGTTTCCGGACCTGTGGTATGGGTGGCGCCATCAAATTCAGTTCCTGGTTGGACTGGGTCGATACCGTGTCATTGCGTTGGACATGCTGGGCTACGGCGGGTCCGACAAACCTCGAAGCGCAGATCTAGCTACGGACACGGATCCGACGGAATGTCATTATCATCATAATCCTGCATACTCTCCCAGAAATGTAGCCAGTCATGTCGTTGCACTGTTGGATCATTTGGGAGTGGAAAAGACGGTGTTGGTCGGTCATGATTGGGGAACCGGGATCGTTTCACGTGTAGGGTGGCACTTTCCTGATAGAGTCCTTGCTGCAATTGCGTATGTATTCCACTTGCTACTGCACTGGAGACATGCTGCCGTCTTTTTTTTTTTTTTTTTTTTTTTTTTTTAACTAAAGGGCCATGTCCTTGTTAATATGGCACATCATAGCATTGGCAATCCGTTTAGGCCAATCACGAAAGAATTAATGACAATTAATGACTATGTTAACGAGAATCCGGCGTTTCAGTACTTTGAGCACTTTGTGAGCCCAGAGGCGGTTCAAGATTTTGACGAGAGGGTAGGCTGTCTGTATCGCTTTCTCCTGCTGTGCGTTTCGATGCCATCAACTTACGATATCATGATTCCCGGACGCATGCTTCACGATAGATCGAAGATATTGCCAATGAACTGTTCTCAGAAGAGAATGGACATAGCGAAGAGGTAGTATTTAGCAGGATCCTATCAGAATGTCGCGAGCAACCCTGGATAGGTCGTTAATATGTTTGATACCTCTTACACCTCTTAGGATCGAGCGTACTACCTGAGCAGCTTGAAGAGAGGAGGTTTTCATGGGCCGCTGGCCTACTACAAGACCTTCAAAGCGAGCCACCAAGAAGAGCAATGTATATCGCTACTTTATCACTCGTATGAAGGGCATTTCGCATCATAAACAATGGTGCATGGCCACAAAGACGAGTCATTAAAAGTTTGCGACATACATTCTCAGATTTGATAGGAAAAAGGTTTGCGATTCCTACTCTTCTCTTGATCGTCAACAACGACCCGATCCTTCATCCAGAGTATTGCCTCCAAGTGCCCAAGGACTACTTCGACAACCTTGAGATCGACTACGTTGAGACTGGAGAGCATTGGATCCTGACGCAGAATCCGGATACCGTCAACCGAAAACTTGAGCGTTACCTGGGGAAAATCTCCAGCAGCTTCGACTATCAGGCACGCAAGAGCACACCCAGTATCAAGTCAACAATTGGCAGTCTCGTCCGTCGTCGTACAAGCGCGGTTCTTAGGATCCCAGCAGTAGCAGCGGGCGAAACTGATTTCAAAAACTGGTCAAGTGTACCCGGCGGGAGTTCGAGTTCTGCAAAGAGAATTAGGGCTACAGAGCACGGCCACATCTTAAGCAAACTTTGATTGATACCCCAGTTGCGCACACATAATAATAAAGACGGACTTGACGTTCGATCAGCCTCTTGGTTTATGTTGACGAATAGAGTTTTCGAATGAAAAGTGCTCTCATCGATTCTTGTGAGTAAAGTTTTATCTTCCCACACATAAAACACCTCTCTTCTTTTCCCTCTTATTTCTCAGCATCGTCCTTTCACGCTCTTCCTTTTAACCCCAGTTCACCTCTTGAACATGGATTTCTCCAAGATCCATATCTCTGCCGATAACCCTGATGTCCTTCCGACTCTGACATATGTTCTCGACAACCTGCAAGCCGTCGAGGAGCGCCATGCAGAAATTAACTCCAAGCCAACTGTTCCGGAGTATGCGGTCTCCAGGTGCGCGAGAAAAAAAAATGATATTCTTTCTGAACGAGAGCTGCACCAGGATACATTTTTACGCGTTAATATTCTTTCATCAGCTTCAACCACAAGTATGCCACTCTCAACGGCTACAAGTATCGTGAGTGCACAATTGTGATCCTCTGCATGGTTCTTCGCTGCTAACTGGTTGTTGCTGTGTTTCAGTGCTTTGTACCTGACCTTTATCTTCTTCACCTGCTGGTCATGCCAGATTACGTCGAGGAGGGAGATCCCAACAACGAGACGCTGATCCTCATCCATGGATTCCCTGACTTGTGGTATGGATGGCGCTACCAGATCCGCCACTTGGTCAAGCAGGGCTATCATGTCATTGCTTTCGATAGTCTTGGATCCGGTGAAAGTGTAAGCCCGTTATGTGGTCGCATCATTACATGGCGTGGGGGTGTATGAAAACACACAGAGGCATGTTCTAATCATTATACACTGGTACCAACGCTTAGGACCATCCAAGGTGCGATGGCGATAACTATGACCCGTACCGTGCCAAAAATCTTGCTTCCAACCTGATCGCGTTTTTGGACCAAAAGAATCTCGACAAGGTGGTCTGGATTGGCCATGACTGGTACGAAGCGTGGGGCAAAAACGAAGGTGCCCATCAAAATTTTGCGTTGCTGAGCGTTTTTTATACCTGTTTTTACAACGTAGGGGTGCCATTCTCGTTTGGAAGATTGGAATGTACTACCCGGAGCGCTGCCTCGCCAACATCAGGTATGTTTGTTACGCAACCGTGGCGCGCAGATGGTACACTGCTTCACTCACAGTTTTGGTTTTCGGTACAGCTGGCGCATATTTGGTAACCAGTGTTCGCTTTGATATAACAGTGTCGGAATCCCGTACAGTCAGCCTACCTTTGAGTACGTCCCGGCGCAAGTTCTGGCCCAGCACTTTCCTCAGTTCAGATACTTTTGCCTGTTCCAAACCAAGGAGCCGGATACGTGGTTCGAAGGCGATGTAAGAATCCTGATGGATTTTTTTTTGTCGCGCATTCTTCACACATCTTATTAAGCTTTTTATGCGAGTAGCCCAAGAAATTCGCAACAGCCATGTTCAATTCTGTTTACGGCTCGGGCATTGGTACATCGGTGCAAGTAAGTATTCACATTAATCGAATTCTGTATGGCATTAACGATGGCGAACATTACGTGCGTAACCTGACCTTTATTGGCTCACCCTCCTCATGGTTCATTAGGAGAAACAATTTTACATCGACAGCTTTTCACAAACCACCTTGCACGGCGCTATCAACTACTACCGTGCCGTCCCATTCAATCATGAAGACGAGCTACGTAAGTTTGATGACTATGCCATGGGTTTTCGTTTCCATTGTGAGTTTCAATTGCTCACTGTTTTACTACATCATGTTGCCGTTCTTATCACAGCTTTCGTCGGCAAGCCCTATACGGTTCCTTCTCTTCAAATTATCATTGAAAAAGACCCTGTGGTGACTCCGGCGCTGATGTCTTTATACAAGACCGACACTGCCGTGAACCTGGAGAAAGTCTCGATCTCGGAAGGAGGCCATAATGTCCACACCGAGAATCCTGAAGGCCTCAACAAGGTCTTGGATGATTACCTGGCCAAGGTTTTCGATAAGAAGAATTAGCCGTAGGCTAGACTAGTGAAGGAGCAGGAAAAACAGGGCGCAATAGAGCAACTCAATTGGGTTGGCTACAATGAGCTGCTGTGCGACCGCTCTCGTCTCTTTGAAAGCATTTTGTACACCCGTTCTTGCATCGAGGCGAATGGTTACTCCGTCAGAAACTCCTGTTGACAGCACGGAAGAAAAGCAGGGAGCCCATTGAACGATGGGCGCAATAAAAGATAAAAGTTCCTTTCTTTCCCTTTTGTTTGCTGCTATATCTATCCCCTCCTCATTGCCATTCTCACCATAATCACTCTTCCCTCCCACGTTTCCAGAATGTCTGTCGCCCCAAGTTCTCCAGTCGATGCTACCAACATCGATTTGCAGAAAACGTTGCAGGGGGTTATCGACAATCTCCCCGCCATTGAAGCTCACCACGCTGCTGTATCCAAGCCAACGGCCCCAGAACACGAGGTTTCGAGGTATGCTTGGATAAAAGGACGGGCGTTCCATACGGCCTTGCACATCGTCAGAGACCAATGCTAAGCATTTTGTTCTCATATCTGTTTACATGGATACACTAGTTTCAACCACAAGTATGCTACCCTCAACGGCTACAAGTATCGTAAGTGCACGATCGTGATCCCTTGCATGGTTCTCCGCTGTTAACTGGTTGTTGCTGTGCTTCAGTGCTTTGTACCTGACCTTTATCTTCTTCACCTGCTGGTCATGCCAGATTACGTCGAGGAGGGAGATCCCAACAACGAGACGCTGATCCTCATCCATGGATTCCCTGACTTGTGGTATGGATGGCGCTACCAGATCCGCCACTTGGTCAAGCAGGGCTATCATGTCATTGCGGTCGATAACCTCGGTTATGGCGAAACTGCAAGTCTAATTTTTTTTTTTTCATAATTGGGTTATCTACAATCGCACGTCGACAAAGCAAACGCGACGTATTTCTGATGTACATGTGTTATTCTCTAATCGATATTTAGGACCATCCAAGATGCGACGATGGAAACTACGATCCGTACCGGACCAAGAATCTCGCCTCTAACTTGATCGCTCTGGCAGACCATCTCAATCTCGAGAAGGCTGTCTGGATTGGTCATGACTGGTAGGATAATGAGCATTCTTTTTCACGGTATAGGATGACTGGTGCTTTCCATACTCAGAGTCTTCGTTATGCCTGGTTCATATTAGGGGTGCCAACGTTGTTTTAAAGCTTGGTTTGTTTTACCCGGAACGTTGTTTGGCTGTTATCAAGTAAGCGGGCTACCATACGTATCAGGGGCACGGAGGATGTGGTCAGCTCGAAACCCCAACACTTAAAACAATTTTGCATCGATCGTTCCGTTGTCTGACAGCATCGGAGTCCCCTATGCGCAGCCCCAGGCAGAGTATCTTTCGCCATTTGCGGTCGCAGAGGTGTTTCCCCAATTTAAGTACTTTGCTGTGTTCCAAACCAAGGAGCCGGAGACCTGGTTCAACGGAGATGTAGGTCCCCAATTGCCTGTTTGTTCCTTTACATCGCTTTAATGTATTCTTAAAAAGAAGAAGAAGAGTGCAAGCACTAAGAACAATCCGCTGGGTGAGGTTTGCAGGGCAATATGTTTTCTACTGCGCTCATCAGCTCCATCTACGCACATGGTACTGGTACATCAATTCAGGTAAGTGCTTCCCTTAGTACTATCGATACCATCGGCAATATTCTCGTCACTACAACGCGCGTTTTTTTTTTTAAAAATAATCGTACCAACATCACCCTTCTTCTTCATGTCATATAGGAGAAGCAATACTACATTGACCGCTTTTCGCATACCACCCTTCATGGCGGCATAAACTACTATCGCGCTACGTTTTTGAACTATCAGGATGAACTTCGTGAGTGGCAGTTTTTTCGGATAAATCGTTACGGCAGAGTTGTGGATCGTCCTCAAAGCTAACTGATACGCACTATTTATTTACTTCCACAGCATATGTCGGCAAGCCCTACACAGTCCCTGTGCTTCAGGTCGCTGTGGAGAAGGACCCAATCCTGACTCCGGAGTTCTGGGCTGTGCATAAGTTCGACACTCTAGTAAATTTGGAGGAGGCCAAGATTCCCGAGGGTGGACACAATGTCCACACCGAAAATGCTGAAGGAACCAACAAGGTCTTGACAGAGTACCTGGCAAAGATGTTTGGAAAGAAAGACCAGCAGCAGCAGGAGCAAACTAAGGTTAAGGAAGAGTAGTCCAGCAGTCGAAAGAGGATCTCCAGTAGACAGGGAATAAATAGCGAGCAAAAGAGGGACAGTTGTCCTTCACCCAATCTTAGCGCGCAGGAACTTGTTTACACTCATATGTGTAGTCTATAGTCTTCATTTTGACAGGATGAGCGGTGCTGTGCGCTTTGTTAACCATCTCCTTCCTGCATGAAGGAACAAACACCGGTGAGCCCAAGACAATAACAACAACAACAAAAAACCTTCTGTACTGTAAGAGCACTCATCCAAGGCTCGTTGAATACGGTCTCTGAAGGAAGCATACGACAGTCTCGTAGCTATCGAAGCCCATCATGTGGCTATGTACAAGCCGACAGCCTCGGAGTACGAGGTCTCCAGGTATGCGGGGGAGGAATACATAGTTCTTGAAGCAAGAACTACGGTAGAATCCATTGCTGACACTTTTCACGTTGGTGTCCCTTCTTCCACTTCAACCACAAGTACATGATTCTCAACGGCTACAGATATCGCATGGGTATTACTATCTCAATGAGCATTCAGCCCGAAGGAATCAAATCGTGAATCTATTGTGTAACCAAGTTCATGATCGCCATCGCACGTTTCATCCAGGGCGTTTTGGTAGTGGGAGGTACCGGTTGAGTCCGCCACGAAGAGTGGTACGCGTAAAACTTACGACGTTGTATTTGCTTCTCCTGTATGACACGAAGAATTATGAGATTTTGGCATGAATCCTAACAGGTGCGTTGTCAAGACGAAAATAATTCCAAGCGACGGTATCCACACGGTAATAGAGAAAAAACACTTAAGCCGATGCACCAATATCATTACCGTAGATGGCACTGAGCATTACCCTACAAAACGCCGTGGGCTACATTTGTCATTTACAACGCTTGCATTCGACGACACCCTCGACAATTTAAGAGCGCTGAGCTACAGTACATTAGATATCTTACGTTTCCTTCGAACAGTGTCTGCAGTTCCTCTGTTTAATAAACCTTAAAGTCTTGCAATCTGGTGAACTCTTCCTGGGGCTTCTGCAAAAGGACTTCTGACGTTACATTTGGTAAAAATGAGGTGCATAGTGTTAGCAATTCAGCTTTGCTTTCTCTTTGGGCAGGAGTGGTAACACAGCCGGCTGACATTACGCGAGCAGCGCTCAGGAAAATACAGGCAGACCTTCCAAACAAAAGTGGAAGTCCTATGCCGACGAACAGGACCCCTGTAAGAAGGTGTAAGATGCGTGCCCAGATTTGTGTCCACACGCCCGCTCAGATGTCTGCGCAGGTGCCTAGGCGCCTCCAGCTAGACTTTCAGTTGTCTGATCGGCCGTCAGCCGCGCCGCTGCCCTCCTCCACACCAGCCACCAATAAGACCAACACCTTTGGTATGTCACGCGCAGTGGACACCATTATACCGCTATCGAGTGCCATTTTTCTGTGGACAACACCCGAAGCTGCTTGTATGCGTGCCAGCGTCAGAGCCTGCTTTGCCTCCAGCACGGGCCACAGCCTCAAATGCGGGTATTCGATTCTCCAGCTACTCCATATCCGAGAACATGCTACCCCGGTTGAGAGTTCCTTTCTGCTTGCTTTCCTCAAGCGCTATCCAGGACTCACGGACGTGGCGCTTCTGGCTATCCCTGAGACTCGTGCAAGGAACCTACTACAGCTACTCGTATTCCACTGCTCCAAGGTCGGCTCGGTACAGTCCAGCAATGGTTTAGAAAGGTGCCAAGGGTACGGCGTGGAGTCAGCTTGTTTTGTAGAGATGGCCCTACCACATAGGTACCAGCAGCTGTGGAGATATGTGTTCGCCATGGAGATATATGTTCTCTATGGAGAGATGTGTTCGCCATGACCAGGAGTCGACCCCGGACGGACAGATTGTAAGTCAATGGCTCTTACCAACCTGGCGAAGAGCCGTGCACGGTATAAGAATCAAGGTGAATTCTTTGGTTTCCACCAATCGTAGTGATTCATGTGTCGAGGGGGTCTACACCATGTCTTCTCGGCTAAGAGGGTTCTGGGTTATGTGTTGAAAATGTTAATGCGAAAGGCCTGGTGCCCCTCGACACATCTTTTGACTTTTTCTTCCATGTGCTATATCTTTTTTTTTTTCTTTCTTTTTTTTTTTTTTTTTTTTTTTTTTTTGGCACCCATTGTGGAGGCACCTAGCAGCAGCGGATGTTCTGTGTATTGTATTTTAGCTTGATGACTGAGGCAGCTATGCGTGGTCAGCTGAACCTTAGAAGAGAAAAGTAGGAGCTACACGGCGCTAAAGTCGGATTGGCACACCTAAGCTCACATCGATCGACTGCCGTCAATGCTAGATGCTGGCGCCGATTTAATGTGCTGGCCGAGACGGCAACAAGTCGAACCCTTACTGGGAGCCCATCCCCTGCAGCTAGACATACATCGCAGCAGTGAACTGCAGCATTTGGAGTGATAACAGGGCATGTTCGCATTTGATGTTGCAAAAGCACACCGCGCAATGTGCGTTGTGCAGTGTGCGTTGTGCAGTGTCCGTTGTGCAACGTCCATGGATCGACGTACTCTACGCATATCCCTTGCATGGGCTCTTATGGCACAGCAAGAAACCTGCAGTCGGCCGTCAGAGTGTCCCACTTGCCTCCAAAGAAACCAAACCGAGAGCCAGCTTGGACAAAAACCAGTACAAGCGCCTCGATGTACTGCTGCTGCTTCTACTAGCACCGGTGCGAGTGTACTAATCATCTTCAAAAGGCCTACATCCTGTCCTTCAGTTACATCGCTGTCAATACCTCCAGCACAAAGCGAGCATGTTATCGATCGCACAAGGCAGCTGTTGGAGCAAACAGTAACTGTTTCTTTATTTCATTTCATTTCATTTTATTTACTTTATTTTACTTTATGTCATCCTACTTTGCTTTACAATTTTGTAGGGGGACAAGGAAGAAGAAGAAAAGAAAGGAAAGGAGGAGCGGAAAGGAGGGAGGGAAGGAGGGAAGGAAAGGAAAAAGAAAAAGAAAAAAAGTCGGCTTACTATTGGTCGGTCTTACTCAGAAAATTAAAGGCCGTGCAGGGCACACCTCGAGCAGGTTGCAAGCCATGGTGCCCCAAAAAACCACGAATGTGGGAAAAAAAGAGTGGATCTCACGCAGCAACTCACCAACCCCCGCTGACCCATCTTTGTTGTTGTGACCCATGTGGTCTGCTCTGCGCTTGACGGGGCGGCTTCGTGTTGCCAAGAACACCCTGGTAGGTCTAGTGCCGGTGATGATCAGGGCATTTGTTCTGCGCGATTGGGGGTTGCACATGGGGTTCGAGGGCTAATAAAAAAAAGATGGCGAAAAATGTTGCGCTCATTGCTGTTCAGAACGGAACTGCTGGTCAAGAAAAAACGCAAAGAGGGGGACCCGCTCTTCGCCGCCCACTGCTAGCCCTAGGCCTCAAAAATGAGGCTGTTCATCTTTGATTTTTTGTTTTTCGATTTCATTTTCATAGTTTTTTCGTGTTCTTCGTCCCGGTGATGAACAAAAAAAACTAGAAACGAATACGGAAAAAAAATACAGGGGAAAAAAAACAACCGAAACAGAAAAAACAGAGAACCCCGGTTGTGTACTCGCACGGTTGACTTTGCGGTGTACAAAGTCCAAGAAACCTCTAGGAAAGGTGGGGAGAAGGGGGAAGGAGAGCGACAGAGAGAGAGAGAGAGAGAGAGACAGAGAGACAGAGAGAGACAGAGAGAGACAGAGAGAGACAGAGGGAGAGAGAGAAAGCAGTGGAGAGGTGAGTGACGGTATCAGAGTGCAGGTGCAAAGAGCGGAGGCATGGGGAGTAGAGGCTCGAAGAGTGCAGGTGCAAAGAGTGGGGGCTCGAAGAGTGCAGGCGCAAAGAGCGGAAGTATATAAGGTGAAGCTGTGAAGAGAGGAGTGGAGAGAGTGCAGCTGAACGTTAGTACTTGCCTTGACGTTGAAGCAGCGAGGTACAACGGCCGGTTTATATATTGCCAGCGCCACCATCAGCTGGAGCCATTTACGGACGGGTGCATTGCGACCGCTCCATCCACATAATGAAATTCGCCCACCAGAACAGGCACTCGCGCAGATACTCCTGCGGAGGCGCATGCAGAGACACACCCAGTACCGATAGCTGTATCGGTAGCAGCATCGATCGCAGCAACGCTAGTGGACGATACTGCTCCCAAAACGAGACAAGAATAAGTAATAGTAACAGCAGGGAAGAAGAGCGAGGACAAAGAACGCAGACACACACAGTGAAGACAATGGTACTCTTTCGCAGCAGCACACTTATAGGCGGTGGCTGTTGAAGACGCCCCAAAGCGATCTTGATCTGCTCGGACCAAACTATCCACTTTTGAACACTCGTTGCTGGATGGACCCCTTCAATAGCTGATTTACGATCCATAGTTTAATGCTCCTGTGCCTGGATCAAATAAAGGAATATCACCCACTGCAGCCGCTAGAGGGTGACAGACTGGCACAAGCCCTGTAACGCACATCAACAAATGCGCCAAAAGAAAATGCTACAAGTAACAGCACCCGTGGGGACCTAATAGAGCCGCACCGTTGACACCCTGCAGCCTCTTCTGTAGTGCAGCCTCTTCTGTAGTGCAGCCTTGTGTAATCACAAAAATAAACCACTGATCCCAGGATCAGAGTGATCAGCAATGAGGATCGCGGCAGTTGGCAATGAGCAACAGCAGCCCTGCCGCTCTCCATGATAACGCAGACCAGGGTGTGCTGTGGAGAGCAAGGAATGGGTCCCGTCGCCGTCTTTGGCCCTTCTGGTCACTATGGCCTGGCCAGGGTGGTCTAAACCTTGACTACTCCACGTGTATGTGGCCCATGCATTTGATTCTTGATGTACGTAATTGGAACTCTCTTTGTTTACAGCCTAAATTTGTGGCCCAAGCACTGCACTCCCAAAGAGGCTGTGAATTTGGCTGGTGCAGCGACCATCATTGGGCCAAGCGCAGGTATCGCTTGTGTTCTTCTTTCAGCGCATCGATATGTCTTTTTGCTTTTCTGTGTTTCGGCGACTCATTTATTGTCTACGATCTATCCACTGTGCTCTATATAATAAGACGTGCAATGAAGACCGGTTATACAGGGGAGCCGAAAACGGTATGCCCCTTTCGCAGTGGACTCTTGGTCATAATGGAGACCAGCGAAGCAGAGTTGGTCAGAACGGCGCCTAGAGAATAAGAAAAGGATGACGGATAAAGAAGAGAAAAAAAATAAAAATAAAAATAAAAAATGAAAAAACAAAAGCAAAGAAACCTTTCTACACCAGCCCAAGGACCGGCACCCAACTGTTGCAGATACGCCGCCCGTTCCGTAGGGCCATACTAAAGCATCGATACTGGATGGAACAAAGTAAGGACAGAGCAGTCTACGACTCGATATCTATCAGCAACTTGCTCCTCCTTTCCCACCTCCCACTCCCCTACACGGCTCTGGAGCAAGCATCAAAGACTACGTTGGTAAGCTCAAGGATGTGGAGGCACATCTCGATTCCTTCCACAACAGCAACGTGGTCCTCAAGAAACACAAGTAGGATGCAAGAAGGGCGCGAGGCGAGGAGTATAAGCGGATTGCCAACCGTCTTCTCAAGATTGTCAGCGGATCAATTGGCGCCAAGAGAGAAGACAGCAACGGAGTTGTGACCGGCGTGGGTCTCGGGAAGTTTTCTACAAAGACCAGACTGTCTTCTTTGCACGAGTCGTTCCAATCGTACTTTGTCTAGAAAGTAAGTGGCCGATGATGCCCCTTAGTGACCCTGTAATTGCTCTCTTTTGCGAGACATCATGACTAATCTCACCTCTCTCTAGGCTAGATCGCTTGGCTACATTGTTGTAGGTGTAAATGAGTATTGCACCTCGAAAAAGTGTCCAAGCTGTGAGGATTTTGTTGGTCAGGTCAACATCCGCCGGCTTTATTGTCCAATGTGCAAGACACTCATACATCGTGATATCATGGCCGGCCACAACACCAGCAATTCAGTCCGTGATGCGCGGTGTGCTTTTGCAACATCAAATGCGAACATGCCCTGTTATCACTCCAAATGCTGCAGTTCACTGCTGCGATGTATGTCTAGCTGCAGGGGATGGGCTCCCAGTAAGGGTTCGACTTGTTGCCGTCTCGGCCAGCACATTAAATCGGCGCCAGCATCTAGCATTGACGGCAGTCGATCGATGTGAGCTTAGGTGTGCCAATCCGACTTTAGCGCCGTGTAGCTCCTACTTTTCTCTTCTAAGGTTCAGCTGACCACGCATAGCTGCCTCAGTCATCAAGCTAAAATACAATACACAGAACATCCGCTGCTGCTAGGTGCCTCCACAATGGGTGCCAAAAAAAAAAAAAAAAAAAAAAAAAAAAGAAAGAAAAAAAAAAAAGATATAGCACATGGAAGAAAAAGTCAAAAGATGTGTCGAGGGGCACCAGGCCTTTCGCATTAACATTTTCAACACATAACCCAGAACCCTCTTAGCCGAGAAGACATGGTGTAGACCCCCTCGACACATGAATCACTACGATTGGTGGAAACCAAAGAATTCACCTTGATTCTTATACCGTGCACGGCTCTTCGCCAGGTTGGTAAGAGCCATTGACTTACAATCTGTCCGTCCGGGGTCGACTCCTGGTCATGGCGAACACATCTCTCCATAGAGAACATATATCTCCATGGCGAACACATATCTCCACAGCTGCTGGTACCTATGTGGTAGGGCCATCTCTACAAAACAAGCTGACTCCACGCCGTACCCTTGGCACCTTTCTAAACCATTGCTGGACTGTACCGAGCCGACCTTGGAGCAGTGGAATACGAGTAGCTGTAGTAGGTTCCTTGCACGAGTCTCAGGGATAGCCAGAAGCGCCACGTCCGTGAGTCCTGGATAGCGCTTGAGGAAAGCAAGCAGAAAGGAACTCTCAACCGCGTGAGTTGAATTTCACGTTATTTTCATCATGAAATCCCCTTCTTCCTACTGCGTATGCTGGCATACCCTTTATGGTCCCCTCATCATCGAGAAGGACCCGACTGTAGCTCAGCCCTATTATGCTGCATTTCAGACCGACAATGCCGTGAATCTGGAGTAGACATTAATTCTGGAGGGAGGCCACGATATCCACACGGGGAACGTAGAGGATCACAACAAAGTCCTGAAGGATTATTTGGCCAAGGAACCAAAGAAGGAGAAGCGGTAGAAGAAAGGTATGGATGAGTACTCAGGAGGTCAGAGAATGCCGAAGAAAGTAGGATTTCAATAAAAAAAAAAAATTAGCGACAAGCTCTAAGCGCTTTGGGCACATGTGTATCTCCGTAGATAATCTGGGAAGGGATCACCCTCAATGCCGCCTTTTTTTTTTTTTTTTGCGCTCATCATGCGGCTTCGAGAAGGCATGTGTAAAATAAAGAGAACATTGGAGAGGCATCTTGAGCCCTCTTACGTTTATCATCTTTCCACTGCTCCTAGCCTTGAGTCGCCGCTTTTCCCACAGGTTTTTGCAAAACATGTCCAACAACACCCCTACCAAACTTGATGCCGAAAACCCAGGATTGTATGGGATGCTAAAGATCACACTCGCTAATCTAACTGCTATCGAAGCACATCATATTGCAGTTTCGAAGCCCACGGCCCCTGAGAATCACGTTTCCAGGTGCGTGCCGAGAACCTGGCGACAACATTAGACGTTTTAGTTAATTTTTTTAAAACAAGTGTCCACTCATTCATGTATGGGACCAACTCCTCTCAGTTTCAACCACAAGTATGCCACTCTCAACGGCTACAGGTATCGTAAGGGCACGATTGTGGTCCTCTGCGTGATTTTCGCTGCTAACTGGTTGTTGTTGTGTTTCAGTGCTTTGTACCTGACCTTTATCTTCTTCACCTGCTGGTCATGTCAGATTATGTCGAGGAGGGAGATCCCAACAACGAGACGCTGATCCTCGTCCATGGATTCCCTGACTTGTGGTATGGATGGCGCTACCAGATCCGCCACTTGGTCAAGCAGGGCTATCATGTCATTGCTGTCGATAACCTTGGAGTCGGAGAAACGGTTTGTTTCATCGCTTTGAAAAGTCAGTGCTGCACCTATCATAAGGCGAATGGTACTTCTAACAGATGCATCGTGCTCTCTGTAGGATCATCCAAGATGTGACGACGGAAACTATGATCCTTATCGTACCAAGAACATTGCTGCAAACCTCGTGAAGTTGTTGGACCATTTGAATGTCGATAAGGCGGTTTGGATCGGTCATGATTGGTAAGAAATAAAAAAAATGAACAGCAGAGCGAACATGGAGTTCCTTTCACTAATATCTCACCACTTATTCTGGTGTTGTTCCTCAACAGGGGTTCCACATCCATCTGGAAAGTCGGACTCTACTATCCCGAGCGATGCCGCGCCATCATTAGGTACACTTTATCTTTCATGTGAGCGATGTGTCATACTCCATTACACATCAGTTAAGAAATTTTTTCGTGCATTAATGGGGGGATTTTTTTATCCTTAGCATCGGATTCCCACACATTCAGCCCGTGGCCCAGTTCGTGGAACCCGACGTACTGGCGGAGCATTTTCCTCAGTTTCGTTTCTTCAGTGTCTTCCAAACGCGTGAACCGGAGGGCTGGTTTGACGGAGATGTAAGGTTTCAATTCCAAGACTACATCTGGTTCCCCTCCATCGTCCTTCAATAGTCAAGGACAATAACGTTTGACGCGTCTTATCTCATTAATATCAACGAGCATAGGCGCAAAAAGTAGCCATTGCCATGTTCAACTCCGTCTATGGAGCGGGCGTTGGCACATCGCACGAGGTAGGTTTGCTTGAAGAACCTTTGATGCCATTGTTGCACAGTTCCGTTCTGAACATGATCTTTGTTCGTGATATTTTGTGCCCTCTATAGGAGAAGCAGTACTATGTCCAGAACTATGCGCGCACAACCCTGCACGGTGGTCTGAACTACTATCGTGCTGTGCGTTTGAACCATGAAGATGAACTGCGTAAGTAAACCATCGTAAAACAGAAAAAAACAAAACGCGATGGAGTTATTCATAGGCGAATGATGCTTCGCTGGCTTACATTGTCCCACATTTCAATTATCAATGTGAAACAGCGTACATTGGAAAGCCTTATACGGTCCCGGCACTGCAGGCGATCATCGAGAAGGATCCGATTGTGACGCCTGCGTTCGTTGCTATCCACCCATCTGAGACCATGACGAGTCTGGAGAAGGTTTCGATCAAGGAGGGTGGCCATAATGCCCATACGGAGAACCCCGAGGAGGTGAACAAGGTTATAGACGCTTATCTGGCCAAAGTGTTCCAGAAGGACAAGTAGCAGCAGCAGGCAAAAGGAGCCCACTGAGAAGTAAACATACAGCAAAGCACAGCCAAATAGGGCGAAAAAAATTTATTTACAAATGTTGCACGGACCAGATACTTGGATCTATTATGATTACTGAGAAGAGGGATACAGTATCGATGGCTATTTTACACGGCCAAAGTGAACATCATAGCTGCGCCGACCATACCCAGAAAAATACTAGGGGCTGCAGCAGAGGCACCAGTCGAAGCCTTGGAATCACCGGCGTTATTGTTGCCGCTATTGTCTCCAACTTTGACGGGCATCTGTCCAGGAATAGCCTTGCCGTTCTGGACCGCAACGGGCGACTGGCCATGGATATACTTGGATCCTCCAAAGGAAAAGTCATCGCCCACAAAGCCGTCGTTTGTCAGGGCCGATTTCTTGTAGGGCATGGTGTCGTTGGTGCAGCCATCCAGACGGACCATATCGTAGTCGTTGCGGATGACGGCCGAGATGATATCTGGCAGTGCACCTGCGGCGCCCGAAGCGGGGATGTCATACCCTACCGCAACGTACGAACCCTTGCGACCGAACGCGTCCGCCTGCTTCGCAAACGTGGTCTCGTAGATGCCTGCGATTTGAGAGGCCTGGCTACGGCTGCTGTACTTGTAATCGGCCTCGTCGAGGTTGAATCCGACGAGAGTATAGCCCATATCGCGGATGGTGGGCTCGAGCTTGGGGTCCTTGAGACCGGCTTCATGGACGCGAACGTACTTGGGATACTTGCCGATGAGGTCAAAGATCTTGTTAGCGTGCTTGGCAATGTCGGCGCGGAGCTGGGTGTCCGTCATGTCGTTGGAGGAGTCGTTGGGGAGGCGGTAGGTCATGCCGATCAAGTGGCCCTCGTTGTAGGCACGGCGGGTTATGCCAGCGTACTGCATATAATCGAGCCAAGTCGCGTTGGTGAAGAAGGTGACACGGGCCTTGCCCTCCTTAAGGATCTCAATCATTTGGATCGTGGCCTCGCTGGGCCCCTCGGACTAGAAAGACGACAAAAAAAAAGTAGAGTGTCAGGATGAGAAGAAGAGCAGCCACGCACCGGCGTCCACACACAAAGAAGCCCAATGAGAGTCCGGCTTACGAAGGTCAACGCGATCTGGCCGGGAGTGTTGCACTTGGTCACGAACTCGCCCATTTGCTGGACTGGGACAACAGGTGCGGGCTTGGCAGCAACCGGAGGGGTGAAAGGTGTAGGGTTTGGGGCCTTATTATCAACCGGAGCCTTGTCAGCCGGATTCTTGTTGTCGACAGGGTTCTTGTCATCAGCTGGGGGTTTTTCATCAACCGGAGCCTTGTCGCCAACCGGAGCCTTGTCGCCAACCGGAGCCTTGTCACCAACCGGAGCCTTGTCATCAGCCGGAACCCCGTCATCAGCTGGGGCTTTGTCATCAGCTGGGACTTTGTCATCAACTGGGGTCTTGCCGTCAACTGGAGTCTTGTTATCAACTGGGGTCTTGTCGTCAACTGGAGTCTTGTCATCAGCCGGAGCCTTGCCATCAGTCGGAGTCTTGTCATCAACTGGGGCTGGATTCTTGCCATTAACAGGGTTCTTGTTATCAGCAGCAGGTTTACCGTCCTTTTGACCATCCTTAGGGGTCTGTCCATTGTTGGGCTTCTTGCCGTCAACAGGGCTCTTGTTATCAGCAGGAGGTTTACCGTCCTTTTGGCCATCCTTAGGGGCCTGTCCATTGCTGGGCTTCTTGCCGTCTTTGCCTTCCTTCTCATTGCCGCCCTTGCCGTCGTTCTTTTTCTGTCCGTCATTGCCATTCTTGGAGTCCTTGCCTCCGTTACCTCCCTTCTTGCTGCCCTTATTACCATCTCCGCCTTTGTTCTTGCCTCCGCCTTTCTTGCCATCCTTCATTCCCGCGTCTTCATTATCATCGCCCGCCCCACCCTCGGTTGGCTCCACATCGTACCTGTCATCAAACTTGTCACTATACTTTTGATGTTCGTCCTCCTCGGGGTTGTGCCTCTTCTCTAGCTGCATGATATCGATCTGTCCACCTTGTTCTATATCCGAGGTCCTCTGTCGTCGACCCTTTTGTTCGGTCAGGTCATGCTTCGCAGCAACCTGCTTCCTTTGCCCATCTTGCGACCTCTTTTCGCTGTGCTTCTTCTCTTGCTGCTTCTTCTCTTCCAGCTGGTGATGGTGACCGTGTGCACGAAGTTGCCAGAGCTCGGGCTCAAATCCTGTGATGTCCTCCAGATCATTCACCTGCGCAAGGTTGCGACCACGCGGCTCTGGCGATAAGATGGATCGATCGCTCGCCTTCTTGGCCATGGAGAACTTCTTGTTCTCACTCTGCTGCTTGTAGTGCTTCTGATGAGCTCTATTGTTGGTGTGGTGGCTCCCATGAGCACGGAGTTGCCACAGTTGCAAGGGGTCGTCAGCAGGCTTGATATCTTGGCCTTTATCCTTTTCGGCATCGGCTGTGATATCAAAATAAATAAGCAAAGGAGGAAAGAGAAGGAAGACATGAGCGCAATGTACTTGCTGACAGGGTCTCTGAGAGGAGGGAATGTTATAAGCAAGCGGTGGAGAATGTGAGAGAGTTGTTAAAACAACTTACCAAAGCCGGCGATGATCAGTGGTAACGCTATGGTGTGTATTCATGGAACATGAAGAGAGGTGTCAGCAATAGAGCTTGTAGTTCTGGTAAATACGAGCGCGCCTAGAGGGAATCGTTAGACATACCGAGCACTGAAAGGATTAACGGGAGTCGCTTTGAGCAACGCATTGCGGGGGAGGTGTAGGTTTGAACTTCAAGCAGAGAATGTGATTGAGAAAACGCAACGACTGGATGGCGGGGGGGGAGTATAGGTTATAAAGTAGGAGGAGCGATCTGAGCAGGAAGAGTCGCTGGAAAAGCAAATATGAAAGATGTCTGAATGTTTAAGCAAGGTGTATGATAGCTATTGTGTGTAGTAGTGGTACGCTGCAGGGGATATCGGTCGACTAGAAAACGAATAAAAGAAAAGAACTTCGCCTACGAAACACGGCGCAGATGGAATCTCTACTTCCAGTTCCTACTTGAATCTTTAATTCGACCGGACTCAGGCCACGACTTCTTCCTTCTCCTGCATATCTCTCTTGAGAATATGAGTGAATGATTCACTACGTCTTTCTGTCCTTTTTAGTGGTATTTTGAACAGAGCCGGGAATGCAGGAGGAACACACATCCGTTGTTTAGCATTGAAACATTGAATCCTTTGGAGAGAAGTCTGCTACAAATACAAATGAAGCCAGTACAGATCTGATAGTTCGCGGGAGGGCTATTGTCGGGTAGGAACCAGTCGTTCTTGCTATCTCTGTAGTCAGTTGAACACGTCTCTGGTTCCAAAATGCATCAAAGTCGCTGTGTTAAGAGAGGACATGATAGGACAATTTACGGGATGGCCGGTTATCACGACTAGGGTCTACGGACACTAAATCAGAGCTCCTCGTCTCGATCCTGGCGGCGGTTCGGCTTGGACGAGGCATTATCTATTTTCGATCCAGATTCAGCAATGGCATCGCCCGGCAGTTGGGAATGAATCCGCAATGATCAGCGACTTGATCTTGGTGACACCGTTCGATACAACAGACCCAAAGTTCTTGCTGAGGGACGACACACCATTCACAACTCGAGTCCAGACCTCGTCCTTGTTACTCCTCTGGTCGTCCTTGGGTTCTTTGACCTCTGCACCTTTCTTTATCTCCTTGCCGCGCTGGGTCTTCTCGTCCTTCTTATCCTTTGTCTTATTCTTGTCATTATCTCCATTGATCTCAATGGGTTTATTTTGCTTGCCACCCTTCCCTGTGCTGTTCTTTTCATGCCCCATTGAAAGCTGGTCAGTCTTCACAGTGACCGCAGAATGTGCCACTAAGATTAAAGTAAAAAGTTGTACCAGTAACAGAGGAGTCAAGCGTGGTGTCAATGGCTCCGCTAGCCTAGGAGACAGTATTTGGATGCGCAACGCCGTCACGTACCTGGGTCGTGCACCACTGACCCTGCCGAGACAAGGGTTGGGGTGGCAACGACGAATGCGCTAGAAGCAGCTTTATGGGATACTATCAATGGTGATTGATCGGGTATATCGTCATGTCAAATAAAAAGCATTCGGCGGAATGCGTCAAGTGCGCGCGTATGCTTATGTAGTACCTGCGGCTCTGGAACCAAGTTCTTGTTCCTTTCGACGCGCATCCTCAGCCTGGGGGGCCTGATTGTGGCCATCACTCTTCTTGTGGTCGTCACTATCCATTTCACTGCGCCGACTGTATTTTTTCACAGAGGCGGTACCCTTCCCTCTGTATCGTTCCTGGTTGATGTGGTCTTGCTTGCGGGAGTTCTTCTCTTCTTGCTCCTTACCAACCTCATTTCTTCTGGTATGTTCTTGATTAACATTCTCATTCTTACGCTTCTTTGATTTTTTCTTTTTCTTTTTTTCCTGGATGTTGCTATCTTCGTCTTCCTCCTCCTCGTCATCCTCAGGCCCTTGCTGTTGTCCTTCCGCCTGCACGTTGTCAGACATGATATTAAAGTTCTTCGAGACGTCCAAAGTCAATCCGTCCTGATCCTGGAGCTCAAGATAATAACCATCATTGCCTAGCATGCGCGTCGGGACATCGTTCTCAGAGAGAGTAAAAGTGCATTCCCCAGATCCCGAGATCAAGCCCTGGCAGAGTGTCGCCAGCGACTTACCATCCTTGGAAAGCACGACGGCCTGCTCCGAAATACCGAGAGATGGCTCTCCCGCCCATTTGATTGTGGTTTCTAATCCGATGGCAATATTCTGAGGGACTATAAACTCGAGGACAGCATTGGTTGCTGAGAAAAGGGTAATTGCGCTGGAAAGGAACAAAATCTTGCAGTGCTTCATGGTTTGCGATGGGGTGTCTTCGTTCTTAGTTTCTTGACGGCGGATATATAAAATTGAGCAATGAAAAGAAAGGGAATATTGCCTTTGGTTTTGAACCAGAAGAGGATAGTCATGCTTAGCTGAAAGGGGCGCGCGCAAATAAATAAAAAAAAAGAAAAAAAGACAAACGCGGCGACAAGCGACCGTCCTTACCGATGGATGAGTAGATTGGAATCGTATTTTATCGGTCAGAAGGGCCGTTACTGTGGGCACGTAAAGGGGAGTACTGTCGCTAGTCCATCGCGTATGTGTAATAATGCTCTTGGTAGGACGTGGACACGTTTTCTGGTGGTTCCTCATATCCAGGCACCCTTAAGGCTTGTCCGAAATCATTTTCGCCTGTCTTGTGTGTGTGAGGCAAATATAGGCCCAGGGCGAACCAATTTCTAAAGTTCCTTCTTTTGACTTTTCATCATGGGTATGCGTCTCATCATAACAGATATATGGCATCCATGGAGACATCCATCGATCGCGCGCCAGGACGGCGCCCATCCATCCGACAATATATCAACAGACCAATTGCTGCATCTCCCACATCGGCACTATGTTGGGGCTAGGAAACCGTCATTCTCGCCACAACTATCGACCAGGATCGAGATTCCAGTTTTATTCATCAGAATCGGTCCAGTCAGGCTGCTACTCAACTGACACTGTGGGCAGGAATAGCTACAGAGCAAAATCAGGAAGCATTTGAAGGGAGAACCTATGTCGGAGGAGCATTCTTGACAGGATCAGGCCTAAGACGGATGACTTTCCGCTCATCTGGATCAGTAGCCCACCAAACACCAAACACTACCCGAGTGACCTTTAACGACGCTGGGGTATATCGGTACCCAGCTTGTCAGTACCATTTGCTGGACTCGACATATTCCAGGCGTATTCTTGACAATACAGTGAAAAAGCGGGACAGAGATTTAGTTCACGCACCAATGCAGGAAGCCTGCAGCTTGGCATGGACTGAGTCCTCTGATCAAGCGAACAAGGATTCAACGTTCAACGAGTGCTACACAGGAATCGACCCAACGTCAGGAACAGAGTTTAGATTGCAGCGTGTGATGGATGCCTCTCCACTCGCGCATCACGAAAAAGCCGTACTTTTACACTTCATGGAGGTGCTGACAAACCTTTTCCGCTGCTTCGCTACTCTTTTCTCTTTCAGGTATCAGCAGAGACTCCCGCCACAAGCGCTCCGCTTCTGGAGCCAAGCGTGCCCAATACCGCAAGAAGAGAAAGTTCGAGTTGGGTCGTCAGGCTGCCAACACCAAGCTCGGTGCTAAGCGCATTCATGAGGTCCGCACCCGTGGAGGCAACCGCAAGTTCCGCGCCATGCGTTTGGACTCTGGCAACTTCTCCTGGGGTTCCGAGGCCATCTCTCGCAAGACCCGTATCGTTGCCGTTGTCTACAACGCCTCGAACAACGAGTTGGTCCGTACCGGCACTCTTGTGAAGAACGCCATCATCCAGATCGATGCCACTCCCTTCCGTCAGTGGTACGAGTCCCACTATGCCACCCCCATTGGTGCCCGCAAGGGTAAGGGTGCCGTCAAGGTAAGAAGCGCCACCTGCAATTTGGTCCTTTTTTCTTTGTTTTCATTTATTTTTTTGGAGGGCGCATTGATGATAGCAGGACCTGTAATAGTACCAGGACACGTTCTGGCACAGCGCACAGGAGCAAGCGGCACAGGATCAATGTACACCTACATCAGTTGGAATTAGTTGGCAGGACAGGAGCGAGCGCATCGAACTCTGGAATTACCGCGCCTCTGTTGCCATGAACAGGGCTTTACAGCATTCATATCGATGTTTTCTTTGAACAGGAAGGCCAACAGTCTGGCTTGGTTCGACATATAATTTGCTCCGCAACTTATGACACGCTTCAACAAACAGCAACATTTGTACAGGAACTAAAAAAGAGACATTTTCACGACCCTAACATATTGCCATGTGCATTTTAACGTGTGTCTTTAGACCGAGTCCGAGGAGGTTAACAAGGCCCGCTCGAACCACGTCCAGCGCAAGATCGAGTCGCGCAAGGCTGAGGCCAAGGTCGACCCCGCTCTTGACCACCAGTTCGCTGCCGGTCGTCTTTATGCCTGCATCTCATCCCGTCCCGGTCAGTCTGGCCGTTCTGACGGATACATTCTTGAGGGACAGGAGTTGGCCTTCTACATCCGCAAGCTTAAGAAGTAAAAAAAAGGAAGCACATACATACAAAGGAGCCAATGTTATAGTTGTTTTTTTTTTTTTCTGCCTGTCTTTGCAAAAACACAAATTAAAAGACAACTTTTTTCAAGAATCTGTATGCTGTTGTGTCGCAAAGTGCGGGGGAGTTTGGTCAGCGGTAAGGACCCCAGTTTCGGATGAAAAGCGGGCAGTTCCGAGGCTCCACTCTCCCACTTTCGCTTCCGCCGCATACATAAAAAGCGCGAGCGGAATGAGAGATCGTCATCACCTCCATTTCTCTCCCTTTTTTTCTGCTGAAATGGCATCACCTCGCAGCCCGATTACGTGCCACGTCCTCGACTCTTCTTGCGGCAAGCCCGGCCGCAACGTGCCCGTCAAGCTCGAGAAGCTCAATACCTCGGCCAACAACGCCTGGGCCTCAGTTGCCTATGGGTAAAATTTAATGACTTGTTGTTGTCGTCCGAGCAAATGGTCAGCTCGATCGGACTATGTTACATGCACAGGGAGACCCCGTTATATCTAACGATGCCTTTTACGCTTCGTTTCATTCGGGACTCTGCAACAGACTGACAGATTCGGATGGCCGTGTGAGCACTCTGCTGGATCCAGCACACCAACTCGCCGCGGGGATTTATCGTATGACCTTCCAGACGGCCGAGTACTGGGCCGCTCAGGGTGTTACGGGATACTTTTATCCCTATGTTCAGGTACATACCAACCCATGGAAAGAAACTGGACGCAGCTTCTTTTTTTTTTTTTTTTTTTATCAAACGGAAAAGGGGGAGGAGCCATTTTTGATCGAGCATATTGATTGACGTTTGTTATCTCATTTTGAACAAACGACAGATCATTTTCGAGGTCGCCGCCGGAGCCGAGAAGCAGCATTACCATATCCCATTGCTGCTCAGTCCGTACTCGTACACGACCTACCGCGGATCATAGAAACTTCTTCTTCGTCGTCGATTTGTAATATTTTTCTCTACAATAGAAAGATAAATAAAAGATAAAACTCCCCAAGCTGATTTTGAACTTCAAAAAGGAGTCGCACTCCACAGTGGTCCATATATAAAGAAAAAAAAAAAAATAGGTATATTCGAATATTACACTTCTACCTTCTATTAAATAGGAGGAATATCTACGGCGGTTGCTGTCATTACGATGTGCCCCCTATCCTCCTAGATCGACTCGACTCAACCCGGGTACCGCACATTATGAGACTCGCTTGCTTTGCTGCAATCCTGTCCGGTTTGGCTTTCCCTTTCGTCCCGTCCTGTCTCATCTCATCTCGTTTCGTTTCGTCCCGTCTCGTCTCATCTCTTACAACGCAAAGAACTCATCCTTGCGCCTGTAGTACTCATTGAACCGCAAGACCGCATAGGGCATGTAATCAAAATCGATATCCGACAACTGTGCCTGGACCTATATATTCCATTTTTTCATCATGAAATTACGAAAATGCTCAAGTTAGCCATCAAAGCGATAGTCGCACTTGAAAAAAAAAACAAAAAAAAAAACAAATAGAAAAAACAGCTTACCAAGGCCCAAACGCCCCAATAGAAATGAGACGCCAACGCAAACTTATTCACTTCTCTATACAGCTGCTCCACCTCCTCCTTTGTCACCTCTCCTCCTGCTGCTGCTGCTGATGATGATGCTGATGCTGATGCTGATGCTGATGCTGATGCTGATGCCGTCGTCGCCTGTTGTTCTTGATCACGCGCCTCATTTTCGGCTACTGACCTTCCGACCTCCAGGTACCGTCTCAACCAACGTTCCTGAATGTCCTTGGTCGGATAATTCTCATATTCGCACTCGAACCCCGCCCACTCATTAAAGTGGTTCGCGATATCAAAGGCCCGGTAGGAATAGGATCCGTACTCGTAATCGATAAAGAAGGCATCGTCCTTGGATTCGTTGTAAATCAGGTTCCCGTACAACAGATCGTTGTGACAAAAGACCACGGGGGACTTTAACGAGACCAGGTGGGACTCGAGGGTCGTGAGTTCTTCGTGGAGTTTTGTCATGTCAAAGTGTTTGGCAAAGATCTCTTGCACCTTGGGTCGGCTGTACGATTCGGGGACTAATGCAGAAGAAGGGGGACAAGAAAAAAAAAAAAAAAAAAAAGTGTGTTAGTCGAACGGCTGCAGAACCAAAATAAAAAAAAAGAAAAAGGTGAGGCGAACAGCATCACAGCGTTGTACTGGCTGGGGAAAAAAATAAATAAATAAAAAAATAAAACGTACCCTCCTTGATCCACTTATGAATAGTCTTGAACAGCTTGGAGCTACGCTCTCCCGGGATCGTGACGGCGCCATGCCAGATCGCGAGCTTTCTCGCAACGAGTTCCATCTTGTGCGGGTCCCTCATGTCCGAGACCTTGAATACCTTCCCGGGGATACATCCGTACGCCAATCCGTTCCTGAACTTGCCAAACAATGGAGGGCACAGTCCGAGCTTGGACAGGATCACCATGTTCTGGAATGAGCAAGAAGGAAAAGAAATGAAAAGAAAAGAAAAGAAAAGAAAGGAAAAAAAAGCGTTTGAGCGTTAGTAAACCAGTCGGAAGAGAAGCGTGAAGGGTGTTGGTCCATCCACACACACACACACCCCCGATGCTAGATGATGCATGTTGTCGTGTGTCCTCTTCCTGTTGTGTAGCCGACCACAAAAAATAAAATAAATAAAAAGTTACTTAATCAATCCCCCTCATCTCACGCGATATGTGCTTGGGCACGTCTTCCTTTGGATTCATATTCCATAGCCTCCGCGGCAAAAACCCCACCACACACCACACACCACCGCAGCATCAAAAAGAACCAGAAGGGCCCAAAAAAAAACAAAAAAAAAAAACGGCAACAACAGCAACTGAGAGCAGGAGTTAAAGTACACCAATCGGCCACCATTAAATAAAAATAAGGAATAACGCCCCCCCTCTCCCCTCTCTTCCCCCCTCCTCCTCCTCCTCCTCCTCCAGTAATCAAATACCTCTTTGTTCTCGTCCCTGAACCGAAAAAAATCATCCAAACAACTCCTTTTTCCAAAGAACTTACCATGATCTCCTGCCTACGATCGATAATAACCTCGCTCTTCTTGCCATACGCACGCACCAACACCTGTGTGCCCGTCGGTCCATGTGTGCAGCAGATCACTATTCCATGATCACAACAAAAGCAAAGAAAGAAAGAAGCATGTGTCAATAGGAAAAAACAACTACTACTTTTCATTCAGCTTCATGAAGGGTCCTGGCGGGTCAGCTTTTGCTTCCGAGGGGGGAAAAAGAAGAAGGAAAAAATCATCCTTCCCTCCCAAGAAAAAACAATCCACTCCTCCTCTTCCTTCGTTCCTTGGTTCGTTCATTCCTTGATTCCCTGGTTCCTTCGTTTCCTTCGCTTCCTGAGTTCCTTCCTTGGCTCCTTTCGTCCCTTCCTTTGGTTTCTTCTTCCTTCTTCCTTTTTTTTTTCTCACAAAGACTTACACTTGTTAGTGATCCCGTCCTTGAACTGCAAATACGAGATATCCTTCATGTTCCATTCCGGGAAGAGCGCCTGGATGACCGCGGCCGCCCCATTGAACAGATCATCATGGTGCACGATCAAATCCAGTGTTGGCACCGCATCGTGAATGTACGCGTCCATCTCCGCCTCGGTGGCCGACCCCGCCGAAGGTCTTGTGTGTGTCGCCAACATGTAAAAACAAAAAAAAAAGAAAGAAGCTTGCTTGGGTTGGGAGGGGAGTTTTTTTTTTTTTATGTATAGGGCCGAATTGGTGATAGCGTGGTAACAAAAGTAGGTGAAAGGGGAAAAGTCGCTGTGCGTGTAGTTGTTGTTGTTGGGCGTTGTCGTGTCTGAGAAAGAGGAAAGAAAGAAAGAAAAGAGAAGGAAAGAAAGAAAGAAAGAAAAGAGAGAGTGGAGAGAAAGATGTGAAAAAAGGAAAGCGGGAAAGTGTGATGAGAACTCAAAAGAAGGCGATGAATCCAACTGGCCAATAAGCTTCCGTGCCTTGAAGCATTTTTTTTGAGTTGGAGCTAGATTTGGGATGCTGCACGTGAGTCATTTTTTTTTCCCCACCTTGCCCTGCATGTGAAGCCAAAACCAAAGTCAAAGCCCAAAGCCCAAAGTCGAAGTAAAAAAGCAAACACCTCAAGGATCCATTCACTCTGGTAGTGTGTGATAGGGCCATAGCCCATCATCCACCAACCAATCAACTCATATCAAATCTGTTCATGAAAATAAACATGCTTCCTTCCTTCCTTCCCTCCTTCCTTTCTTTTTTTTTTTTTTTTCTTTTTTAATGAGACGTCTATAGGCAGAGTGTGCATTCTAGGTATGCCCAAGCAGGCCATCATCATCTTCATCCTGATCCAGGACCCACCGCCGCTTATTCCGCACTGCATACCAAAGCCGCTTAATCCCCGCGTTTAGAAACGTCGTCCGCGCCCTACAATCGCACTTTTCGCCCAACGAGAACCCGCACGGCGCCTCCGCACACGATAAAAATACAATCGGCACTACCGGTGGTTCGCCCTCCTCCAAGGTTGTCGTCGCTCCTGTTGTCGCTGTGGATGGTGTTGCTGTCCCTGGCGCTGTTGACGGCGGCGATGATCCACCGTTGCCCTTGGCATTCCTGTACCGCTCCTTAAAAAAAAGCTCCTGCAGCTGCGCCTGAATCTCCTCATGATACAGTTGCTTCGTGTTCATCACGTTCCGGCGGTAATCACATCCTGTAAACACCAGGACAACGTTATCCCAAAAGTTTGGGAATTCTTGCATGATATCGTTGAACGTCGTCAGGATCGTCAAAATCATATCCACTCTGGGAAAGAAAACGAAAAAAAAAAAAAAAAAAAAAAAAAAAAAAGACATCGCGTGAGTTAGGATACCTAAACACAATTGCCAAGAAAAGGAAAGAAAAATGTCAAAGCTGCTCTGCTTACCCAGAATCAATTTTAAAGACCAACAGAAAAGCGGTGACACCCAGTCGTGTGCCTATGGATCGGATATATTCCTTAAGGATGGGTATATTCTTCTCGTCATCTCCCTCCGTATCCGCCAGTCCTGGAGTGTCCGACAGCGTAACAAGTACCCGCCTACTGTCCTCAAACCGTCCCCATCCCGTTCGTTCTGCGATGCCCTTTGTTACAGCCTATATTCGTACACATACAAGTCGTTAATAAAATGAAAAATGGCCTATTGCTTTCTGCGCATCATTCAGATACACATATCGATAGACAACATACCCGGACAGATGCACTGGCTTTGAGCTCGCTGGTGCCCATGATCTTGTTCAACAGCGACGACTTGCCCTGTCCAGTCTTTCCAATCGCCATCAACACCACCGGCCCTGCACCATCGACAATATGCGACCCCTCAGACGACTGTCGAAGGTCGTGTGTGATAAGATGCGACGTTGCCATCGAAGTGCTTGCTCTCGTTACCGGCAGCGGGAAAAAACCTGACCCACCACCCCCAATGCTCTGTTGCTGGATCGCATCTCGGCCACTCATCGTCCCTGATCCTGCTATTGCTGTCCCTGTTGACGGTGTAGTCGCTGCTAGGCCAGACTGACCATTATCGTTATCAAGACCAATCGTACGTGCTGCCCAATTAGATTGTGTCGATGGTAGTGCAGATTCATTATGTTCTGTCGAGCCTGAACTGATCGAGACAACGCTATCCCGTGGGCCTCGCTGTTTCTTCAGCTCATCCTGAGGCGACGGCGCTGTCGTATCTGAAGAAGGATGGTCGATATTGATCGTAGATGATGACTGTTGTTGCGATCCAGAACCAATGGTTGAAGATCCACCATTCGTTCTCACGCTGTCAGCGCTGTCGATGGTCTCACGGAACTGTCCGAGCTGTTGTTGCTGATATTGCTGTTGTTGCCACAACGCATCTCTGGTCGTATCTTCTGAAAGGGTATCATCAGCTGTTGTTCCTGGCAGGTTGGTTTCCTCAGCGATGACAGGCATGTACTGGTACTGGAAAGCGTCTGCTGAATAAACAGTATGCTGCTGCTGTTGTTGTTGAGAGTTGTGGAGCGGGGAAAGAGGGCTCAAAGGGTGTTGATAGCTGGTCGGCGAGCTGACAAATGCCATCGAGGACAAGACGTCATCCTCTGCAGTCGCAGCAGCAGTCCCTGAAGTAGAAGTCAAGGTGAATTGGGGCAACGAGCTGCCGCCAGCGCCATAGACAACAGGAACTTCGTGATGGTGCTGGTGCTGCTGCTGGTGCTGCTGCTGCGGCTGTGGTTGCTGTCCCAAGGTTGCTACTGCTATAGGCGCGGCAGTTGAAGAAATCAAGGCTGCGGCAGAGAAGGGTCCAGGCGATATGGAGCTGGTCGCAATTGGAGGCATAGCCATTTGTTGAGTAAGGGTGGGATGAGCTTGCGCTTGTTTCAGAGCGCGATTCCGTGCTGAGGGATGATTCGCGTTCTCGGCGTCCACGAGCGTCACTGATAATAATGCCTCTGCTACTGCTGCAGCTGCAGCTGTTGCTGGTGTCTCAGAGTCGCCAACATCTGCAATTTCATGTGTCATACGCGGTGTCATTGGCGGTGTAGCAGAGAGAGGGGTTGACGATCCTGCGGTTGACACGCCAGCGCCCCCGCCTCGGTTCGACGTGCTGGAGCTGCGCGAAGGCGTTGCGGAGGACGTGGCGGAGACAGGCACGCCTGCAGCTGCAGCTGCAGTCGGTGTTGTGTAATCCTTCGCTGCAACAGTAGTGGTAGCAAATGTTCCGACTGCGGGCTTGGTTGCAGAGTTGGTCCTTGGACCTTGAGAGCTGCTGTTTGAGAGGGGGAGGGCAGGGGCTGAAGTAGAGGGCGGGATTCCGATAATAGTGCTGTTTGCATGATTGGGCGGGTTGATTATGCTATAGTTGTTGTTGAAGGTGTTGCTGCGTGTTCTATCGGCTGTGTCGGGCACTGGGACCTTGATGGTGCTGGTGTTGATGCTGTCGCTGCCACTGTTCTCGAGAGGGACCTTGTAGTTTGCAGCCAGATCCAATGCCTCTTGCTGCTGCTGCTGCTGCTGCTGCTGCTGTTGTTGTTGTTGCTGTGTGGGTAATGCTTGGGGGAAAGTGACGACTGGAGGCGCAGCTGAGCTGTGGATGGCTATGGTATTAGTCATGAATGGATTACTAGGATTGTAGTTGGTGTAGTAGCTGTTGGTGTTGGTGTTGGTGTTGTTGCTGCTGCTGCTGCTGTTGTTGTTGTAGTTGCTGTGGGAGTAGTTGCCGTAGGTATAGGTGTTGTAGGGGCTGTAGGGGTGCTGGTTGTTGAGGCCGGTGAGACTGGCCTTCTGGTGCAGGTGGTGGTAGTGGTCTGAACTGCTGCTGCTGCTGTTGCTGCTGTTGCTGTTGCTGCGGCCGAGGTCGCTGTTCTCGAGAGAGGAGAGAGGGGGGGACGTGGGGAAGGCGTCTGCAGGCAGTGGGAGTGAAGCGTTGGGAGTAGCGCTGTCTGACTCTGGCTTGGGGCCTGGGACCCCCGAGTCGGACTTTCTTTTCATGAACTTGAACATGCGGGAGGGATGATTAATTAGAGGAGGGAGGAGGGAGGGAAGGAAGGAAGAAAGGAAGGAATAAGAAGAGTGATGGCTGATCACGAAGGAGGAGGGCTAATGAATGAAAGAAAGAAGGGAGGAGAAGAAGAGGAGAAGAAGAGGAGAAGAAGAAGAGGGAAGAAGAGAGAAGAAGGAATGAATGAAAAGAATGAAGAAATGAAAGAAATGGAAGAAATGAAAGAAATGGGAGGGAGATGGCTGATGAATAACGAGAGGAGAGCAAAAGAGAGAAAAGAAGAGAAGAGGACACGCGTTTTGGCTTCCTGTGCCTCCTCTCTGCCCTTCCCTGCCCCGAGGGTTCCTTTCCTTTCTCTTTCTCTTTCTCTTTCTCTCTCCCCTCCTTTTGATGTTTATCGGCATGCAGCCCAAGGGCATGCATTCGCCCTGTGTACCGCTGCTGCCGCATACCCCACCGCTCACAAGGAATCACACGCGACTCCATCTCGTTTTGCTGCATAGCCATTGTCCTCTCTCTCACTCTCTCTCTCTCACCGATCGCCCTCAGCCCCCTCCTACATCGCATTTACCGGCATATGCATCATATCCATCCCCATATCCCCTCTGTCTCATGCTCACCTTCGCCCTCTGTCGCCCTATCCGCCGCGCGCATGTCGAGCGAATGTGCATCCTACTCTTGCCAACTACATCGTATGAAAGTGCTGCAATGGCCTCCATGTCTTGCCTTGTCTTGTCTGGTGTGTGCATCCGTATAACCTATTCCTTGCTGTTCTAATGTATATTTTTTCCTTTTATTTTAATTTTTTTTCTTTGGCGGCTACCATATTGCAGTGTAGGGCAGGGTGGAGTAAAGGGGGGAGTAAGGGTAGAGGATGGAGATGAGGGGAGGGAGAGGCTGTAGCAAGAGAAAAGAAAAGAAAAAGAGCCTTCCCCCTCCCCCTGGATGGGAGGATCGTGAAAGGGTTTTCGCCGTGTTGTCTTCCTTTCTCTCGTTCTTTTTCCTCTTAGCGGCGGAGGACCTTCTCGAGAACAGTTTCGTGGTCAACCTCATCAGCATCAGTGCCCTGAACCTCAACAGCGACTCCGTTCAACGATCTGCGGAGAGCATCCTTGCTGGAAGAGTACAGCATCTTCGACTTGATCTTGGCACCATCAGGGGCCCTATTTGACGTAAGATCAATCAATTCAACCGTGTCAGTGTTAGCACATCAGCCCTAAAAGGAAAAAACATGCTAAAAACATCATGCTGTCTCATACACAAGGAGGAAAATCGAACGCGACCAAACAGCACACAACAAAACATTCAAAACAGCGACCATCTCTCCATGTCTCTGTCCCGTTTTCTTTCTTCTTTTCTCCTTTTATACTGCTTGTCGATGTGTATGCTGACATTGTTAAAGTGGACAATGCTGGCTGTTGTTTGTCGCCCCTGTCCGTGAAGACGACTGTCCTGAACCATCAAGTCAAGGTCAGTTTCCGTGAACGCGTCCTTGAGCTCCTGTCAATCCGATCCAATATAAACAATCCTCTGCGAGTCCGTTCATTTCATTGACAAAACAAAAAGCAATCAGCCCAGATAGTCATCGTCCACCCCCCTCCCCTTCAAAAGTAAAAGTAAAGGCTAAGGCAGAAGCAAAAGCAGAAGCAAAAAAAAAGAAGAAAAAAAACCTCTCCAGATCACGTAGACCTGAACAAAAGTCAAAAGTCAAAAGTCAAAAAAAAAAAAAAAAAGCATGCCTACCAGGTGTAAAAGACAATCTTGTTGCGATCACCATCAGCGGTCGAGTAATCAAAGTCGTAGACGGCCCAACGGCAATCGTTCTCGGGCAAGTGCTTCAAGAACTCGTCATAGGTGGCCGTCTCTGCCTGCTTCTCGACCACGATGCTCTTCTGATCATCCGACAGCTTGTACACAATGTACTTCAGCTTCTTGCCCAACTTCAACTGCTGGAAAGCCTCCAGGCACGCGGGATCGGCTTGAACTCCACTAGCGGACGACTATACAGCAAAAAGAATAATAATTCGAAAGATAGGGAAGAAAATAAGAGAAAGAGAAAAGGTAGTAGAATTAGTATCGATTGATTCTTTCATTCGTGTACATGTGGAATGTGTGTGTGAGAGAGAGAGAGAGAGAGAGAGAGAGAGAGAGAGACCGTATGTGGTTCTGAGGCACACAATGACTCTTCCCACGCGATTTTCATCTTTTCCATACGAGCCAAACCCATCCTTCCCATTACAAGAGCTCCATATCATGTTGCCAAAAAAGAAAAAGGAAGAAAAATAAATAAAAAGTGTATAATGGAAAGAAAAAAGTGCAAAGATACGACAACGAAGACGCGAATACACAACAAGACTGCAAAGCAAGCATCGAGTCCCATGAACGTTGGGTTCCTCCACTGTTTTTTTCATCCAGCTCCTTTTTTTTTTTTTTTTTTTTTTTTTTTACATAACGTTTCTTCCAACCGCCTGATTCAGGAACATCACCAAGAAATAAAAGAAAAAGAAACGAGATCGAAAAACCTGAAACGCAGCCTCATTACTCTTCTGGTAAAAAAAAGAAGAGATGTCCATGTAAGTGAGAAAAAACGTAAAAAAAAGAGAGAAAAAAAAAAAAAAAAAAAAAAAAGACTTTCCTCCTCCGCTCTGCTAGTAGCAGACATCAACCGCCATCACTTTCGCGATTCGCGTAATTTCCTTCTCCATCTCCCCCCCTCCATAACAAACAAAGCAAGAACTAAACGAGAGCAGGATGAACAGGAAAAAAAACAAAAAAACAAAAACAAGAAAAAGAAGTGCAGTGGAGGGGGGGGGTAGGATTCAGTCCCAGGAAGCGAAAGGTGTGTACGTTACCATGGTTGATTATAGTTTGTTTGGTAGGTGGGTGGGGTGTAGTTGGGTAGAGTGATGAGGGATGAAATATGATGAGAAAAGAAGTAAAAAAAGAAGAAGAGATGATGACCTGCCTGCAGACCCGTCTTATATATAGTCTAACTTTTTTGTGTGCGCTCATCGCCTTCGTATAAATCATATCATGTCAGCCCAGATTTCTTTATTGGCCGCTGAAACCCACTGCTCATCTCTTCTTCCTTCTCTCCTCTCGCTTTTCCCCTCCCGTACGTCACGTACACACCCGGACGGACGCAGTGACGTTTTTCAGACCCATTCCACAGGTTTGAGAGCGCGCAGACTTTTAATTTCCAACACGACCAGAGGGAAAAAGGGATCGCCGTGCCGTGTCGTGTCGTGTCGTGTCGTGTCGTCTGGGGGGAAAGGAACAACCATTCACCACTAGCATCAGTTACCACCACCGCCAATAAAAAAAAGCCCGACTCCATCCATCGACACAAAGTAGGGCTCCTTCCCTTCAAAAGCTATTTTGGTTGTTCAACGAGCTGGCCTTGTCTTTTTCTTTTTTTTTTTGTATTGTAACTGCTTGTAATAAAACGATCTGTATATAAAGCTATCGACAGCGCGCTGTAGATTTTTTTTTGAAGAAGAAAATACATACATTCATACATACGCAAAGATAAAAAAAATGATCTGTACAAAATGAGGACTGGAAAAGGAACACCAGCTCAAAAATAAAAACAAAAAAAATGCAACGCGCGGGAAAAAAAGAAGGCGATAGAAACTATATACAAAGGATGAGAGGATTCAAGCAAGCTGGTACTTCCGTGCGTTGCCTCCCCCCTTTTCTCTCTCTCTCTCTTTCTCTTTTCTTTGGTAAAAGAAGAAGAAAAAAAAAAGAATAAAGCGCAATTGAACGCGCTCGTGTGTGTTGGTCAATGGACAAAATACAATCAGAAAAGTCGCGACACTTCCCTTCAATGTGCGTGTGTGTGTAGTGTGTGCGTAGTGTGCGTAGTGTGCTAATCCAGGTCCATACTCATCTCCACCGCGATCTTCGAATCAAGCGACTCATTCCCGCGCAGAGACCGACGACCCGTATCCAATCCAGGCACCACCTGCTCGAACTCTTTCTTCACAACAGGTTCCGACCCCACTCCCACTCCCACTCCCGGTCCCACTCCTGGTCCCTTGCTGCCACCACCGTTCCCATCCAAGGACAAAGAAGACGACGACGGCGACGACGAGAACGAGAACGAGAATGACAACGACGGTGGTCCGTCCATTTCGATATCCCGTCCTTGCGACCATAATTCCCCAAAGGCCTCCAACGCATGGATCTCCTCCTCCGAGACGTCCACCCCCTCGAACTGTGCCTGTTGTGTCTCGATCGAGTGATCCACCACCTTCTTGGTCTCATAGATCGGTGCCTCCAGATCCGCAAGCGATAGTCGGCGCCTTGCCTTGGTCCCGTATGATTCATGGTCAGAGCCACAGTCGTAGCTGATGCTCCGGGACCTACAGCCGGACGATGAGATCGATGGCAATCGTTGTGGACGATGACCGTCAACATCCCCCTCCCCATCCCCAATACCAATACCACCACCACCCTCAGCTGCGGACCCCAACTCCTCCGAGTTCCTCAGCGGCGGGAGTGTAAAATGATTCTTTGAATCCATCACCCCATTCCACGTATGCCGCTGCTGCTGCCGATTGTCTCGCCTGACGCGTGCCATCGAAGAATCATATCGATTCACCCCGTCCGAATCCTCTTCCTCCTCCCTTCCCCCGTCCTCTCCATCTTCCTCTGATAGGGACGACCGATCGGGTGAGAGCGGATGCCGGGTGCAACGGTAATCAGCATGATCCATCGCGTACCCGTACTGCGCCAGATTTAATGGGGGCAGGTGTGCATCCAAGGTCCCGTAACGACCATACGGCGACATATCGTGATGACTCGATTTGTGTTGAAGCTTGGAGGCATACCATGACAACGTTGAGGACGTACTCAGAGACGACCCTACAGACGCTCGCCGTGCGCTGGATGATGATGGTAACGTCTGGCTCTTCTTCCGAGTCTTGTTTGTATCCTTGGGAGCCCCTGCGGAAGACTCACATGAGGCACGTGTACGGGAAGTAGTGGTTGCGGTAGTAGTAGTAGTAGAAGCGGTAGTAGTGGTAGTAGAGCGTGACGATGCTGGTGCTGGTGCTGGTGCTGGTGCTGGCGCTGGCGGTGGTAGAGGTGATAGCGCCGTAGAGTCTAAATGCCTCCCACGACCCTCATGTGCATGATCATCCGAGGCAGTCAAGGCAGCATCAGCATCAGCACCAGCACCAGCACCAGCAGTAGTAGCAGGAACGCCAACGGCAGAAGCGCGGATCGTCGATATGGAATGGACCCGGCTCCTTCGGCCAATAGAGTTCGTATGCGGTTCCGACCCAGACCCAGACCCAGAGGAGATCGAGTTTCGTTTGGACCTCGGTGCCTTCGACCCCGTGCCTCCACCGCCACCACCACCACCACCACCGCCATGACGGACAACCGTGGACGGGCCGAGTAAACCGACCTCACTCTTGCGACGACTTTCCATCGCAATCTTGGACGCGATCCCGGCAGCGGATTCACGACGCGCACCCTTCGTGTGGGTCTGCGTGTGCTGGACCATATTGTCGAACCGACTGAACATCCGGGTGCATCCCTCTACTACACATTGGAATGGTTTCTCGCCTGTGTGCTTCCTATCATTTGTGACGGATTGAAAAAAAAAAAAAAAAAAAAAAAAAAAAAAAAAAGAATAAAATGAAACGAGACAAGCAACAGAAGCCATTTTTAAAAAAATAAAGAGAAATAAATGGTCAGTATGATTGACAATGATGCAGGTAAAGAACATGCCTAGGTCCCCCCTACTCTTAGAATCTCTTTAAAAGAAAAAATAGAATGCATATTGGTGATACATGCATGTAATGGAAAGGGGATGTGGGGGGAGGGGAGGGGGAGCAGGCATCGAATAATAATTATTTTTCAGGCACAAAAGAACAAAAGAACAAAAAAAAAAAGAGCATCCTAGTTCTTCCTTTACCTTGCGTGTCGAGCGAGATGTTCACTGCGCGTAAAGACCATGCGACAGTCCCCAAAGCCGGTGCACTGAAAGAGCTTCCCCTTCGGGCCCTTCGTCGTCATCGTCGCCGTCGTCGTCGTCGTTGTCGTCGTTGTCGTTGTCGGTCCAGGTGAACCCCGCCTGGACTCTGATCGGTTCGAGCATGGCGCAGGAGAAGAGTGTTTGCTGCTCTGGGCACTGTCTGAGCTGTAGCTGTCTCGGCCACTACTGCTGCTGCTGCTGCTGTTGCTACCCTGCTCGAAATGTGTTTGATCCATCTGATATTCAAAAGATAAGGCTGACATATACGTTCTTACTGTATTGTTGTTGCTTTTTTGCTTTTTTTCTTTTTCTTTTCTTTTTTGTTATAGTTATTGTTATTGTTACAAGTTTCGGTGGTTCTTTCTTCTTGTTGTCGCTGTTGGTTTCGATGTTTCGATAGGAGGGGGAGCGCTGTTTTCTGATCTTATATGGGTTCGACTCGAGATTCCGCTGCTGGCTGCCTATTTTTGATAGAGTGCGATTGGGGGGAGGGGGAAGGACGAAGGGTGATGGCAAAAGTGATTGGCAAAGCAGTGGGGGGGGGGGGGGGAGAGTATGTGGTGACAAAAGAAGAAGAAAAAAAAAAAAAAAAAAAGGCGAACGAAGCAGCGTAGATGATTGTAAAATGGGCGGTTAGTGAGCAATTCGACAGATACTAGGAGGGTGTGCAGGGTTCGATGGTACAAACAATGGCCCAAGTGGAGCAAAAGTCTAGAGGCATAGCCATCCAATTCATTCATTTACGTTTGTGTGCAGAGTCTGCTTAGCGTCCTTTTTGACCGGTAATGAAAATGGAAAATGAAAAATGAAAATGAAGATGACGGTTGCTGGTGATACAAAGAAAAGCGAAGATCGTAGGTCGGTGGGTGGCGACTGGAAGGGAAAGGGGGGGGGGGAATGAAATTGGACAAGACAAGAGTGAGAGAGAGTGTGTTGTTAGAAGATCAGAGCAGACAAAACGAGAGTTATAAAAAAAAAGTCAGGTGCATAGGACAGAAACAGGAACAGGAACAAAAAGTTCAGGTACTGGAGGAGGAGGGGGGGAGAGAGGGAAACTCAAGTGAGGGAAGAACCACAGAAAAGAAAAGAAACGAATAAGAAAAAGGAGGAACAGAAGAAGCGTATGAGAGGTGCGACGCAAGCATACAACAACAAAAAACAAAAAAAAAAATAGGTGGTTCCTGAAAAAAACACAAAAAAGGGATACACGCACGAACATGTTCCTGACAAAAGTCAATGTCTCTTCAATGACCACCCTCAACTCCCGCCATCATCATCATCACCACTCACCATCACCGCCATCTTTGATATTTAATTATTTTTTTTTTTTTTTTTTTTTGTCCTACAGCACGTCCAACAATTGACCCAAGGGGGGGCACACAGAAAACCAGGGAACAAGTGCATAGGGGAGGGAGGGAAAAAAAGGCCTGCATAAGCACAAAAGCATAGAAAGCATATAAGCAACCCCCGATCTGCTCGATATCCTCCTACTCCACACTGATTTGTGCGTGCGTGTGCGTGTGTGTGTGTGTGTGTGTGTGTGTGTGTGTTGGCAGTGGTAACAAAAACAGAGCCCAGGGGACGCGCGCGGTACACAACACAACACAACACACGTACCCTCCGTTGTCAGATCAACAACACTCGACGCATAGGGCACAGGGGAAGAATGTGGACCCACTTCACGACAAGCTACATATGGCTGCAAACCAGACAGGGAAGAAAGAAGGAAGGGTGAGGGGGGGAGGAATACCAGAGAGAGAGAGAGAGAGAGAGAGGAAGGGAGAGAACGAAAACAGGAGAGGACAAGGCAGGACAGGGTAGAAGACAAAAAAAAAAAAAAAAAAGGGTTGCCTGGTCAGATCGCACACTGACACCATAGGCACCATGGTTGTAGAAGGACATCTTTTTCCGTAAACTCTTTTTTTGGGACCGAAATCAAGGGGTGGAACAACAGACAAACAGCGTCAAGGTAAGGTATTATAGACAGGAAGACAGTGCAGTGCACACAGGCAGAAGGGGGGGGAATAGCTGTCGATGGACCATCTGGTCCTGTCCATTGTCTATGGTCCATTGTCCATTATCCAATTGTCGCTCTAAGGTTCCTGTGTGTATGTGCGGGAAAAAAAGGGGGACTTGAACGAGACTGGAAGACGAGACTATGATGAACGAACGACTACGCCATCAAGACGAAAGGCACGATTGACTGTTCTTCTCGCCTCTTTGGTCCCTGGATGTATGCGTGTATGCGTGTATGCGTACATGTGTATGCTAGTGGGCGTTGTATGTGTTTAGTGTGAAGTGTGTAAAGTGCGTGCCTGAATTTGAGGGATGATGTGCCCATTTTTCTTTCTTTGCCATGGATAGGTAGGTACCTGAAAAAGTGTATTTTGCGGGGGAGGGGGGGGTCAAAAAAAAAAAAAAAAACCGACAAAGACGGCCGATTTGCTTTGTTCGTCTTGTCTTGGTTTCGTTCGATTCGCCCGTCCTGGGTCAAAGGATCAGTCGTCAATGCGCAACCTCACCGTCAAAAAAGAGGGTTTGGGCGCGTGAAGAAAATATCTGGCCCAGAAGGTGCAGGTGCGCGCTGCATTCGTGCGTATTACATGCATCGGTTGGGATACAGGGGCATAACAAAAAATATGATGCTGTTGTTTGGTCAGAGTACTTCAATTCCATAGACTATTCAACCCTCTCTCTTACTTCTACTCTATCTCTTTCTGTTGGGCGGATATCTTTCGCGTCAACAGGGGGTATCGCACACACAGAGACACACAGACACACAAAAAAAAAAGAGCTAGGTACGAACTCATCTGGGGCTAGGATCAGGGGCGAAGGCGCCTTCCCGCCTCGACCGTTGTCCAACAAACAATTAAAGCACACCGGCAAGATGGCCGTATGATAGGGTGTGCAGCGCAGGCGAATTTAAAGGAAATCGAAATGGGAAGGATGGGTATCCAGGGCGGCTGCCGTGTTGAGTTTGGACAGAGTTGGATTCAGGGTTGGATTGGATTGGACTCTATTGCACTGTGTTGTGCTGCATTAACTTACTTGGATGGATTGATCCGAGTGTGCAAACTAACCAGGCGGAAGAGGGGTTCCACACGTTTAAAATAATCCGACTGCGGGCAGGGCAGTTCCTGGTTTTTTTGTGTGAGGAGAATGCGGGCGGGAGGTGTGCCCTGGAGGTCCGGTCGTAGGGGTAGGAGAGGTGATGATTTTGATAGTGGTTGGCGGTGGATGGGTGATGATGATGGTGCCTTGCAGGGCCGGGTTAACCTGGTAAATCAAAAAAGGGGCGTGTGTGAAAGAACAAGGACAGGAAGAAAGGAGGAGGAGGAGGAGGAGGAGGAGGAGGAGCAGTTGGAACACAACGCAACAGCAGACCGGAAATGAAAAACGAAAAACGAAAAACGAAAAACGAAACAGCGGGACAACCACAGCTGCCTTTTCTCTTGTGTTCTTGTGTGCTTCTCACAGACAGACAGACAGACAGACAGACAGACAGACAGACCGGTAAAGAAAGAGGAGGCAGTAGAAAGGACGCCTAGCATTCAAAATGGACTGTGCAGCAGGGGGAGCAAAAAGAGTAAAAGAAGAAAATAAAGGGCCGTCCTCCGCCCACGTACTTCCTCGCCGACTTTTTAGTCCGTGTGTGTGTGTGTGTGTGTGCGCGTGTGTAATGTAATCCTTTCCTCCTTTCCTCTTCAACGGGCCCGGTCTGGTCCAATACCGAACTGGCAAAGAAAAAAGTCTCCTCTCTCTCTCTGAGACATGGCCAGTAGCATTGCGAAAGAAAGACATACAACAGTCACCGCATCCTTGCATCCTTCCTGCAAACACCAACAGCGCACAATGCAAACTCTCTTTCTCGTTTTTTTTTTTTTTTGTACCTGAACAGTTGAGGTCATTTACGCGGGAAAACATATTAGTCCGCTATTCAACAACAACATCATCATCACCACCATCATCATCATCGTCGTCGATAGAGGGGGAACTATAGGCTTGGTCCATATCTTTACGTTATCTTTATGTCTGTTCCTTGCATAAAAGAGTCCTCGCTACTTCTCACTTGTCTTTCGCAGTCAAGACAATAGCATCGTCTGCCCCTCGGAACATGTCTCCCGTCTTGCGCGTATACTGCTTCGTGTTCACGGGTATGGTCTTTGATCCATTGAACCGACCCAGGCTGAGCTCTTCAGGCACATCGTCAATCTCCTGTCATGCACATGAATGAGAAAAAGAAACGAACTATTAACATTTGTCTTGTTTATCTTGTATATCAGGCGCATTCAGGAACCAAAAAAAAAAAAAAAAAAAGAAAAGAAAAGAAAAAAGCCCACCTCCTTGATCAACTCGATTGTCCTTTCGATTGTGTCCTCGACATTCACAAAAATGGCGCCAAGTAAGTTTTCGTCTGCTACAGACCGGCTGTAGACTAAAATCTCCTTGGCAACTATTTTCAATGATATAACTCTCGTTAGTCAATCGAAGATCAGTCGTCACTGCTGGTAATTGACTGCATACTAATTTAACCTCCGCATTCCTCTTACCATGGGTATCATTTGTAGCAGCAGCAGGCTGAGTTGGAGTACCTGTCGATACTTTGGGTGTCGTAGCAGGATTTGGCTGAGGGACCGGGGTTGAGACTGGAAGTCGTGGGTTGGACAGCACAAATGCCTCCTGGTTCAATTTAGCATCATCTGTCGAACCCTCAGGCAAGGACCATAGCTTTGAGAGGTCTGGTTGAGCAAGATACGCTGGTACAAATGTTGGTTTTTTGGAGCCCTCGCTCCCCTGTTCCTGTTCCTGCTGATCGAGTCCTGCTTCTGAGGGGGTTTTGCCATAGAGCTCAAGAATCTCTGGTTTCTTGGCTAGTTCGACGGGGGTCTGTCCCTTGTTGTTTTTCACATCTACACGGGCACCTCGCATCAGCAGTGCGCGGACAACGGGTTCATGGCCACGGTGAGTCGCCCAGTGTAGTGCGGTCCTATGAGACGAGATGTATATGATATGTGCCTGAATGATTAGTAAAGAAGTCCATTTGTCCTGACTTTGCGAAACATTGGTGTGAGATAGATAATGCGTCGCTTACCATCCGTTCATGGAATTCTGTGCATTGACGTTAACTCCACTCTGACAATAGTGCAGCACCGCCTTCAGGTTGCCGATCGCGGCCATTTCATGCAAGTCGTTCACTCTGTGGGATGTCAAGGAATAGTCAATCAGATCAGATTAGATCAGATCGAATCAGATCAGATCCATCCTTAGCCATGCTGCGGCAATTTCTCTTGGGCCGATCAGTATACTGTCTGTCTGTACCTTGCATCGAACTCCATGGTGGTTATGGTCGCTGTGTTGCTGTTTGTGAGTGTCCGTGTGGTGTCGCTGTGCTATGCTTGCTATGTTTGGAGGATATGAAACAGTGGGAATAGAAAGTCAACCTTCTTCTTGAGGAACCACTCAGGTGGGGGGGCTCTCAAACTGGCTACCGGGTTTGTGCGCACAAGCCACCTCCCCCCCGCAGCGTCTATTCGTCCTATTCGTCCCCTACGTGACCGCGAAGAAGCCCGTCCAACAGCTAGGGGCCAGGTCGTGGGACCAGGTTGCGCAACCAGCCGCAGCACTCACTGCAGGCAGATTACCAGCATTACCAGCATTACCAGCCAGCAGCAGCTACAAATCCTCTGCCGCTTTGTTTTTGCCCTTCACATCCTGTCTTCCCTTTCCTTCCCTTCCCTTCCTTTCTTCCCTTTCCTCCCTTTCCCTTTCCTTTGATTTTCACTTCACCTCTTCCTCCTCTACTCCCTCTCTCATTCTTACAGCCTGCTCCGCCGCCTCCACTTCCTCTTATTCCTCTTCCCTCCCCCTCCTCTCCTGCCCTGCCTCGCAATTGCTTCTCCTCCCATTGCTCCAAGGACGTTCTCCTCTGTCGTTTGCTTGCGCCACCAACCACCCTTTAACCCTTTTAGTCTTTAGCTCTCTTGACCCTTTCAACTCCTTGAACCCTTCCTGCCAAGTGTGTCATTTTCATTTCCTCCACCAGCTAGGCTGCACAGAATCCGCAGCGTAGCACACACAACAAATACCAAAAGGAACAGCTCATTTCCTCATTTCTACCTTGTCTTTGTCTTTCCTCCCTTCCTTTTTGCCCCCCCCCCCCTCCCCCCCATATCCCAATCCACTCACACCCCACTCCTTCTCTTCCCTACTAGTCCTCCTTCTCCCGTCCCTCTTTCTCATCCATCCACTGCCACTACCCGCTACCGCTACCGTCTACACCACCACTACCGCCCGTAAACTCTCTCTTCTTTCACTCTCTCTCTTACACACACACTCTCTTCTCTACTGCCTCACTAACTTCCATCCCTCCCTCCCAACAGTCTTCTCCATCGCATATACGGGCCACACCATCAGTCAGCCATGAACAGAATGGCTGCAAAGCTGCTGGAGCGGGTCTTTGTCAAGGTCCACATCCGAGCTGCCTGGAACAAGCTCCACAACATGACTGAACATAACGAGCTCTCCTCAGCTCTCGAGTCATTGATCCACCTGACCGCAACCGGTAGGTACATGCACTGCAGCATCCTCTGAAACCCCCTTCCCCCCCCCACGCAGGATGCACAATGATACACCCTTTCAATGCAATGCAATGCTCCCGCCATTTTTATAATCATCACTGTTATTATATCCACCTGCTCCCTATCTCCTTCCAGCCTACAAAACACACGAATCGATTGCTCTCTCCTTCTCCTTCTCCTTCTCAGGAACGCATTCAGCACACACGCCTCTATATCAGGGGCGGGGTACATCAGCTGGTCCTCCTTCTTCCCTTGAATACACACTCTTCGGCGTGGTAAAAATTCGATTCAAGCAACTGATACTGACAAATCATACGTCTGATTTACTGGGCCCCTTTTTTTCGTACTCCATTTTGTCAAAAAATATGACAATTCCATGATGCTATTGCCATGTTTGCTATGCTTATCCAGAATCATCATTCTGCGAACTACTGGGCGTCATGGTCGATATGATCTCAACGGACAGTCTTGGAATCGCAGCGCCGTTCTTATGCCACATCATCGACATGGCCGCATTACCCTCGCAGCAGACCACCAGGCGGTTATCTCAGCAGCTGCTGTCCAAGTGTGATCCAGGCAAGACATCATCGATTACTTCAGTGGCGTTCGCAATTCCGCTGCTTCTTTTCGCGGCCAGGAACTTACCTCTCGCCTTTTGCTCATATACTCTTGTCGCTCGTTTTATCTTGCGCATTTCTAGGTGGATTGGCTCGTTTGCGTTCAAAAAAGAAAAACAAGCCCGCGGCAGCATTGATCTGGAGTGTACTTGCAAACCGTTTGGCTGGAGAGATGAGCTCGACCTTATTCTCGGAGGCTGTATGCGAATGTCTACTCAACAACATCGAACATGACCCAGATATGTCTTGCAAAGTGTTCTCGATCATTGCGCTGGAAAAATTCAGTCTGACAGGACCCTGCAAGGCGCGCATCATGCAGACACCTATACGTAGACTACTGAGGGATGTCGCAAATATGTCTACCAATGGGCTGACAGACCAGAACGAGATCTCGGGAGTGCTACAGGCAAAATTCTGTGCAGAGTGGTCTCTTCGAAACATCTTTCGGGACATGACGGAGGTAAGGGTTCTTGTATTTGGCGTGCCAAGGAAAAAAAAAAATACAGTAAAGGCTCACGAGGCAAGCGCTTTGAACAACAATCGCTTTTCTATAGGACACTAAGGGTATCGCAGGGATGGACCAACGGGGCGATCTGAGCCCAACGATCTCTCAGGCAGTGGACGATCTTGCAGCCAGGATATCTCGGCCCCCCACACCAAAAGACAGCGTCATTAAAGCAGGTTCTTCAACACCGACAATCAACGTGATGCTCAACACACTGGATGCGACCATGCACTGGAAAATCTCTGGGGACGGACTATCGATTCGAAACGACGGCTCTACGTTTGAATCCATTCGCGCGACCAAGAGTATCTCTCAAGGAAAGTGGTTCTATGAGGTGACCCTTGTCACCGCAGGCATTATGCAGCTGGGATGGGCCACCGTCCACTGTCAGTTCTCGCCAGAGGATGGCACAGGTGTCGGCGATGACATTGTAAGTTGCAGCAAGAACCGAGACGTGAACAAACGCTCGGACCTGCTCTGGTATCATTGATAGGGATAGTGAAATAGGGGGAAGATGCTGATATATTCAACCATTGTTTATTTCTTTTCTTTCTCCAGTTCGGATTTGCATACGACGGATGCAGGAATCTAATTTGGTCCGACGGCGAGTCTGAGTCGTACGGTGGATCGGAGGCATGGAGGCCGGGGGACGTGGTTGGGTTCTATCTAGACATTGACAACGCCATCATGGAATGTTTCTTGAATGGCAGGAGTCTTGGAAAGGTGACCCCGTTTGAGATGGACCACTTTGGAGCCCAGGCCGTTTCGGGATACTATCCTGCGCTCTCGTTCACGTCCTTCCAGCAAGCGACCGTCAACTTTGGTGCAACGCCCTTCAGGTATGTTTGATGTTTGGGGATATCAATTTATTTCGGAGGGGTTTGGAAGGGATAACTAGACGACTAGATTTTGGTACTGACTTTTGTGAACTGTGGTTTGTGGTTCATGATTTGCTGTTTTTGTTATGGGTTATATCCTTAGGTACCCACCAGCACTTCCATGGAGGAACTTGAACGATCATGGAGCGATCACACCGGAAATGCGAGCGGCGATTGTGCGGCCAAAGAACGATAGTGTTTATGGGCGGATCCACGTCGACCCTGTCACTGGAATCCGGTTGCCGTCAATGCCAGAGGGCGATACCGAGATTGATTACAGTCTATTGTGTACGATCTGTTGTGACCATACAGCGACGGTGACCCTCCAGCCCTGTGGACATGATGGGCTCTGTGTCGAATGCGCGTATTCCTTGGATATGTGGTAAGTTGTTGGGTTGGTTTTGGAATGTTCTGTTCACGTATTGCTTGGCATTTGCTCCTCCTCCCCCCCCCCCCCCTTTTTTTTTTTTTTTTTTACTGTGTTGCGGTGTACTAAGATGAGATTGTTCTTTCTTTCGCTTCCACTTTCCTCGTTGTGCTATAGCCCGTTGTGCCGATCCCGTATTTTCCAGCGACAAATGTTTCCAAGCAGTGAATCCAAGGACGCAGGCTCGTCCGTGATCAATTGTATTGATGGGCTTGGAATATCGGGTTTGGGATCCAGCGATGAGAGCAGCGTCAACACCTCGGCCCTGGGCCTTTCGGCTTCGAGCACATTGACTTCTACGTGGTCTGCCGAGTACTGTGGCCCCGCACCGCCTGTCGTGAACTTGGGCCGAGCTTCTATGCCCTCATCAAGCAATACGACCACGACTACGACTACGACTGAGGATGTGACTACTGGTGACTCTAATGCTCATTCGGATACAGAGGCGGCGGCCTCTGTGGCAGCGGTGGTAATGGCCGCAACAGCGGCGCCGAACAGCGATCCACTACTGCCCCAACGTCAATCTCAACACCAACAGCATCAACAGCATCAGCCGCGACAGAGTGCCCCTTTTCCTTATACTCGTTCTCCATCGACAGAATCATTGTCTTCACGTCGGAGGTACACACTTGCGGGATCGTTACCGTCACCATCACCGGGACTGGCGGCGAATCGGGTTGCGTTGGAGGATGAGTGTCTTCAGGACCCGTTCTCGCCACCGTCAACGGCGTACTTTGCATTCTTGAATCGGCCACCGAGGATGCAGCGGAGCCAGTTACATCCGATGGATTTGGATGGGGATGTGGATCCGTTGGAAGGGCCCGTACGACAGTTACATTCACGGCATCCGTTGTCGTCGTCGGAGGGGAACGACCAGGCGAACCTGCGGTTCCGGGCGACATCAGGATTGTTGACAGGGAATAATAGGAGTGCGCCATCAGTGCCGTCGGTGGGGTTGGGTTTGGAACTGAATCCGTCTGGACCGGTTACGGATGATCCGATCTTTGCTTCAGCTGCCATGAGGCAGGAGGATTCGCTGGAGTCAGAGTCAGAGTCAGAGGAGGACGTGGTGTTGGTGGAGGAAGGACGGGAGGCGTCGGATAGTGAGGTGATGGAGCAGAGCGCGTTGGATTTCCAGGATGGACACTCGATCCATTCTCGAAGGAACAGTGTGCAGATCACGGCGGGAGCGTCTTTGGCACCGGCGCCTTTGTTTCCTCCGGCTATTCCTTCGTCTTTGACTGGGACGCATACTGGTGTGGGCGGGGCGATGATGCTGCCACCTGGGCTGATGATGTCGTCGGCGATGGCTGGAGGGGGTAGTGGGTCAGGTACGACGATGCGGTTTGGAGGACGACGGGCGTCGATGCCCAGTAATCGATTGGAGATGTAGTTGAAGGGGGAGGGGGGTCCCCCCATGAAACAGCACCACCGCAGAAAAAGAAAAGAAAAGAAAAGAAAAAAAGTTCTCGTTGCCTCATTATTATTTTTATTATTGTTATTATTATTATTTTTTTTGCTATGTTAGCTTTTCTTTCTCTTTCTCTTTCTCTTTTTTTTTTTTTTTTTTTTTTTTTTGTATGTATACACACCTGTAATTTGTAGATTCGCTTAGATCTTTTTTTTTATTCTTTTTCATTTACAATACTCGCAAACAAAGAAAGAAAGAAAGAAAGAAAAGAAAGAAAAAAAAAAAAAGACTCCACTTCAAGATACTTTCATGAACATTATTCCCATCTTACCCCTAACAGAGAAACAAAAAAAGACGATGAAAACTTGGGGCGGTTTATTTGCTGTGATATGAAACCAAAATAGACTAAAAAAAAAAGCAAAGCAAAAAGATAACAAGTTGGGGAGAGTGGAGAGAGAGAGAGAGAGAGAGAGAGAGAGAGAGAGAGAGAGAGAGAGAGAGAAAAAATCGACCCCAGGCCTTTGGGGGTCGAGTATGTGTGTGTGTGTGTGTGTGTGTGTGTATGAGAGAGTGTGTGTATGTATTTTGAGTATCTGAGGAGGGGGGGGGGGGGGGGGCGGAAGAGGAGGGGAGGGGTGTTTGTTTCTACTTGACGTAGATGGATTCCATGGAGGCGCCTAGTGCCTCCAGGGGCACACCATGGCCGTTTATAGATTTGGAGGACGATAATGGCGATGCTGATGCTGACACGGATGCGGATGCGGATGCGGATGCTGGCGCGGGTGCTGACGCGGGTCCTTTGCTGCCGTGACTGGTGGTGCTGTTGAAGCTGTTGGAGCTGGAGCTGGAGCTGGTGGTGATGGCTACGAGTGTGTTTTCGAGGAGACTGCAGTCCACGTTTGTTGTGTTGCAGATGGGTTCTGAAGCAGGCATGGCCATGTATTGCTTTGGTGTGTTGGAGATACTGGTGGTGGTGGTGGCGGTAGTAGTGGTGGCGTTGGATGTTGTGGAGAGTGAGAAGGCCTGGATCACTTCCTGTGAGGGTTGTGGCTGTGGCTGCTGCTGGTTGAAGTAGAGGGACATGTGGAGGTCCTTGCGGTGGAAGCCCGACTTCTCGTAGAAGGCTTCATTGGATTCGGAGCAGGTGAGGAGTAGTTTGTAGCAGCCGACGGTCGCACCGATGTGTCGCAGCTGGTCGATCAGTCTATGGGGGAAGGGGGAAAGCCAGAGACAAAGAGACAAAAGAACAAGAAAAGAAATATATAGATAGGGTCAGGAACGGAGTGGTCTGCTTACGATAATAAGAATAAGAATGGATATGGCAGCGCAGTGTATGTGTGTGGCATAGCGATTATGGGAAAGCTAATTTTTTTGCTTTTTGGGCAAAGCAGGTCGAGTGTGTGCTTTTTTTTTTGTTTGTTCCTTGTAGGACAAAAAAAAAAAGACGTTATACCTGATGCCAAACTTCTTTCCGCGCTGGGAATCGTGTACGACAATGTCCTCGATATGTCCAGCCTAACATGTTTCGAAAGGGAACCGAATAGGTAATGGTCAGTGACGGATTCAAGCGCCCTCCTCTCGTTCGGTATTACTCATGAAAACCAACCAACCCCCCACCTCCCTTAAGGATGTACTCATCCCATCTCCTTCCTTCCCTCCTCCATCTTTGGTCTCGTTTCGTTTCGTTTCGTTTTTTTTTTTTTTTTTTTTTTTTTTTGTTTCTTCTGCCTGATGGTGTTTTTCTCTCTTACCTTTGCACATCCTCTCAAGAACTTTTGTTCGACGATCAAGGTTCCTGTGGCAACAATCCGACTCTTTGCAAGCTCTTCGATCACGACCACATGATACACAGTCCGGCAACGGAGCATGGCCTCGAAGGCCTCACAGAAGGACTGTTCAGAGACCTTGCCGACGACGGTCAGGCCTGCCAGACAGTCATAGTAGCCTTTGGCGTAATCTGTGATCTCGAGTGGGCGCATCAGGTAGCCCTCGGGGAGCTGGGCCTGAACCTCGGGGGAGATGAGGGAGGAACTGAAAAGGGCTTGTGGTCTGGGGCTCATTATTTGTTCTGGGATGTGTGGGGTGTGTGTGTGTGCTTGTGGTGGGAGAGTGGGATGTATGAGTTTGCGTGGAGCCTTTGTGAGAAAGAAAGAGATAGAGAGTGAATGAGTAACTAGGAGATAGCGGCAAGAATGGCAATGGTAATAGCGGTGAAGAAAAGAATGAAGAAAGGTGTGAAGAAAAAAAAAGAGGTGTTTTAAAAGGCTATCGTTATTATGGTGACATACTTCACTCTACATGTAATATGACCTCGACGTCGATTCTATATTTATCGCGCTTTCGTCAATTGAGGATCTGACCGACTTGAGGATCTGAAATGGACAAGACAAGACAGGGCAAGACCCGCTTCGAGGACGGAAACACACACACGCACACACACACACACACACAGCCCATCTTTTCTTTTCTTTGCTTTACTTGTGTGGGCCACATACGAAACACGCTCAGTAGATTGGATTGGACCATCCCAGAATGCACCGGTGTGGACTGCGATCAGGACGAAACTTGTCCTCTCTCTCTCTCTCTCTCTCTCTCTCTCTCTCTCGCGCGCGCGCGCGTTGACGCTCCTTTCCCTCTTTCTTCCCTCTACCTCTTTTTTCTTTCTTTTGTACGCTCCTAGTTCGCTCTCTCTATTACTGTCCTGTGATGATCTTGGGTCGCGTTCAACTGCATGTCCAGATTAAATATATGTTTGTATTTCTCTCCGTCTTTGATCTCCTTCGACCCATGAAGAACTACTGGGTACTCGTTGAGCTGGTCGGCGGACAGAATCAAGGCATTGAACATACATACGCCATTGTCTCGTCTCAACGGAGATATAGCCACTTTATCATGTTACCCAATCATGGGCTTGGGTTGCATTGTTCGACGGATAAAAAAAGGATTTTTTTTCCAGCATGATTGAGTGAGCGATCAGAGTCCTTAGCCGTTTCTCCTCCTCTCCTTCCTCGCCCCTTGCTGCGTCAGTTAATATCTCCTGGGACGACATGCTTTCGCACGAGTGAAAAGTCAGAGACCGATGAGTGCAAAAGAGAAAGAGAGCACTAAGGAAGTAGGGGTGTGCAGGGAATAACAAATAGAATAGGCTAAACACATGGGCAACAGATCCACCTATTTTTTTTTTCATAACACAGAACCTTATTCAAGCAATTTGCGTGCCTGAGTCCGTGGGCAGGATTCGTGCAGCGAAACCCTTGTAATCCGATGGAACACACACATACATCAAACTCAATTGCGAGTCTGCCCTCCTTATTCTCATTGGACGGTATTTTGTATACAAACCTCATTCCTCCTCCTCCTCCCCCGCCTGTGATTCCAAGCATCGATCCCATGGACCAGAACCATCCCTCCATCTCGAAGCAGACGCGATTCGTCAACTGGCTGACAGAGAACAATGCCCGCTTTCCGAAATTAGAATTCCGTGATGGTAAAATAAAAAAAGAAATCTTCTCCCCCGCCTTCTTTTTTTTTGGGATCTATGGAGTTTTGTCCGCACTTGGCTCTTTTTTTTTTTTTTTTTTTTTTTTTTTTGTGGAGAAACCAAAAAAGACAGACCAGAGCCCTCCCTCTTGGACCATATCCATCATGGGACACACATACATGTACTAAAGAAATGAGGAGAATGACCTCACATTCGTTCAATTACGCTCTAAAAAAAATAATAAAAATAAAACCACCCCAATGTATCCTAGACGTCCAAGGCTGTGGAAGTGTCTACTGCTCCGAGGACATTGCCGAGGACGAGGTCTTTCTCTCGGTCCCATCCTCACCTCTCGTGCTCACGGAGGCCATCGCCCGTGACAGCCTGCCTCCCTCGGCCCATGCACTCGACGGCCGCACAGTCTTCATCCTCTTCTTGATCCAGCAGTCGCTCCTCAAAGAGAAATCGTTCTATCATCCGTACCTGGATATGATTCCGGAACGCATCTATACGGCCCTGGATTTTGATGAGCGCGACATGGAGCAATTGAGGGGAACGAATGCATTCCTGGTGGTTCAGGAGCGAAAGTCGGACTTGAGACAGAAGTATGAGAAGACTATGGGGATTGTTGGAGAGGACTTGAGGAAGGAACAGGGATACACGTGGGAGAGGTTCTTGTGGGCAGAGACCGTGCTCTCGTCGAGGGCTTTCCCGGCAACCTTGTTTGGAGGCGGAGCTGAAGGCGAGATTGTGTTGATTCCACTTGGAGGTAAGAATAACTATGTGCTTTGCAGGGATGATATAAAGGTAGGATTTGTCAAAATATAGGAAAAAGAGGATCTCACTGGTTGGTTTTGTCCTTTCATGTCTGGTTGCTGTGAGTAGACATGTTGAACCACAAAGGCCGACAAAAGCTGACGTGGATGAAGACGCCCCAAGGATTGGAAATGTCTGGCAGTGCCGTCAGTAAAGGAAACCAAGTCTTTAACAACTATGGTCCCAAGGTCAGTTTTTTTTTTTTTTTTTTTTACAGATGTCTTTGGTCATTTCTATTTTCTTTTTTGTACGTTCCAGCAAAAACGATCCGCCCCAAATCTCAAATTCGCGTGCTAATATGGGAAAGTGTATCATTGACCTTCTTTTTTCTCATACAGTCCAATGAAGAATGTAGGCATATCTCTTGTTCGATGCCCTGATACTGCACATTCATACTGTTCTGTTCTACATGACATGTATATTTTCGACCGCAACAAGAGACAATGAACGAAAATCTTCAGGATGGACTGGACATAAACTCGACGCTTTTTTTTTTCTTTTTCTTGTGTGAAAAAAAGTCTTGAATGGAGCACTGCGCATTCTTGCAGGAGGCAGCACGCGCGCTCTTAATGCTTTCTGATATCTCGTAGGAAAAACAACAACAACAACAACATTTGTTCACTCTTTTACGAATATGATTTTGACATTCTTTAGTACTCGTCGGCTACGGATTCTGCATAGAGGTAAGCACCACTCTCGATGGTTTACAAAAAGCTGTTCTCGTCGTCATATAAAAGTGCTGGTGAATATGCATATGTTTAACAATACCGTTTTTTGTTTTTTCGTCTCTCTCTTTTTTTTTTTTTTTTTTTTTTTTTACTTAGAATAATATGGATGATCTAGTGATGTTAAAGACGAACTTCTCGCGGGACCCGGAGCAGGAGCGCAAGACCGAGATCCTCAAGCATGTCGGGATCACAACACAGACGGTCCACTATCTTCGACACGACTCTATCCCCACCCCATTGCTCGTCACTATGCGCGTCATGGCCATGAATCCTATGGAAATCGACCATTGTTTCCAGCTTATCCAACAACAAGAACAGCAACACCAGGTGGAAGAGCAGGAAATGGAGCAAGAGGAGGAGCTGGAGAACAGGCTGGAGCAGACAGAAAGGGCTATCGCCATGGCTCTGAAGCAGGAACTCGAGTTTTTAGGTCTCCGTAATGAGTTTGCGATGTTGGATCTGTTGGATATGTTGTTGGGCGTGAAGTTGCAGGGGATTCTGGAGTGGGATGACAAATTGGATAAGCCTCAGAATCAGGCCCAGGAGTTTGCAAGGATCTATCGTCAAGGTACTCCATGGACATCCCAGTGAACAATCGGGATATGTCTATTCATATATGTCTCTCTCAGGTTCTGATGGTTAAAAAAAGAAAAAAAGAAAAAAGAAAGAAAAAAAAGTACTGACAGAAGTCTGCCTCTTTTCTACGTCGATATAGGCCAATCGCAAGTCCTGCAGGCGTGTGAGGACATCTGCCGGGGAATGTTCTCGGTACTCCTGCATGAATCCAGCTCTGCAACCCTCTCCTTGGCACAGGCGGTCTTTCTCGACACCTCAGGTGAGCGCGAGCAACAGCTTGAGCAGACTGCCCAGAACAGGGTCCTTTCAGGTCTTGAGCGTAGAATCGAATCCCCCGAGACATATGATACGCCATATTTCAAGGCCAAGGCACAGGAGGAAATCAGGACCATGTCAGAACTGAAACGCGATGCGGTGCAGCAGGTGCTTCTGACAGCCAGAGGTGTCATGATGGAGCACAGGGATGGTGTGTTTGGCGAGGCCCTGGGCTCTGCATTCCCTGAGCACGGCTGGGGGGATGAGACCTGGGTAGAGGAAGACCAGGACGAGGAAGAGGAGATGGCGATCCAGATGGAACAGGATGCGATCTTGACATGCTTCCTTGTCTTTGAGAACCAGCGACCGGTTCGGTTCTGCAATTATATCACTGCGGCCAAAAAAATGGATTACTCCAGGTATGAAGATAAAAAAGGTGTCTTGCGCAAGCGGTCGCTTTTATTTGAGAGAAAATCAACCTTTTTTTTTTTTTTTTTTTTTTTTTTTGGATACTGTGGTATTCAATGGCTGACAGTGTTTTTGCTTCGTTTTTTTTTTTACTTTTTGTGTGATATGGCCGTCCCGGGTTACAAGTCTGCTAGAGGAGGATATGAAGGAGGATGTGGAGGATCTGCGCCAATCACTTCAGGAGCCATTGGAGGCAGTCAATCCGGAGGCGTTTAATTTCAGCAAGACGTTTACGAGAAAGGCCTTTGTCTGGGCAACAGGCATCTTGGAGGCATTGTCGCTGAGTCTTCATATTGATGGTGAAGTCGTTACTGGCGTCCTTGCACCACGGGATGTCACAGCGATGGAAAGTGGTCGAACCAAACGAAAACATGAATAGCACCATTCGACTTTGCAGTAACCACACTATTCTAACCACAGAATGTAATGCGATGAAGTTACTGGTGTAATATCGCCTTGGAAAAATAATAAATAGCTTATTTATTGAAAGGCCTTATGCTCAGGCGTGTATGATGAAGCGACGGATGGTGCAACGGAGTTGGGAGGCGCTCTTAGCGAAGAGATTTTCCGTGCTTCTGTGGGCAAGTCAAGCGAATCCTCAGCGTCCGATGTTGATGAATTGGATGTGGGCGCAGCGTCGTCGTAGTCGATGTCATCGTCTTCCTGGTTCAGGTCCAGGTCCAAGTCCAGCTCCAGCTCCAGGGAGTTAGCTTCGGTGTTGGCGTATGGGTTAGGTTGAGACTGGGCCTTGAGCAGTGACATGATGCTTTCCCTCAGCTTATCGGCGCGTCCTACAGATATTTATTGAGGAAGAAAGGATGTCAGAAAGAGCTCTCAAAGGTAGTTTTTGACCATTTAGTTTCTTTTTGCGCCCCCAGGTCCTGTTATTTTTAGTCTTTACCGTCCATGACGTCGAGAGCGAGGTTGGCGGAATCGATGTCCTTCAGGATGGTGGAGATGTCCTTGACATCAAAGTCGCCGGCGTCCTCAAAGTCAGGGTCGGTCATGGTGGTTTGAAATGCAAAAGGGAAGGGGGGCGAGCAAAAGAGAAAGAAAGAAAGGGTTGTCAGGCAGCTTGAAAAGGCCAAGGCTCCCTGCCGACTGGACATCACGGGACATTGCCGCCAATAATGTGGGTTCGTTTCTGTCTGGGGCTGATCAGCATGTTCAGCATCCATCCCACTTCTCCTTCTCAGCCCATCAGCACCATCGAATCGAATCACAAAGAACAAATAGAAAAGGAACAACGGAAGCAAGCAAGCAGGATACACAACCATGAGTAGCAACCAGTTGGCAACCCATGGCAACCAGAGGACCATGAACCTCAATTCGATCATCTTTCAGAACATCGTGGAATCGCCCTACCTCAAGACACTCGGGTATGGACATATCACGTCCTTGTTCAACTGCAGTGGTCATTTTGTTCCACGATATCCATATCAAATACTGATATCAGTTCATAAATGAATCTAATAGCGAATTGTCGAACTTTCAAGAGATCGTGAACGAGGCACAACGAAACGGTAAGTTCCTGCGTTGCCCCTGCCAATGTTTTTTTTCAATGGCTCCATGCCCAAAGAAAAAAAAAAAGTGCGATATGATTGCTGTGCTGCTTCTGCTTCCACCCCTCCTCGTCTCTAGTCTCGATGGATATTTCGCAGGAGGGACGAAAGATCGGGCGGACGCATCCTGGCTGTACAATCTTGCTTGTTTCATTTTAAGCTGGAGATGTCTTATCTTTCTCTCTCTCTCTCTCTCTCTCTCTCTCTCTCTCCCTCTCCCTCTCCCTCTCCCTCTCTCTTTTTTTTTTCTTTTTCCTTTACTGATGCTAATATGACATTGCTCATTTATATGATTTAGTGAAATCCATGGGTAAGCAACGGACTTGATTCAAGAAAAGACGGGAACGACAAAAGACAGCTTTTCTCGAACACAGGAACTCCAAAAGAAAATATTGGGCGCACACGGATATCAACGGAAAGGAAAGAATGCGACCAATGCGATATGTCTCTAGCCACAGCTCCCATCTCAGCAACAGCGACAGCAAAGAGATAAAAAAACCGACACAGGAGCTGATGGTGTTTGCGACGACAGATACTCAGTAATGTTCACAAACCCTTTTGTTTCCACACTATTTTTTTTTTTCTTTTGCCCATGTTGCACTGCTTGGACAGGTCCTTGCGGCTTAATGATTGATCGCGAAAACATTAACGTTAATAACAAGTGATTTTTGTAATACCATTTTCCAGATTCTTATTAACTTTTTTTCTCTCACCTCGTTTCGACTCTTATTTGTTTCTGTCGCGACAAAAAAAATAAAAAAAATAAAAAAATAGAGCCGTATCTGAAAGGAAGCACTCCGTCAACCGCTTGGGTGGTCATGTACAAGTTCTGGACGTTGCCTCTGACGGTCCGACAGCTTGAAAACTTGATTGACCATCCTCACTCGGTGTAAGGATACAGTTTTTTCCACGTTAAATCAAGGAAAAGTATTTGGACCGCATTTATGACAGCAAAGAGTCATGGAACTCACATTATTCCTGTTTCGTTCTGCGATGGCTTTTAGATACCTGAGAGGCATTGGGTTCCTGTACTTGAGATTCGTCTGCAAGCCAGATCAGCTGTGGGACTGGCTCGGAGCGTACCTCGAAGACGATCAGGAGATTATGCTCCAGAGCGGCGTCAAGCCCGTTTATTCGTAAGTCGGGACCCCCTGGTATCAGTTGAGTTGCTTGCTGCATGGATTGAAGAATCCCAAATATTAATCCTGCTTCCTTTTTCCCTCTTAATCTATATGTGTCTGCAGAACCATTGGTAAGATGTGCTACATGCTGCTGCACGACCAAAAGTTCCTAGGTCAAATCCTGCCAAGAATCCCTGTCCTAGTAATGCGGGATCTAGAAGTAAAGCTGGAACCGTATGCCGATGCTGGACGCGCTAAAACTGGCCAGCGCGACCACCTCAAGTAGGTGCACAATTGCATAATGTGACAAACATGAACGTCCCAGCCTTGGCTTTAAGTCCTACTTGTTCCACGGGTGCTAACCGTTGATGTGATCTGTCAATAGAAAAGAAAGGCCCGATCGAGACCGTGGATCAGGCAGAGGTAGGGATCGCGAGAGGGATGATAACTATCGTGGTCCCAGATACGATCGCGATCGATCAAGATCAAGAGAACGAAGCAGGGATCGAGGCGGTCGTGGTCGGCGCAGCTACAGCAAAAGTCGCAGTCGCAGCCGTGATCGCTACCGCGACCGCCGTGATGATTACCGTCGTCGCAGTCGCAGTCGAAGCCCAGCCAGACGTTGAAGTTGAGCAAGTGGACCAACTTCAATGAGTTACCATCCTGGTAGAGATTTACCTTTGTGACCTCCAACGTTTGTTTCGTGCATCGTATTAAATTTCTGATGGTGTTTTTTTATTAATGATGATTGCTGTTGTGGATGGTTTGAACTGTTGATGGCTCGAGTGGTAAGAGGGCAGCAGCGACCTCGCGACCTTCTTCTGCAAGCATGTTATATGTTGCTGCTGCGTTGGCCTAAGCGCGTCAATGTCAGATCAGATCAAAATTGAATATTCAGAATGTCAGTAAGGACGAAAAATCCATAGAAGAATCATTCATGAGAGTTTTGGTTATAGCTACTTACGGTGCTCATCATATCGACCTGCAGACCTAATCTGCGGATGACGGATCGGACAGCAGGACTCAATGGTGCAAAAGACTTTCCGGTACCGATAATTAAGATCTCTGATGGTTGAAAATGAAAATGCGAATGCAAAAAAAGCATCAGTTACGGTCCTCTTCTTTTGCCCTGACAAGTCCAGGGACAATTTCTCAACTAAATGGTTGATCCATGCTTCTTGATTACCTGGGCGTGGGTTCATGAGCTCAAAGACCTTGAAGATCTCTTTTGCTGTGTCTTCGTCCATGGTCTCAAATACAGAGCGTGTGGGCAGAGTGGTGGCTCCAGTTCCTGATGCTCCTGATGCTGATTTTAATGCGTCTGTGTTCTTATTCAGTGCCTTTCTCACCGCTCCGGAGTCTCTGAAGATATCCCAGAGAAAGACCTGCCCACCGATACAGAGGACAGGGCCTTGGAGGGTGATGGCCTCCGTAGTGACAAAGCCATGTTTGGTGCAAACACTGATGGATACGGTTCGGGATTCTTTGTCGTTGAACATATTCATGAACCCAGATATGGCGCTGTCGGCATCGTCGTTCGTGCCAGCGAGAGGGACATTCCTCTGGCGGAGGCCTTGTACGGCTTCACGCTGGGATGGTGGCTGTTGGAGGTTATGTTGTGAAGGGGAGCAAAAGGAGGTGTGCAAGTGGCGGGAAAGGAGTGGTGAAGCGAGTCTACCGGGGGAGAAGGATGAAGGAATGGCGGTGGCGAGTGTCGAGAGCCGTGGGAGGGCTGTCCTCCGAAGAGTTGATGCGAGCATGGTAGTGAAGATGTGGAGGTGAAGAGGTGTGAATCAAAAACTTATTGATGTGTGGGTTCGGAGCAGTCGCGAGCTGCTTTTTGATCTGCATGCTGATCTAATATGGATTTCCTGTAAATCCGGACACTGGGAGCAGATCGGGTGTCACATGTTCTTTCCCATCGGTACCATCGAGCATCGATAAGGGCAACACGACCAAATGCATATGGGGGAGGGGGGACGAGGCCAGCCAACTCCTCCCTCGCTTTGATCACTCTCACTCGACCACTCGACCAAGTTCGTCCGCACCATTGAACAAGACTCCTCTCCCTTCACATCTCCACATCTCCACACCTCCACACCTCCATCGCCTCCATCGCCGTTTCTTTTTCTTTCTTTTCTTTTCTGTTCTTTTTCTGTTTACTGTCAACAACGCAGCAAGGAGGGTTGTATTCTTCTTTCGGCCAAGGTCTCGGACAAGTGCTTCGCTCCATCAGCCTCGCTTTTTTGCATTTGACCGCTCAGCAAACACAGTACATCAAACTACAAACAACTCCTCTTTCATCATGGACTCGCTAACGGTGATCATCAGCTCGCCTGGCCACAGTCCACACAAGTTCTCGCTCTCGCTCGGCCGCGAGTGCTCCATACTTGAGCTCAAGGAGATTATCACCTCCCGACTTGACACCAACCCAGGGATCGCAGACCAGCGCCTTATCTACGGCGGACGCATCCTCGACGACAAGGATACCCTCGACCAGGTCTTTGAGAAGGTATGAGAGCAGAAGAGAAGCCCTTTGATGATGCTGTCTCTTGCTGTCTTGCTGGGCGCACTTTCTTTCCCACTAACCCCCTTTTTCTTTCCTTGATGTCAGGTCGACTGCTCTGACAGTGCACCGACTATCCACTTGGTAGTGTCACAGCGACAGCACACGAGCACACCACCATCACCCTCACCACTCCGTTTCCGCTTCACTCCAGAGTCCACAGCTCCACCCGCTGCTAGTGCGACTAGCACAACAGCAGCAACGACAGGAACTGCGCTGAACACACGTAACACCATCACAGCATTCACTGCCAGCACAGCAACCGAACAGGACCGGACCGGGAGCAACACAACCACCACTGGGACCAGCACCATGACCCCAAGTGCGAATGACGCCACTTCGGCTCCATTTCCCGCCACGGGCATGGGGATGGCTCCAGCGTTTGCACCTTTTGCTGCCGCACAGTCCCCAGTCCAGTATCAGCCCCTGCAATACGTGTTTGTCAAGTAAGTTATTCCCGTCTTTTGACTTTGACTTTGACTCTATTTCTCCGTCATAGGGATGAAAGAGGGAGAGAACGAGCCCTTGCTAATATTAAAGAGATAACAAATAGAATTTGAGCACGTCGCATAAAAGGATTCTACTGGACTGACAAATGCCTGTTCTGTGCTTTTTAATGTAACTAGTGGCATGCCGTATCTTGTGCCAGCAGCATATCTACCGATGCTGCAACATCAACACTGCATGCAGCAAGCACACCAATTCTCAACGCCTCATCCTTACTTTGGGGCTGTTATGATGAACCCTGATGGAACACCCTATTTCCAGCATATACCAACCGTCATGATGGGTGCTGCAGGGATCGGGGCGGGTGCGCAGCAAGGCAATACAGCAGCAGCAGGACCAGGAGTAGCAGGAGCGGTGGATGGAAATGCACAGGACAATGCGGCCAGGGACCAGCGCAGAGCTGCATCGCTTTGGTTGCTGATGAAGCTGGCGTTTGGAGTGTATCTATTCAGTCAGAACGGAAGTATTGAGCGCATTGTGCTCCTTCATATTGCTGCACTCATTATCTTTTTGTAAGTTGCGATGATGGAGAGGCTATTTTTTTTTTCTTTATGGGCGGGGACGATTGTCGCTTGAGTGTATCTTGGATCATGATCGGGCTTATCGATACTAACTGACTATTGTCCATTTCATTCTTTTTCGCATAGACATCAAACGGGGCGGCTCCGGATTGTGCGCAGGATTGGTCACCCTCCAGGTGACACACCACAGGATGGTGCTCCAAATGCGGGGGGACGGCAACAGAATCCAGCAGGACCTGCTGCAGCGCAGACCCAGCAGACGACAACAACGACCACCACGACCACCTTCACATCCTCAGACAACAACAATAACACATCAGACGAAAACAGGCAAGAGTCATCATCTAGCTCTAGTAACATTACGACCATGAACAGCAGTGGTAACAGCAGCAATGGCAGCAACAATACTCAATCTGCACAGGAACAGAGCCATTTGACTGGCGCCGGTGCAATTCCTTCTGCAGACGGACAAGGAGCGCAGTCAGCACAGACTCAGGAGGGTGCATCGCAACAGCAGCAGCAGCAGCAGCAACAGCCAAGACTGTCGACATGGCGAAGCATAGAGCATGCGTTGTTGACGTTTGTGACATCACTCGTTCCGGCGCCTCCACCCGAGATCGATCCCGCAGTTGCGAATGCGGCAGCAGCAGGCGAGCGGGGCATGTGATGGGCACGACCCTTTGCCTCCGCCTCCTCTGTCTGTCTCTTCCACCTCCCTTTTGTTCTTTTTTTGTTTGACAACAAACAGGCCGGCTACGTTGGACCTGATCTGCACATAACATATTTTATATAAATATATCCTTCCCTTCCTTTTCCTGTCTTCAACGCACACACACACACACACACATTTTATTTTATTTTTTTATTTTTTTTTCCCCTTTCAAATGTTCTCGGGAAAAATACAGATACAAGTAGCGTTTTACCTTGAATTCAAATATTCAAATATCAACTGTTGTTGAGGCAAAATATCTCTGAGTACCAGTAAAAGAAAGATAACAACAACAACAAACGAACGAACGAACGAACGAACAGAAAGTAATGAAATGCTTTTGGGGGTGTGGAAGAGAGTTTCCTTTTATCAGGATTGAGGGCGATAATCTGCAGTGGGTCCAGCTTTGTGGGTTGACGGATTGATTGTCTGCATAAAATGTGCGGGCCCATGATCGTGGTCCGGCTAGATGGGCTTTCTGTCGTCGATGGTTCAGCGACATAATCGTTCGTACTGGTTTAGCGACCGGTCCTCGTCCCAAAGCATCATGCTGGCGTTATTGATGGCGGAGGAGATCATGCTATGGTAGGGGGAGCCGACCGTTGGTGGGCTGATAGTCATGGCTGACGATATGGGCTGTTCGTGTTCTCGTTGTTCTTGTTGTTGCTGTTGCTGTTGTTGGATCATGAACTGATGCTGCATTTGTTGCAGGTATCGCTCTTCTTGGGTGTGCAGTGCAGCCCAGAGCATCACCTGAGGCTCCTCCTCGTCTTCTTCAGAGTCTTCTTCATTATTATCGAGGAAGGAAGATGAAGAGTTGGGATGTTCGCCAGATGCAGAAGAAGAGAAACGCGTAGTAGGAGCGTGTGGACCGGCACTGACGGCGGTGTTGTACTCGATATCGTGGATACTCGTGCGTCGCCTGAACGAGAGATCTGGGTCCTGGATGGTTGTGTCTCCTGTCCTTCGTGCTCCTGCCCCTGCTCCTTCTGTCACTGCTGCTGCTAATGATGACGACGATGACGATGATAATGCCGATGATGCTGGTGCCGATGGTGCTGATGCCGATGATGCTGATGCCGATGGTGATGATGATGATGGTGGTGATGATGGTCGATAAGAACTTGACGCGTCCCTCGCTCCCCTAGTTCTGCTTTTCCTCTGCGCGGCCGAGGAGGTCTTGGGGATGTACCGCTCAGTGCACGATACACCATCCGAATGAAACATCCAAAAATGTCCATTGTTACAGGCCTCGAGGCACGATTCGCAAGGCTGGGTGACGTGGTATCCGAGGGTGCTTCCGCAGCCGAGACAGGCGATATCGCGGATCCGGCATTTGCAGTTCCGGGTCCTGTAGTCATCATATACCAGCTGCACTCTATCGATTTTTTTTTTTTTTTTTTTTTTTGATGCGAAGAACATGAAGGGTTATTTTGCGTTCGGGATCGGTCTGGTTTGGGTTTTGGGTTCTGGGTTCTGGTTTTTTGGTCTAGTTATTTTTTTTTTACCCTTTCGGTGGTCGATCTGTGGAGTAGAGCTCAATTCTCGCGTCGGCCAGGAGGATGGCTTTCATCCCACGCATGCATACGTCCGAGAGACAACTCTTGCACGTTAGCCTGCACACGGCCTTTGCCCGGAATTGTGGATGTAGCGATGGTGACATATTATTTCTGCTGTTACCGTTGCTGTTACTGCTGCTGCTGCTGCTGCTGCTGGTGTTTGGAAACTGACCATGCCGCGTCGGCTGCATCGGCTGCGGCTGCAGTTGTGGATGTTGCTGTTGGTGGTAGTGGAAACGCGCTTGCTGCGACGCGAAATTCGAAGGCGGTGGGGCACTAAGACCGGGCACTGGTGCACTAAGACCGGGCGCTGGTGCAATCGGTCGTAATCTCTGTGTTTGATGCTGCTGTTGCTGTTGCTGTGGTTGCTGATAGTGGCGCTGGAGATGCTGGGGTTGGGGCTGTGGCAGGTTGGCGTGATAACTTGTCGAGGCCACGATCAGATGCCGATACGAAGCATCAGCAGCTGCCGCAGCCGCAGATCTCGACCCTTGCTGGTGTCCAGTGGATTGGTACTGGACCCTCGAATCGTACCCTGCGCTGTGATACTGCTGCTGTTGCGGGGGATACTGGTGCATATGCATCTGAACATTGTTTACGGGCAAGGGCCCGCCTAGTTGGTGCTCGCTCGCGATAAGGGATTGTGGCCGCGGGCGAGGGTCTTCTGTAGATGGTGAGGTGTGGAGGTGTGAGGATGGTGCGTTGTTGTTGGAGTGGCGGCGCTGAGGAGGTTGCGAGAGGTGATGAGAAGGCGGAGTGCTTATGGTTGATGAGAAGGAGGAGGAAGAGGGAGGGAATGGTGATGAACCATGGAGAATGGCGGGGTCTTCAAAATGTCGCGGGGAAGGCATGGGTGCGACGGTAGGATAGGTGGAAGCGGGCATGGCACGATCGGCTAGAGATGGTAAATGTGGTGGACGGGATGGTTCAAGGTGGAGCGGGGGACAAGGAAGTAGCAGCTTTTGTTGACGAAACAGGTGTCTGAACAGCAAACGCGAAGAGGGGACAAGCAAAGTTGGTCAAGCGATGGAGGCGAGCAGGTGTGAAGAAAGGAAGGAGAGCGGGGATGGGCCGACAGCTTTAAAGGACGACAGCGGTAAGGTGGAGGATTGAGAGCGAGGGAGAGAGAAGGTCTGGATCACTATGTTTTGCTGCAGCTCGAAAGCAAACGAAAAGTAAAGGTCCGAACTAGAAGTGTTTTGGTGCTTCGAACAGCATTTGTGGGCGAAGCACAGCGCGCTCACCTTCAGTTGACGCGTCCTATGCAATAAGGAAATTGCAGCACAGGCCGACCTATGACAACGGTGCATGAGCAAATCGGGCTGTATGTAACTGGATATGACATACAGGTCGTATACTGCTTCAACCCCGGCTCCACTTCATGGGCTTTTGTGTGCCCTTCTCGTCTAGCGGCCCGTCAAGGATTCCCAAATGAGTGCGTCTTGGACTTGGACAACAGCGGCGCGACGGAGAATATGCAATGTGTGTCGCGTGCGCGTGCGTGTGTACGAATGCACAAATATGCATGCGAACTATGTATTATGTCTGTGAGGAATGAAGATAACCTAAGGGCAATCATCGTCAACGGCTGTTTTGAATTGAGCGAAAGACAGAATATGGAATCGATGGACGTCATGGGAAAGAAGAGTGTACCTGGTTTTTTTTTTTTTTTTTTTTTTTTCAGGCCGTTCGTATTCGGATGCCCATGTTGGAATAAACGTTTCCAACGGGGTGCAAGGAAATCGACGAGCTCACACTGCTTGCTCGCGTGGCATTCCTCATCTTTTCATCTTTTAAAAAGATCGATCATTTAGCCGGCCAAGTACGAGAAATCTAGGACACAGGTATCGCGTGCGTTGCTGACCACACATATCTAGTCTGGAACCAACATTTTGGAGATCGACACGGCTGTCCTTGAATTGTAATCCATCGGCACCTGAAGCAGAACTAATACAGTAGGAGGTGAGGTGAGGGCTCCCAAGAGGAATGATTTCTGAATGAACCTTGTTTCACCCATCGGCGGACCAAAGTCGTAACCGAGCAGAGGATATCAGAGCGAATGTACCTCCACATCCGCCATGCGCGGATGATCACCGTTCATTCTAAGGTTTTTTGCCTACGTAGGCAGGGTCGGCTTCCGATTGGATGTGAAATTGGTGCTTGAAATGAAAACTGCCCTCGGTAAGGCTAGCATCGAACTATCGTATTGAGCTTTAAGGAAAACATGAGGTCTTGTACCGCGGTTTTCTACGCATCATCCCTTCATTCCATCCCGCTTTTCCCTAGAAACGTCCAGAGAAAAAAAAAACAATTTGTCTCCAGTCAGAGTTACTCAATCGGATGTGTTTCCTTGCCGTCTCTCGGGATTCTGTCATCCTCGAATACAAAGAGAACGAGGCGGTGTAAAATGTTTTCGCGGCGCCTCCTCAGAAAAAAAAAAGTGTGTACAACTGACCATGACATTGCAGTCAATTTACTATGACGGGTAAGAACTTGACATAAGCAAAATGATTTAGACAAAGATATGAAGCATATTCTTGTTTACCGCATGAGGTCCAAGGACTGAGTCTCTTGCATGAGAGAGAATTATGGCGCCTTAACCGTAAACATCTGCCACTGTCTAATAAAGCTTTATATTGCAAAGCCTTGCATGGACGAACTAATAGGGCGCAGTTTGTGTTTGTGCCCAGGTACGCCTGAGAAAGGAAGGCCAAAGATTGGACCGGACTCTCCACGGACAAAGGGTTACTCAGTATACCCTTGCCCAGGCCCACAGTTCGTCCATGCAACCTTGGCCGACGTGCTTGTGGTTTGCTTTTGAGCACATACTACACTGAAGTAGAGCGGGAGCCAAATAAGTTCAAGGTTGATGGAGGAAGAGGGGAAAAAAGAAGCCTTCAAATAACGCAGGTCTCATGTATCTCTGTTTTCCACAGTGGAGAATACCACCACCAAGGCTAGCTACCCCTGCCGAGAATGTTTGTGGGCTCAGAAGACAAGAGTGCAGCCATACTCTAACGGAGAATATTTGCGCCATTCAATCGCATCGACATTCTTAGACTAAATGCACTAAGCACCTTTTTGTTTATTTTTTTTTATTAGCATCTTTGAGGATCTCTTTCTGCTGTTTGTTTGGGAAAGCTGACCATCTCTCAAGAGAGCTGCAGAAGCAAGCGTACATGAACGGATACCCCTCCGTACTCTGTAAATGGCATCTGCTCTTGGCTATTAGTTGTTCTTCCAACCAATCGGTAGTCTTTTTCTTTTAACGTTTACAGAAAAGAAGAGTACACAAACAAACACCTAACAGCAATGCGAACGAAGGGTAGTCGTAAAGAATCACTACGAACGAATTCTCCCGGGATTCGTTGTCTCGCTAGCACATCGAAGACACAAACACTGTGAGCCTCGGTACAGTCACCAATGCTGCTGAGCTGATCGAATGGTCTGTTCTTCCCTTGTTCCCGGGTTGAATGCCACAAACGCCATGCTCACTTGTGCTCTTTCCCTCGCTTACTGAATTCTGCTCCCCATGCCCTTGTTGGCTGAGTTTGTCACATTTACAATTGCAGCTGGAAGGTGAATACAAAAGGGAGCCAAAAGAACTTAATCCACAGAATCCTGTGGTTGTGTACCCGTCCCTCCCTTCCTATTTGTGATTACCGGGGACAGGGATAGGTGATAAGAACGGTACTAAGTCATGCTACATATCATGGAAACTGTATTTTTCGTCCCTCAAAGCGCATAGACTAAGCGCCCTCGCTGACCCCCTCGCTAGGCCACACTTGTCCTCGCTTCAATCGAACCACCCAGGCCTTGAGAAACAATGATTTTCAGGACACTGCAGCCTGCACCTGCCTGAACATCCACGGCGTTGTGCACTCTATCTATCGCTTGTTGTTTGTTGCATGCAACTGTATGCATATGCCACCGGCACTAGTCCTGCCATCAATCAAAACAATAGATACACGCGCAAGAGCTTTCCACTTTCTGTGGTCAAAGTGTATAAAGACCTCGCTATCGCCAGCACCCTGCCGCCCTTTTCTTTCTTTTTTCTTTCTTCTTTGTCGTGAACCAAAGTCCGCTCGCACCACCACCATTTCCCCTTCCTTTCCCTCACACCTTCTCCCCTGGACCTCCCTATTCCCAACATGGATAAGGAAGAAGCTACCCACGAGAAATACGAGTACGAATCCGAGAAGCCCCATCACGATGATGTCGAGGGTCAGCTTGAATTGAACGAGGAGGATGACTCCCCTATTGAGGAAGTCCGTGTTACCGTCCCCAGTAAGTACCACTCTAGTCCTCCACCTCCTATCCCCATATTCCTGTCATCCACAGCTATCGCAGCCCATCCTCCCTCTTCTACTCTGTCTGTTTTCTGGCGACGTTCATATCATAATGCCTGTTTCCCCAGCCATGTTCACTTTTCACATCCATCAATATCTGCACATTCCACACCATCTAACATAACACCTCCCTTCTACAAAATGTTATACAGACACGGATGACCCATTGATACCATGTAACACCTTCCGCATGTGGTTCCTTGGTCTTCTCTTCACGGCCGCCGTCTCCTTCGTCAACCAGTTCTTTTATCTCCGTCAGACCCAGATCTCTATTGGTTATTCTGTCGTTGCCCTGATTTCCCTCCCACTGGGCCACTTCATGGCCAGTGTCCTGCCTATGGGTGAGTTCAGCCTCTTTGGCTGGAAATTCTCTCTCAATCCTGGTCCCTTCTCGATCAAGGAACATGTCCTCATTGGAACCATGACTGCCTGCAACACCAGTACCGCTTATGCCGTCGACATTGTTATCTTGCAGAAGGTGTTCTACAACGCCGAGAAGCCCTTCATCGCCGGTCTTCTCTTGGTTCTCACAACCCAGGTCACCGGTTTTGCCCTTGCTGGTGCCCTTCGCAAGGTCCTCATTCGCCCCGCACATATGATCTGGCCCTCGACCTTGGTCACGGCCTCGCTCTTCCGCTCGTTACATCACGTTGTCGATCGTGCAGAGGACCATGGACGCATGTCGCGCATGAAATACTTCCTGCTTGTCACACTCGGATCCTTCATCTACTACTGGTTCCCTGGCTTCATCTTCCCCACCATCGGTGTGATTTCCTGGATCTGCTGGATTAACCCCAAGAGCGTCATCCTTTCCCAGTTGACCGGCTCCAACGGTCTTGGAATCGGTACCATCGCCTTGGACTGGTCTGCGGCCTCGTATTATGTTGGGCCCTTGGTCACTCCCTGGTTCGCCCAGGTCAACATCTTGGTCGGTTTCATTCTCGTTGCCTGGATCATGGTTCCTTGGGCCTACTACGCCAACCTCTGGGATTCAAAGAACTACCCCATCTTGTCAGCTGGGCTTTACAGGGGCGACGGTACTCCTTACAACAAGTCTATGATCTTGACCAATAACATTCTGGATCAGCAAAAGTACATCGATTATGGCCCCATGCGCATGGATTCCTTCTTCGCCCTGACCTACGGTGTCGGCTTCGCTGGTCTTACTGCTACCATCGTTCACGTCGTTCTGTACAACGGCAAGGAGATGCTTCAGCGCTGGAGATCTGCTCGTGAGGAGAACGAGGATATCCACTCTCGTCTGATGCGCATCTACCCTGAGGTTCCTAACTGGTGGTATATCTCCCTGTTCGTCCTCTCCTTTGGTCTCAGCTTTGTCACCTGCATTGTCTGGGACTACATGCCTTGGTGGGCTGTCCTCCTCGCCATGGGTATCGCCATCGTCTTCGTTCTCCCAGTTGGTATCGTTCAGGCTGTCACTAACCAGCAGCCCGGATTGAACATCGTCACTGAGTACGTTATCGGTTATATGCTCCCTGGACATGCCATCACCAATGTTACCTTCAAGACCTACGGTTATATCGTCAACGTCCAGGCATTGACCTTCACATCGGACTTGAAGCTCGGTCACTACATGAAGATTCCCCCACGCATCATGTTCATGGCCCAGATCATCTCGACTATCATCGCCGGTGTCATCAACCTTGCGACCGCCACCTGGTTGCTCAACACCCGCCCCAATATCTGTACCCCAGAGGGACACCCCTTCACCTGCCGTTCGACCAACACCTTCTACTCTGCCTCCATTATCTGGGGCGCTGTCGCTCCCGCGCGTGTGTTCGGTAGCAAGGATGGTGCGTTGTACTCTCCTGTCCAGTGGGGCTTCCTCGTTGGTGCCGCACTCCCCATCCCATTCTGGTACGCCGCAAAGAAGTTCCCCCACATCACATGGTTGAAGTACGTCCACTGGCCCGTGTTGTTGGCTGCGACCTCCAACATGCCCCCAGCTCTCCCTTACTTCTACACCAACGGTCTCTTCCTCGGATTCATCTTCATGTTCATCCTGAGACGTTACCGCTACAACTGGTGGGCCCGTTACAACTACCTGACTTCGGCTGCATTGGATTCAGGAGTGGCTATCTGTGGATTGGTCATCTTCTTCTGCATCCAGTCGTGGAATGGTGAGATGCCATACTGGTGGGGTAACCCTGAGGACGGCAACTACGACCACTGTGAGTTGGGTTATGCCAACTACTATGGAGAGCTGTACTAAGGAGACAGGATCTTTTCGTTGTATGTATCATTATTTTTATCCTATCTATCGTAATAAATAGTCTATAGCCGTCCTTCTGCAATGGAAGCATGGCTCTTCCAACAGGATGACAAAGAAGAAGAAAAAAAAAGCTATATTGCTGCGTATTCTAGTCTTTCTATGTGAGACGAAATATCGTGAGAAATATATATAGACATGTAAGGCATTCTTCCAGAGTTGCCACGCGACAGAGAGTGAGAAATCCCACATGGCCGACTTTCACATCGATATTTCTGTGCATCCGCGAATTCAGCCATGACGATGCATCCTGGACAGTCTACCATTCGCTCGTGCAGGCAGGAGGAGCCTGCCTGGAATACAAAAACAAGGTTAAGCACTAGACTAAAACTGTTGCTGTAGGCACATTTGTATGTACTTCGACAAGTAAATTTGATGGCTGGCAAGCTCCCGGCCAATAGGAAGGTTTCCATGCCGTTTTGAGCTTGTGTTCATTGTTCTTTTAATCACACCACTCACCATCCACACAAACATCTTTTAAGGTCCAGCCTAGTTTCCCAAGCCAAGCGCTCGGGATGTAGGCTGGGTTCCGTAGGAGCTCGTCGCTGCTCATTGGACGCCATCCGTCCATATGACTCTACACAACGCTGACTAGCGGATGAGTAATGTTGGTAAGAGAAATAGAGGAGGACGTGTGGGATTCTATCATTAGTAGCTATCCGAGGATGGTGCCTTTCATTGGCTACTTGGGTAAAAAAAAAAAAAAAAAAAGAAAGGCGAGAGGGCTCTGCTGCCTGTCCGTCCTCCGCTAGACTATCTCTCACTGTCCTTGGTCGTTATCTCACCCTTTCGATACTTACCAGCTCTTGGGCGCTCATCACGACCTGTAACAAAACACTGCTGGCCGAGTGAAGGAGGAGAAATGGGGGACACTCTGCGCAGGTGCGCGCGGGTGAAATTCAGTATATTGTAAAAACTGACAGACAAGGGTTGTATAAATTGGATACTACTTTCCCTTCGCATGTAAACGACGAATGTCATGGTTTTGCTCTTCGAATTCGCAGCATCAACAATAAACAAAGAAGCAGACAGGAAACAGAGCCAACGAACAGAGCGAACGGAACATGTACCAGTGTAATGAAATGAGAAGTACTTACTGCATGTAGACTATGCCAAAAAGAAAACAGAAGGCGAGAGGCGGCGACCTGCTTTGAGTTCGCCTCCTCCTTCTGTTGTATTTTGTACAACAACAATTCACCAGAGTTCAGTTGCCTGCACATAAACAAACAGACACCAGTTGGAGTGGAGGTACTTTCTCAAAGTAATTCGGATGGAAATTAACAAAAAGTGCATAAAGGACATGGGAGGGCGGGGTTCGAGATCTGCCATTGGCCCTACGTTTTCTCACGGAGTCCTGAGAACCTCAGAGACGAACGTGGGTGAGGTGAAGGGGATATATAGTCCAACCTTGGGGCCGCTCATTGTTTCGCTAGACCGCGTACCATATACACAATCTATGGAAAGATCTGTAAGCCCCCGGAAAGGGACAGTGGATTGTACTGACCCACCCAGCAACAGTTTATGAAAATAACTCTGTAAGCTCACATTGCAATCCTAGTTGGGCAGCAAAAAATCGAGAGGAGACGATGTGCGGGACAGACCTGCGAGAGAGAAAGTGCGCGTCGTGTAGATGTCGGCTTAGTAGTCTGTAGAAATATAACCCAACATTATGCCAGAAAGTGATAGTGTGTAGCAATTCCGTAGACAGCGAGCGGTATAGCTAAGAGGGATGTTATGGGGGGACTTTGTCAAAATCAAAGAGGAGGGCCACATTCAAACATCTCGACTAGTCTCATCCGCACAGTGTGGATAAAACCTAAACCGCGTCGGGGCTTCACGCGGAAATAGGTCCGAGGAGGAAATTGGAGGGATTCACCTGTTTCCTGTTTTGTCTTTGATATAATCGTAACGCCGCGATCACATTTCATAGTTCGTAAGCATTATTTACTTCACACATACTCCCCCCACCACTGGGTCAGCATCAAAGAGCTATCGGTTTGCTCGATCACTGCTACCAGTCATTTGCCTGAAGTGGATCATTGCCGTAGAGCAGGTTTACGCGCGGCTGAATTTAGCGGCCTAAATGTTGGTGTACCAAACGGTTGCTTATCTTATTCCTTTGCCATCCATGGTCTTGTGCTCCAAATGCAAAGTGAAGACAGAGAGTCGGTTCCCTGTGCTGCGCCTGCGTATTTTAAAGCGTGGGTCCCTGATGTGGAAATGAATGTACTGTACAAGGAAAGGAGAGGTTGGTTGCTACGTCCATGCCACAATGTTCGTTCCCTTATTTTTCTCATGCTGCGTTTGGCGAATGGGCGCTGAGCGTCGAGAAGCAGGAGGGATTGCGTCTGGCGAATGGCAATGAGGTAGCCCCTCTATCATACCAGGGCTCGGTGGGGCTGTGCAGGACAGGGCACTCTTTCACAGGAGACGGTACTCATCCAGACGCTGCACCTCATAAAGCAAAGGCTGGTCGAGAACTCTTTGAATAATAAAACGCTTAACATCCCCCCTTTGCTCCCGTTCCTGATTGGGTCGAATTAAAGTTCAAGAGCGCATGTCCTCGCCCTTCCTCTTTTGCTTATTAAAGTTTCGAGCGCACGCCTTCGAGGCACCCTTCTGCTTTATTTCTGTTTCCCTGTTTCCCTGTTTATCCAGATTTGACGAAGACGCACCGTATGGACAGCGAAGGACGGGCTAGAAATAGTAATGACGGAGGTCAAGTGGAGTCGCTGAATAGAAGCTCATTGTTTGTCTCCCACGCTTCCTCTAGTAGAAGCATCTCTCTGCATTGACGATAATTCGGCGTTACATCCGTTCACAGGACGGGCCCATTTATCCAATGGAGGTACTCCGGCATTGTTCGCTATTGCATCTACAGCGTGGGCAAAGATGAGATGCAGGACAAGGACAGCGATTTAGCGAGCACATGTACTTCTAGGTCCAGTATTCTATTAAAAGCATGGAGTGCGATAAATCAAATGTCATTTGTGCTGATACACTCACGATTGGAGACAGGCAAGGCAGTTCCGAGAACTCAAGTTTCCACATAAGCATTGGCCTCACACACGCTTTACGTAAAAATCCGTTCCTTCGAGAAACAATGAAATGAGGCAGAAGGTCCTTACCGGATAACGCTTTCGTAACCTGCCCTATGAATGCATCCAAGCTACCAACGACAATGAAATGAATCCAGCAGGAATCCTCCTGTAGTATGATGCTTCCATAACCCGCTTTTTCTTTCGGACACATGAACAGTGGCGGGGTCTGAGGGGTGGTGTTCGGACAAAGGGCCGGCTTGATAAGCAGAGCGAGCAGGTCAAGAGCGCATGCTGTTGGATTGGAAGCGTTCCTATTCGTGGACAATACAAACATACAAACGACTCTTTAAGCACGCAAGGCCTTCTTATGTTTGCGTCTGAGTTCCATGCCACGAGCGGATTAGCATCCGCGGTGGTGTGTGTCTTCGAGTGTTGGTGTCCCTCTCATTGGCCAGCCTTGGATTACATTCTGGGACAAATTGAGTCCAGACGGAGTGGTCCAACTGAACAACATGAGCCCGATGCGCATAGTGAGGAGCAATGCAAGGGTGAAATAGCGTATCAGTAGCAGCGGTGCTAGGGTTAGGGTTAGGGTTGAGGAGGGGGACGACAGGAGAACACCTAATTGGGCGAAAGATGTTCTTCCGCAGATGCTCGTTCCAGCCATTTGTGGTCCATGGCCCTGCGGTCCACCTGTTTACCCATTGTTCTGTTTGGATTCCTGACACCTCATCCAGGCGTCCTTGGCCAGTAAGGAGGCGCTTTCAAAGATACCACCCTGCCGACTCTTCCCATCAGCACCTCGGCGACTTGGCATAAATACGGGGCACTTCTCGGGAGCAACACCCTCTCTTCTTTCTTCTTTTTCCCCTCGTGCCATTTCTGTGAATCCACCCTAGACCCTCCCTCCCCTCGCCCCATCTCTGTCTTCGGACTATATCCTTCCCTCCTCTTTTCCCTCCCTTCCGCCCCCTTCCTTCCCTCCTGAAGACAACCCACAATGGAGAAAGAAGAATACGCCAACGAGAAGCTGGAAGAAAAGCGCTATGACGATGTCGAGCACCAGGTGGACCTCGTCGAGGAGGACGACTCTCCGATCGAGGAAGTCCGTGTCACCATCTCCAGTAAGCGATTCGTTGTCCATTCCCCAAAGTGCCATCCTGTCCTTTCCCGCTCGTCTTCATATCACTGATCGCTGCTCTCCTTTTGTTCCGATCGTTCTTTTACCCCATGAATAGACATCGATGATCCCTCCATCCCATATAACACCTTCCGCATGTGGTTCCTGGGTTTGTTCTGGACCTGCATCATTTCATTTGTGAACCAGTTCTTCTACCTTCGTCAGACCCAAATCTCGATCGGCTACTCCGTCGTCGCCCTGCTGTCCTTGCCCATGGGTCATTTCATGGCCCGTGTCCTGCCCACGAGTGAGTTCAGCCTCTTTGGCTGGAAATTCTCTCTCAACCCCGGTCCCTTCTCGATCAAGGAGCACGTCCTCATCGGAACCATGGTTGCCTGCAACAGTGGTACCGCTTACGCCGTCGATATCGTTATCCTGCAGAAGATCTGGTACAACTCTGAGAAGTCCTTCGTCGCCGGCATGTTCCTGGTCCTGACCACCCAGATCACTGGTTTCGCCATCGCTGGTGCTATCCGTCGCTTCCTGGTCCGCCCAGCCCACATGGTCTGGCCTTCGACCCTCGTCGTTGCCTCGCTCTTCCGCTCGCTCCATGCTCAGCAAAGCGAGGATGACCATGGCCGCATGTCTAGGATGAGATACTTCCTGCTCGTCTCCGGTGGTATGTTCATCTACTACTGGTTCCCCGGATTCATCTTCCCTACCATTGGAACAATCGCCTGGATCTGCTGGATCAACCCCAACAACGTCGTCCTGTCCCAGATCACCGGTTCCAACGGTCTCGGTGTTGGTGTCATCGCCCTCGACTGGGCCGCCGCCTCTGCCTACGTCGGACCCTTGGTCACCCCTTGGTTCGCCCAGGTCAACATCTTGGTCGGTTTCGTCCTCGTCGCCTGGATCATGGTTCCATGGGCCTACTACAGCAACTTGTGGAACTCCAAGAACTATCCCATCGTCACCGCTGTCCTGTATCGAGAGAACGGTAGTTCTTACGACAAGTCCCAGGTCTTGGATGCCAGTGGTCTCCTGGATGAGGCTGCTTACCTCGCCTACGGTCCTCTTCGCATGGATTCCTTCTTCGCCTTGACCTACGGTGTTGGTTTCGCTGGTCTCACTGCCACTGTCGTCCACGTCCTCTTGTACAACGGAAGGGAGATTGTCGAGCGCTGGAAGTCTGCACGCGCCGAGAATGAGGATATCCACTCTCGCCTGATGAGCGTCTACCCTGAAGTTCCTGACTGGTGGTACGGCCTCCTCTTCATCGTCACCTTGGCTCTCAGCTTCGTCACCTGTGTGGTCTGGGACTATATGCCTTGGTGGGCCTTGATTTTGGCTTTGGCCATCGCTCTGTTCTTCGTCCTCCCTGTTGGTATCGTTCAGGCTGTCACTAACCAGCAGCCTGGATTGAACATCGTCACTGAGTACGTTATCGGTTATATGCTTCCTGGCCATGCTATTGCCAACGTTACCTTCAAGACCTATGGTTACATCGTCAACGTCCAGGCACTCAACTTCGTCTCGGATTTGAAGCTCGGTCACTACATGAAGATTCCTCCAAGAGTCATGTTCATGGCCCAGCTGATCTCGGCCGTCATCTCCTGCATCATCAACTTGGGCACTGCCACCTGGTTGATCAACACTCGTCCCAATGTCTGCACCCAGAAGGGATACCCCTTCACGTGCCGTTCGACAAAGACCTTCTACTCTGCCTCGGTCATTTGGGGAGCCATCGGACCTGCTCGTGTGTTCGGTGACAAGGATGGTGCGTTGTACTCTCCTGTCCAATGGGGATTCCTCGTTGGTGCTCTCCTTCCCGCAATCTTCTGGGCCCTTAGCAGGAAGTTCCCCAACGTCAGCTGGTTGAAGTACGTTCACTGGCCCGTGTTGTTGGCTGCGACCTCCAACATGCCTCCTGCCCTACCCTACATGTACACCAACGGTCTCTTCCTCGGATTCATCTTTGCCTTCATCCTGAGACGTTACCGCTATGACTGGTGGGCCCGTTACAACTACCTGACCTCGGCTGCATTGGATACTGGTGTCGCCATCTCTGGTCTGCTCATCTTTTTCTGTATCCAGTCCTGGGACGGTGCATTCCCCTTCTGGTGGGGCAACCCCGAGGATGAGAACTTTGACCACTGCGCTCTTGGCTCTGCCAACTATTTCGGCGAGTCCCTGTAGAGGCATGTTCTTGTGCGCAATGCATTGAATATAGTGTGTTTCTTCCAAACTACAAATAAAAACGCTTAATCATTATCTTTCATGATGAATGGGAAAGAATGTCTGTTACCTTTCGGAAATGGCGTTCCTTAGAGTAAAGGAGGTCTATTTGAAATTATCTGGTGGAATTGATGTGTTAGACTATCCTGTGCTGAGCTATGCATTTTTTTTTTTTTTTTTTTGTGTCGCGTGTTTTGAGATTGAGGAGTATGTGGATCTCAGAGAGAGCTAATCGGTCTAGAAGAATGAAGAATTGCTGTGCTGGTGAACAGGAACGACGTGATTAAAGACCGAGGTATGTATGGGTGGGCTGGAAAAAATCGTGGCGAGATGCCTTGCGTACTTTGCGGATGCTTTTTATATCACAGATGAAAAAAGTAATTAGCGCAAAAAAAGCTTCGCGTACATAGTGCATGGACAACATGGATGTATGTATGCCGCTCCAATGTAAATAATCTCTCAGTCCGTGGAGACGGATTCTGTACGTGAAGTACCTATACGTCGTATGATTGGCCGATCTAGGGAAATATCAGGTCGCACGATCTACTGGCTGGGACGGAGGACATGTCCGAGGGCGACCTGCAGACCCGGAAGAGTGTCCGATTGAGTGTTGATATACACCTACGGGTTCAACGCCTTGATGGGACTATCGGCGGGGACAGAATGGGGTGAGGCTGTCGTTTCTGCTTAGAGTTCCCTTCATTTTAGGGTTAGTTTATTGTTCGCGCATTATGAGAGGAATATACATTTTTTGTTTAAGGGAAGAAAATGGCGCATGGACAATATGTAACCAATACAACACGTAAAAAATGAGAGTCGACAAACTATATAGCCTGTTCCATAGACGACCAAAAGTAGGCAATGCGCCCTCCGCCCTTTCCGGTCATGGAAAGAGATCCCATTCGTTCAGACCCCTGGCTTAGCGGTATTCGCTTCCGGGTCCACTTGCACACGGTCTGATATGAAAGGCAAGAGCACACCGCCGTACCTTGTGCTGGCGTCCTGGGAATGACCTTCCGTCGCCTCAAACACACACGCATACGGTATTCGTATTCTTCAATGGAATTGCAACTATTATAAATACCATGGCCTATCCCCAAATCGTTTTTTTTTTCTGTGTGCATTTTTCACCAGATCCATCCTTCACCTACCTTTTGCCCATTGGACAGCCGCTCTCCGTCTTCATCCATCCTCCCTTCCTATACCCATCTTCCACCCACAATCGTCCCTGCATAGTGTGCCAGTATACTCTCGCACCATGGAGAAAGAATTGTACGACAACAAGCTCGCGCTCGACGACGAGAAGCGGACCGACGAGGAGAATTCTCAGCTCCACCTTGATGAGGAGGATGATTCCCCTATTGAGGAAGTCCGTGTTACTGTCCAGAGTAAGTAGAGCCAGACAATTTCCCATCGCACATTTTCGCACCCTCTTTTGCCATCGACGTGGACAGATCTTTAATTACTGCTACTCTTTCACAGACACGGATGATACTTCGCTCCCATACAACACCTTCCGCATGTGGTCCATCGGTCTCTTCTTCACGGCCGTGATCTCATTCGTCAACGAGTTCTTCTACCTCCGTCAAACGAGCGTTACCATCGGATACTCTGTCGTCGCCTTGCTCGCCCTTCCCATCGGTCACTTCATGGCCCGTATCCTGCCCACGCGCCAGTTCAGCCTCTTTGGCTGGAAATTCTCGCTCAACCCCGGTCCCTTCTCGATCAAGGAGCACGTCCTCATCGGTACCATGGCTGCTTGTAACACTAGCACAGCCTATGCCGTCGATATCGTCATCCTGCAGAACGTCTTCTATGGAGACGAGAAGCCATTCATTGCTGGTCTCTGTCTGGTCCTGACCACCCAAATCACAGGTTTCGCCATCGCTGGTGCTATCCGTCGCTTCCTGGTCCGCCCAGCCCATATGATTTGGCCCTCAACTTTGGTCTCTGCATCCCTGTTCCGTTCGCTCCATGCTGGTGTAGAGGAAGGCGACCACGGCCGCATGTCTAGGATGAGATACTTCATGCTGGTGACCGGCGGAATGTTTATCTACTACTGGCTTCCCGGTTTCATCTTCCCTACCATCGGAGTAATCTCCTGGATCTGCTGGATTAGTCCCAACAACATCGTTCTTGCCCAGTTGACCGGTTCCAACGGTCTTGGAATCGGCACCATCGCTCTTGATTGGGCTGCCGCTACGACCTATGTGGCACCCTTGGTCACACCGTGGTTCGCCCAGCTCAACATTTTGGTTGGTTTCATTGCTGTTGCCTACATCATCGTTCCATGGGCCTATTACACCAACCTCTGGGATTCCAAGAACTACCCTATCATCAGCGCTGGGTTGTTCTTGTCCAACGGTACCGCTTACGACAAGTCCAAGGTCTTGGATGCTAGAGGCGTTTTGGATGAGGCTTCTTACCTCGCCTACGGTCCTCTTCGCATGGATTCCTTCTTCGCCTTGACCTATGGTATTGGTTTCGCTGGTCTCACTGCCACTGTCGTCCACGTCCTCTTGTACCACGGAAGGGAGATCGTCGAGCGCTGGAAGTCTGCACGTGCCGAGAATGAGGATATCCACTCTCGCCTGATGAGCGTCTACCCTGAAGTTCCTGACTGGTGGTACGGCCTCCTCTTCATCGTCACCTTGGCTCTCAGCTTCGTCACCTGTGTGGTCTGGGACTATATGCCTTGGTGGGCCTTGATTTTGGCTTTGGCCATCGCTCTGTTCTTCGTCCTCCCTGTTGGTATCGTTCAGGCTGTCACTAACCAGCAGCCTGGATTGAACATCGTCACTGAGTACGTTATCGGTTATATGCTTCCTGGCCATGCTATTGCCAACGTTACCTTCAAGACCTATGGTTACATCGTCAATACCCAGGCACTCAACTTCGTCTCGGATTTGAAGCTCGGTCACTACATGAAGATTCCTCCAAGAGTCATGTTCATGGCCCAGCTGGTCTCGGCCATCATCTCCTGCATCATCAACTTGGGCACTGCCACTTGGTTGATCAACACTCGTCCCGATGTCTGCACCCCGAAGGGATACCCCTTCACATGCCGTATCACAAAGACCTTCTACTCTGCCTCGGTCATTTGGGGAGCCATCGGACCTGCTCGTGTGTTCGGTAACAAGGATGGTGCGTTGTACTCTCCTGTCCAATGGGGATTCCTTATCGGCGTCGCCCTACCTTTGATCTTCTGGGCTCTTAGCAGGAAGTTCCCCAAAGTCGGCTGGTTGAAACTCGTTCACTGGCCCGTGTTGTTGGCTGCGACCTCCAACATGCCTCCTGCCCTCCCCTACATGTACACCAACGGTCTCTTCCTCGGATTCATCTTTGCCTTCCTCCTGAGACGTTACCGCTATGACTGGTGGGCCCGTTACAACTACTTGACTTCAGCTGCGTTGGACTCGGGTGTTGCAGTGGCGGCGCTGGTCATCTTTTTCTGTATCCAGTCCTGGGACGGTGCCATGCCATTCTGGTGGGGCAATCCCGATTCAGATAACCCGGACCTCAATGCTGGCGCTCAGGACCACTGCTACTACGGTGGCACGAACTACTACGGCAAGTAAAGAGCCGAGCAATGCCTGGTTATTTAGTTTTAGATCTGTGTGCGTCGTAATTGAGATTTATTTGACAATTAAATATTGAAAGCGTCAGCTTTTGGGCCGTGTTCTTATGATTGAAATCTATTTGCTGAGTGCACGATGACATTTTTAGCAATAACTGCAAACAGGAAGCGTGTTAAGTAGTTCAGCGAGAGGCGTAGCTGGATATATGTTTGCGATTGAAGGTGCTTATGTTTAAACTCAGATAAACGCGTGGGCGGTGGTGTGTGTGCGCCGAAAAAAAAAAGGAATGTTGCGTAGAAAGAGAGAGTTCGATTCTTGTAATAAAGTGTGTTCGCCAAAGGGGGAGACCGTACTTTTTCCTCAAACACCGACTGGATGCCTTGCAGATTCGACCAGCGAGCCTCGCACTCTAGTGTAAATGGACTCTTCTTCAGCGAGGGGCTTGTGAGAACGCACACACGTTTCTCCATGCGTGGCTCGAGTGTCCCCACATTATTGCCGATTATGTTTGTTATTGGATGAATGGGAGTTGCCCACAGGGCACAGGGGAGCACTGAGGAAACGCTCCTTCATCGCTCAATGAGCGTGGGGACAGATTTTGAGGCGCTATTTATTCTATTGGCTGCAGATTGTCGTTGTGCACCCTGACTCAGCTTAGCCAATAGGAAGCATGCCCCGTTCCTGAATTTGGATACCAAAACCAGGTACGCACACAATGACAGGGGAGCAAAGGAGACCGGCAGTAGTCATCGAAGTGTGCTGACATGGATGCTTGCGAAGAAAAGGGAGAAGCATGCCAAGGTGTTAAAGGACCAGGCCCATCATCCTAACCGGGATCTATGCTTTCTATTTCCTAAAAAAAAATTGGTTCTTTCCTCATCGGCAACCGCTTCCGAGGCCAACTCTAATTCGTTATTTCTCGATACAATTTGTTTGTTGTTGTGCGCATGCATTGTACTGTACAGCCATTCCCAAGTGCGGCTGTCGGGAGTGCGACCACACGGCTGTCTATCCGTAGGACACTAAGGGGGGTCTGCTTTCTTTTCCTATAAAGGATTCGTCCTTGTGCATCCCTCCCCAGTTCTCTTTTCCGCCTCTCTACCTCTTTCTACATTCTTCTTCCTCCTTGTCGTCCTCTTCTCACCATACCCCATGCTCTTTGTGCAGTTGTAGTCGGAGGTTCCTTCTACACTCGGACCGTCGTCGATTGATTGCCAACCACTGTTCAATTTCGTCTGTTCTCCCTTCCACATCCTGTACTCCATCACACATCCTCATCAACACACTCGCAAGAAATGGCCAAAGTAGACGGGTACCATACCCAGCGGTCGCCTGTATTACCACCGCAATGCCTGTCATCAGAGCAATACATCTCAGACGAAAAGCACGGCATCGACGACTTGGAATGGCCCCCCATAAACCTCGCTGAGCTGGAGAGCGACTCGCCCATTGAGGAAGTCCGTATCACAGTGTCAAGTAAGGCTATCAAAACACATTGACGACAAAACGGCATACTTTCCCATGAAGAAATAGTGTGTGTTTCACAAGCACACTGGGCCCAAAAAACAAAAAAAAAAGACGCTCTCTAAATCCCCCCTTTTTTTTAATATTTTCTGCTGCAGACCACGACGACCCAACAGTGCCCTACAACACCTTCCGGATGTGGTTCCTGGGCCTGCTCTTCACCGCCATCATTGCCTTCGTCAACGAGTTCTTCTACCTTCGGCAGACCAATATCTCGATCGGATACCCCATCGTCGCCCTCATCTCCTTACCCCTCGGACATTTTCTCGCCAAAATCCTCCCCACGCGGGAGTACAGGATCTCCCTCTTCCCTGGATCACGGCATGGATTCTCATTCACCCTCAATCCAGGACCCTTTTCTATCAAGGAGCATGTCCTCATCGGAACTATGGCAGCCTGTAACACCAGCACAGCCTATGCCATCGACATCGTTATCCTCCAAAAGATCTATTACCATGCAGAGAGACCCTTTCTGGGAGGGATGTTGTTAGTGCTCACAACACAGATCACTGGCTTTGCAATGGCGGGAGCAGTAAGGAGGTTTCTGGTAACACCTGCTCAGATGGTTTGGCCCTCAACTCTGGTTACGGCGTCGCTTTACAGGGGTCTGCATGCGCAGGCGAGCGAGGATGATCAGGGACGGATGCCGAGGATGAAGTACTTCTTGTTGGTCATGCTCGCATCCTTCATCTACTACTGGTTTCCTGGTTTCATCTTCCCGACCATCGGCGTGCTTTCATGGGTTTGCTGGATTAAACCCGACAACGTGGTTCTGGCGCAGTTGACGGGATCGAATGGACTAGGCATCGGGACAATTGCTTTGGACTGGTCGGCAATCTCGGCCTACTTTTCCCCATTGATCACGCCGTGGTTCGCGCAGGTCAACATGCTCATCGGGTTCGTGTTCCTGGTCTACTTTTTGATCCCGCTGGTGTACTATACCGATCTGTGGGGCTCCAAACGGTTTCCCATCATCTCGGCGGGCTTGTTCAGGGAAGATGGCGGCAGTTACGACATTTTGAAAGTGTTGAACCAGGATGGTATCCTGGATGAGGAATTATACGGGGCCTATGGACCGCTTCGAATGTCCTCGTTCCTGGCGCTTTCGTACGGCATCGGATTCGCAGCCATGACGGCGACCGTCGTGCACATGATTCTTTATCACGGCAAAGACATGATCACCCGGTGGAAGAAGTCCTTCGCGGGCGGCGGCGATGTGCACTCGAGACTGATGTGCGCGTATCCAGAGGTGCCCAACTGGTGGTACGGCTTGCTCTTCGTGACCATGGTCACTCTCAGCTTCATCACTTGCACCGTCTATGACTACATGCCCTGGTGGGCCCTGATCCTGGCGCTCCTCATCGCGATATTCTTCATCCTCCCCGTCGGTATCGTCCAGGCGATCACGAACCAGCAGCCAGGACTGAACATCATTACGGAATACATCATCGGATCGCTCCTTCCAGGCCACCCCATCGCCAATGTCACATTTAAGACCTACGGATATATCGTCAATGTCCAGGCCCTGAACTTTGCGGCAGATCTAAAGCTTGGCCATTATATGAAGGTTCCCCCACGGATCATGTTCCTCGTTCAGTTGGTCTCTAGTATTCTTGGATGCATTATCAACCTCGTCACCGCAACCTGGCTGCTCAACACTCGCCCGGATATATGCACCCCTGCAGGCTATCCCTTCACCTGCCGCTCGACTAATACCTTCTACTCCGCGTCTGTGATCTGGGGCGCCATCGGCCCAGCTCGCGTCTTTGGTGACAGGATCGGAGCCATGTACTCTCCTGTGCAGTGGGGCTCTCTCATCGGCGTGTTCTTGCCCCTTATCTTCTGGGCATTCAGCAAGCAATTCCCCAAGATCGCCTGGCTCAAGCTTGTTCACTGGCCCGTCTTGCTCACCGCCACATCCTGCATGCCTCCCGCACTGCCTTATTTCTTCAGCAACGGCCTTTTTGTCGGCTTCATCTTTGCGTATCTGCTGAGACGCTACCGCTACCGCTGGTGGTCGCGGTACATCTATCTGACGAGCAGCGCACTTGACACCGGCGTCGCGCTTGCAGGCATGGTGATATTTTTCGGGATCCAGTCATGGGGTGGCCGGATGCCTCACTGGTGGGGAAATCCTGACATTGAGAACGGCGACGTAAACGCCCGGGCATGGGATCATTGCGGACTCTCTGCAGCCAGCTTTTCTTAGGTGCAGTCGGTACCTGCACCTCCTCTTCATTATATACCAAATAGTGCCACATGTAAAATAATATCAAGTACAGCATACACCAAACGTGCGTTTTGAATTGTCAAATTTAACGAAAACTATCTACGCCCATATCTTTCTGACGCCTACTCCTACTCGTCGTCATTCGTCCCGAGATTCAAACCGCCAACAGCATACACCTCCGCATCCTCTTCAATCGCCTCTGCGTCCTCCTGTCCATGCAGCTGTTCCACTCGCGCTCTCTCGTTGGCCGCCAACTTGGACAAGATACGACGGTTGTAATCCGTCAGCGCCTTACTGGCCGCCATATCGATCGTTCCCAGATACTTCTGGTATACAGAGTCGTCTTTCTGCAGTTGCAGAGTAAACAGCAAGGCTCTCTCCGCAGCCAATTTGATAGGAATGACGCGTTCCCGAACCGATGCCATCATTAGTGGAACAAGCTGGCTCAAATGAGGCTCCACCAGCCATGGCGACTGTCTCGCCACGGCGCGAATACACACCAAGATTAACCGCTTGGACTCGAGGTTAATATCCTGGGACAAGTGTAAAGCCAGCTTTTTGATTAGCTCGCCAATCAGTTCCTGGTCCACCTGATAGGCCTCGTTGGTGATCATCTTACCGATCACCAACACGGCCGCCGTGGAACTGCTCTCAACGGAGTTGGAGATCGCAGTCAGTGCGGCGTTGGCAACCTCCTGGACATGACCAGTCTCAATGATGAGCTGAGGCGACTCAACAAGCACAGAATTCATAGCAAGCATCGACGCACTCAGAGGCACAGTATCACCCAAGATCTGGGTCTGGATTAGGTAAGAGGCCTCCTCTGTGCTCTGGTGCTTGCAGAACGCGCCCAGCAGCTTAGCAGAGGTCAACCACATGGATTCTATGGAAGAAAGGGTTGAAGGAGGAGCTGTGTTAGAAGAGTGTCCATAGAGACAAGGCAACTGAGGTAACTAAGATGAAAAGTTCCTTACCGGTGTTGCTGGCTTCCATGCCCTCTATAACAACGCCAATAACAGCGCGCTTGGCGGCGTCGCTCATGCCAGCACCGATCTTGCTGACGACGTTCTCCAAGGCACTCATGACAGTTTCCTTGACACCGGGCTCGCTCGATTTGATACCTGCCACCAACTCCGTGACCAAAGGATCAACTCTGGACTGAAGCGAGATCAGGATCGACAGTGCAGCCGCAGCGCGAACACGAACAGTTGTAGACGTGGGGTCCGTCAACGACTTAATAAACGTACGCTGCAACTGAGGCAAGAAGGGTTTCAGATGAGCAGGGACTTTCTGGAGAAGTAGGCTGTAGATTTGTGAGTAATAATAAAAACATATTAAGAGGTTAAGAGGTTAGTAAATTGCACATAATAACAAAAGTGAAGAAGCCATTAACAGGATCCGATAGATGTACCTGAGAGTGCTCAAGATAGCGCTCTTGACCTCGCCAGGATGGCGATCACCAACAATACGAATCAGAGGACCGGTAATCTGCGTGACAAAGGGCTTGAGAGCGTCGGCGGATGTGCGCTGTATCAGGTCGCTAATACCCAAAGCAGAGGCTTCACGGATCGAATTGGAGCCGTTCATTAGACCCTGCAAGAAGATAGGCAGCAGGGGAGCAATACCTTTGGGCAGACAGAAACCAGGCAAGTCCACGCCAGGAGTGCCAACAGCACGGACCGAGCGACGTACGGACTGAACCAGACCCTCCAGCTCATCCTTGCGGACAGTGCGCGTAACAGCGTTCAAGGCAGCTAAGGCACTCACGACCACAGATTGAGTACGGTCATCCAGCAAGTTGATCAGGACACGAATCCAGTCAGAGACATAGCGAGAGATATCCTGGGTCGACTCGGCGCAGAAGGTCGCCAAAATGTTGCATCCAGAGGAGCGCTTCGAAGGATCTTCGGACTTGACGAGCTCGAACAGCATCATCATCAGGGTATGAGCACCATCCGCATTGTCGATCGACTGTAGCAGAGCACAAATAGTCGTCTCCAAAGCCTCGAGAGTGTCTGGATCCGTTTCGCTGACCTGCGACTGAATAAGGGCAGCCAAAATGTTTGTCAGACGGCGATTTAAGGCCGTACCGGCAACAGAGACCAGGGACCCCAAAGCACGAGCGTTGAAAGCAGTAATTGGCTGAGCAATCAACGTGGGAATCAGCACAGGGAAAACAACATTCGACCGGACGGCCATAATCTCCTTGAGACCCTCCAAAGCGTACTCGGACTTGTCGCCAGTATGAAGGTTGGCCAACAAGGAGGGTAGAATCTCGTCGATGGCCTTGGGTCCGACGCACTGGTGCAAAGTATCGAAAGCCTGAGCAGCAGCCTCTCGGACGTCGGGAGACTCGTCCAAAAGTGCCTTGCGGACAGCGGGAATAATTGAGTCGACATAGTCCGTAACGTGAACTTTTCCAGCAGTGGCCATGATCTCTGAGAGACCGATACAGACACCCTGACGAGTATCGCTTTCGGAGCTCTCGAGACCAGCTTCGAGAATGGGGATAATCTCTGAAAGAACTGCTTCGCCCAGCTTGCGAACCAGGTCTCCCAAGGTGCGGGCTGCGACCATACGGCGATCGTACGATGTGGAGGCCAAGTTGCGAATAATCATCGACATGATCGTGGGCAGAATCTCTCTCAATGTACGAGGAGTATTGGTGACCAGTGACTTCCAGACGGTGAGTGTGGCCTGGCGAACAATGGCCGAGTTGTCGGCACGAACAATGTACAGCGATGACAGAACACGGTCTCTGCGTTCGCGGCCAAGGACCTCCAACAGCTGTTTGCGAATGTTATCGGACCGACCGAACTCTTCAGGTTCATCTTCCTCACCCTCGTCATCAACACCAGCCTGCTTGCTGGTGCCAGTGATACGGAACAACAAGTCGCCCATGAGTTGAACAGAGGACTGACGAATACGCCAGTTGTCATCAAAGAGACCACGCTCCAACTCGGGCAGGAGCAAGTCGACAGCCTTGGTGGCATAGTTGTTGATGATCATCTGACCGGCCTTCAACGAAGCCTCTCTAACGTATTCAGACTCGTCCGCAAGTCCCATCAGGATGGGTGGGATAATGCGACCTAGGTAGGGCTGGAAGCGCTGACCAAACGTAGCGGGAAGATATACAAGCAACGAAATGAAGCCTTCGCGAATGTAAGACTTGGGTGAATCTGTGTTGACAATGATCTCAGGGAGCAGGCCTTCCAAGCGCTCTAAACCAAGGCCAGCGAGAACTTCCGAGAGACCCTGGGCTGCTCCTTGGCGATCGACACCAGAAGTATCGGATTTGAGAGTATCCAAGAGCTCATGGACTAGGTCGGGGAAATTGGATTCGCCCAGTTTCTCAACCAATGTACCAAGGGCCTTAGCAGCGGTCGCACGCGCATCGGGAACAGGATCGATCAGAACCTCCTTGACTCCAGGCAAGAGACGTGGAAGGTAAGGAATGAGGTCCTTCTGGTCAGTCAAAGAGGCCATGTTTCCGACAATCTGAGAGGCCTTCTTCTTGATATCAGTAGCACGCTCGCGGAGACCACGCTCCAAAATAGGCATGACCAAGGCCAGAGAAGGCGAATCAATATAGTGGACAAACGAGGTGCCCAATAGAGCGGTCAAAGCAGGATGGGTCTTGGTGTTTGGATCACAGAGAGCAGCCATCATGATAGGGACAAGGTCCTGGATCTCAGGATTAGAGATGACTTCACCGAATTGTGTCAGAGCAAGGCGGGCGGCATCTTGGACAGCAGTATGAGAGTCGGTCAAGACATCCGAAAGGCGAGGAATGATGGTCGGCAGAGAAATCGATAGCTGCTTGGGAGCACAGAAGGCCATGGATCCCAAGAGTTCGACAGATCCTTTCTTAGTGCGCCACTGGCGGTCGTCCAGACCAGCGAGGAGCGAGGGCATGATCAGCTTGACGCAGTGTCCCGAAAGTTTGCCCATGATGGCACGCGCGGTATCCGAGGTCGCCTGACGGACATCCATTACAGGGTCACCAAAGCAGACCAGCAAAAGCGGTAAGATCTGGATGACATACGGCTCGAAGAGACGACCGAGAGTTTGCGACAATGTCTCGAATGCAATCATGGCACCTTCACGCGCATGTGCATCCTTCTTATCATCGACAGCGGCCTTGAGAGAAGCCATGACGGAGAATTCCTTGAGAGCAGAGATACCACGACCTTTGATAACACCAGCGAGACCATAAGCAGCGCCACGGCGCTCCGAGTACTTCTTGGAGTGGAAAGCTTTGTCCATCAAAGACTTGAGAAGATCCGGGACCTGGTTGGGAATGCACTTCACCAAACCAGGCAAGCAGTTGGCGACAGCAACCTGGACAGGCTCCGAGGGTGTGCTCAGTGTTTCGATCAGTTTCTGCACAGCGGAAGGAATCTTGGGAGAGGAAGGATCTAAGTGACGGGCAAGAGCACCGAACAGGATAACGGCGGATTCACGGATACGGTCATGGGTCTCCGAGTTGCGGGCAGGTTCAGAGAGGTAGTTCTCAAAGACGGGGATCAGAGTGTGGACGTTCTCAGCGCCGTGGGCAGTGATCATAGCTAAGCCAGCATCCAGCATGCCCTGACGAACATCTGCGCTTCGATCACCTAAAGCATCCTGGTGGATCAAAAACTCGGCAAAAGGCTGAAGGTCACTGGCTGTCATCAGGGGAGCAATATTCTTCAGCGCCATTGACAAGCCAAAGCGCTGGTCAGAGGGATCCTGTCGGTTCAAGGACTCCTGGATGACGAGGCCGTACTCGTTATACTGAGGAACGATTGGCTGGGCCTTCTCGTGGTACAGAATGTAAATGGCGTTCAAAGTCGCAGTAACAGTGTCGGGATACAGCTTGACGGCACCAGCGATGGCCTTGGCAGCGGCCTGGCGAACGAAGCCATTCTGGTGAACAACATAGGGTAGCAGGGCATTCGCATACGTGGGCTCAACTTCCATTCCGTTGTCTTCCCAGAGTTCAAAGGCAAGCTTGGCATTGGTGGGATCCTCGTCATAGCAGGCCGTCCAAAGTTCGCGCGAGAAGTCAATGACGGTCAGTTCCAAGGATTCAAGAGCGGCAAGGGCAGCTTGTCGAACCAGAGTCTCGTTGTAGAGCAGACCTCCAAGAAGGGTGTTGATCTCGTCCAAGGAAGCAGTGTCACCCATAGAATGTGTCAGGTCTCCAAGCGAAGTCCTGGCTATCTTGGCAAGTTGAGGATACTCCTTAATGATCGACAGTAAAGAATGGATCATCTCCTTCCGGGGCAGCGAGTCCGAAGCTCCTGAAAGAGCATGGAACGAGACAATGTCGACAGCGATCTGTACTTGTTCCTGCGATGCTTCCTTGGCATCTGCAGCTGACTTGTCAGAGCTGACAATGCCGCCGTTTTGAAGAATGTTGTGGATCAAAGGGAAGCAGTATGCAAAGCTCGATGGAAGCAGAGGCTGCTTCTCAGTGACAAAACGAAGACGGTAAAGGACACGGGAAACAAGTCCGTCTAAAGGCTCCTCCAACCAGTTCTCGGGCACTTCCTTAACATCCAAGCTGCGGAGCGTAGCCAATGCCAACGGCTCACGAATGGAGTCGAGACGATCCGACACACAGCGACCCAGCGCCAAGTAGGTATCCACGGCAACGGTTCCAACCAAAGGACCTCCGCGTTTCACAACGCCGTTCAGCAAGAGTCTCACAAGCTCCACCAGTCTAGCTGTCAGCTCGTCCGAGTTGCCGTTAATGAGTGCACGAATCGTTGCCAAACCGCGCATCAAATGGTTGTAGGTGTTCTGGACAGATTTGCGGATCTTGGACTCCTTTGTGAGTTGTGCGTCGACAGATGCCTGTTCATCCCTGGTCAATTTTGATGCAGAGGCAGCAGCAGAGGCAGCAGAGGCAGTAGGGGCTCTCTTTGTTGAGGAGAGTGCCTTCTTAACATCACGGTTGAACTTTTGCTCGTCAAAAGCAGGACGACCGCGCTCGGCTCCTCCTTGCTTCTTCATGCCCTTGAGGACATCAACAAACAGTTCACCTTCGGGATGCTTCCAGATACCGATCTCCTGTTCGCCGATGTTGTCCAGCAGCTTGGCATCCAGGTCTTCCTCAACATGGCTCAGAAAGATAGGAATCATGGTTGAGGGAGCGATAAAGACAAGACTTGAGATGGTAGACATAGCGGCCTTGTACATCTGTGGCGAAGTCGATTCCAAGCTGGCAGCATCCATGACGAGTTGCTCGATACGGTTCTGGTAGTCTGAGACAAGGCGTCCGGGATCCAGTCTCGCGCGTTGCACCATGCTCATCCAGTCGTACTTCTTAGTGGGCGAAGCAATGGCCTGGTGGTGAGACAGCACGATCAGCTCAGTTGCAACCTCGGCCATGACGGTCTGATCGCCTTCTGCGTTGTGTGTTGTGATGGCGGATAAAATTTCTGAAAGACGGTATGCAGAAATATGAGGGTCGGTGGAGATAGTAGAAGCGGCGAGGGCGGGGGTAGAGTCTTTTACAGGGGTCTCAATAAGCGAGACCCATCGTAGGAGAGCCTCCCTAATAATGGTACCAATCTTCCTAGCATCATTCTTTGCACTGCGCTGTAGAGCATGGAACGCCTCCTTACGTGCATCCGCGTATGGTGACGCTGCGGCAGAGTAAATGAATCCTGTACCGATAGCCATCCTTGCGTCCTCTTCGATGGTCTCCTCCGCCACCAGTGCCTCGAGTGCATGTACGAACCACACGCCCTCTTCGGCCGTGGTCAATTTTGTGTAGACCTTATCAAACAACACAAGGGAAGGCTTTGGCGATGCTACGAGTGCTGACTTGAGAAGTTGACGGGCAGAGCCATCACCACTCTGAGCAAGGCGATAGGCGGCGCTCACTGCAACATAGCCCTCCAATGGTCCGTCCTTGTAAGTCAGTGGTGCCTTCTGAATGTTGTTGTAGGCGGTAATCAAAGGAGCCATGAACAAAGAAACGTTTTTGACAGATTCTGAAGAATATTCCGCTAAAAGAAGTAGAAACGAAAGAAGTTGTTAGCCATCTTAAGTGGTAACTGGTGAAAGTGCAGAGAGTAAATTAAATGTATAGCCAACTTACAGTTCCAGATCAATGCACCCATGCCACGTGCCCATGTCTTGCGGAGGGAGGCACGGGGGCTGGCAAGAGCAGTAACGCCAGCTTTGATGCTTGTCGCGACCTCAGGAGTGTCCTTTCCAGCTGCCAGGAGAACCTGAAGATGCAGGATGGTGGCGTCAATACCAAAGGTAACAGCAGTCTCGTTCGACTCCTTGCCAGTCATGGTGATCAATCCCTGAAGAGCTTTAGTTGAAACAGCCTCTGACTTCGTTGCTGCTGTCCTTCCAATGCAGTCGTAGAAGATGCCACGGTGGTCAGGGGACGACACCTTTCCTGTGGTGAGCTGCTTTGTCATCTCTGTTACCACCTTCAGAACGTGCTCCTCCTCCTTGGTACGCTGGGCGAATTCTCTGAAAAGAGCGATGGCCGATGTCCTGACCGATTCTGAACTCGAGCGCAATCCGTTCAATAAGGGGTCCTGAAGTGAAGAGCTGAAAATGGAGGAAGGATCAACCGAGAGAGCCTTAACGAGGTGGACTAGCACTGTTCATATGAAGAAAAAAGTGTATCCTATTCAGCCGGTTTTGCTCAAACTTCTTACGTCCAGACCCAACAATATACGTGCATGGTTTCTTACAGGCAAAGACAATTTCTGGCGCACGAAGGCAAAGACGCTCAATAGTTGGTAAGAAATCCGTTTTGAATAGCTCGAGGGTCACATAGTGGTGAATGAAATCGTTAAAGGCCACCTAGTTGAATGCAAGTTAAAAAATGATGAGATGTCAATCCACGATCAGCGTGCAGATATTATCGCAAGTGACTGAGTTGGCCACTTACAGCGCATCGTGTAGGCACGGGTTGCTTTGATGAGATCAGGTTGGTAAGGTAGAATTTGACGATGGCATCCCGATGAGCAGCAATATATCCCTTTCCAGCCTCAGCGTTATGTCTCAATCGAAGAGCGACATCCACCACGGTGCCCATTAATACAGAGTTCAGATATGTGGGTGCGGTCGTTCCTGTCGTCAGATATTCCAGAAACATGGGGATCGAATCCGCGTTCTGTGTGTAAAAAAATTAATTAGACATCAGAATTGATGGTCAGTTGGCGCTTCGAAGAGACAGGTGAAGGCGACGTTGTGCGGCGCAGGCGTTCAGTTACCTTGCGAATGCAACGACGAACATCTGCAACGGCTCCGTGGGCAATGCTCTTCTTTTCCGTATCCACCAGTCCATCAATGAGAACAGCCTGCGATCCAACAAGAGGTTTGATATATGGCGATGGGCTGTCTCCTGAAACAGTCAACGTGCAGTTGAGCAACACGTTGATCCAGTTCAGGACCACAAAGCGATGAGCAGCTGCTGTAATATAAACGCTGATCAATTAAAAGAGACAGATTGTGTTAATGGTATCGCTTTGGGTGCCTGGTGTCATCCAGACCTTGCACTATGCTTACCCATCCGTGCTCTTGGCTGAGAGTCGTTCGGTCTCCTTTTGCATCGCGGGCACCATGACCTTCAAGAACTCTTCCGAGTTCCAGGCATTGAGTTCCGTGAGGATCTCAAGGACCGTCAAGCGCGATGATCTGTCATTATAGCGCGGGTATGAGATGAACAGGATATGGACCAGCGCTGGTAGTAGCTCCACCGGCAAGTCTATAGACGACAATACATTTTCGTTGTTAACTGATGATAATCCTCTGAAGGCGTTCAAAGTGCAAGTTGATCAACGCACACACACAGACAAAATCTAAGCTATCCTACCTTTGCGTTTAACACGAACAAGGAGCAGGTGAAGAAGCTGCGTGCGCTCGTTGATAGACGCGGTTGTAATGGAGGGCAGCAAGGTCTCCTTGATGTACTCTTGCCAGGTGTTTTCAGAGGGGTCGTGCGACCCCATAGAGTTGTCAGCCTGCATCAGTAAGTAGATCACCGACTGTTGACTTCCTGCTCGGCGAATGTCCTGTGAAGAGTCGTGAGGGAAGGGAGAGGACGATGACACCTTTTGTGGGGGAGGCGGAGAGAAGGAAGGGGCGGTGGAGAGTATGGAAGGAAGCAGCAGGGTGGGATGGGTGATCGAGATTCACCTTTGCTGCGTCTTTTTGTCTGTCTTTGTTTTTTTCTCTCCAATAGCTCCAACTGGCACTCATTCAATTGAATTGTCAATTTAAATATTTGAATGGACCTCAGAACTCACTCAGCCACGAGAGAACGCGTCACTCCGTCATTTATGCAGCAAAAAAATGAAGCTGTTTGGAGCATTGGAGCCGCAACTCGTCGCTTCAGACTACGCCTCCCAAGACCATGAGTGTGAGATTGGCAGTTCCAGGCGGTCTCTGCGTTGGCTCCCGGAAGGAGAAGCCAATTTGCTGCTCAATGGATAATAAGCTGACCTCTCTCGCGGAGCAATTAAGTTCGCGGTGTTAGCTATCTTCACGTACTGAAGGAAAAAGTACCGAAATTGGCGGTATTCCATTTACTAGGTGGTTCTTCTTCAAAGATTTCTTTGCCGACTTTTTAGTGAACCTCCATGGTGTCAACATCTCTTCGATTTAATGGAGTAGCTTCATATATATTTATAGTGCCGTCCTTGTACTACTGGTTGATGCCATAGATATCGTGACGGAAAGGAGCATGGTACAGCGTGGGCCGGTGGTAACAGTGACAAGTGGTTTGGTCAAGTTGAAGGCCGGTCACAGTGCATGGCTCTACTCTTGGTTCCATGGTCCCAGAGCGCTTTCTAGTCAACTTTCATCCCATTCATCTTGCAACAACAACAGACTGTCTTGAGATCGAATGAACTGCCAGCGGACACAACAAGAGTGAATAGATCAATACCCCGACATGGAGAAACAACGGCAGCTGTACGACGTCGACACCATCGCTATCTGGACGCCTAACGACAATGCAGACGCGTCGCTGACCTCCTCATCAAATGCCTCCTTCCCGACTTCGGGCAACCTGCAGCAACAGCTTGACGAGTTTGACAAGGACGCTAAGCGAAAACTTGCTCGATGGAAGCAGTGGTTCCTTCGACGCGTTGCCGCCAATATTTCGCCCCTCTTCCTTACCACCACTGTTCCCTCTGGGATTGCCTCCACGCTCACTCCGATAAAGTCGCCGTGGCAGATCGCGCTAAGTCCTGACAGTCATTTCCTAGCAGTCAATCATGAGGACAAGATCGAATTCAGAACACTTAACTCAAGTTATCAAATCGTTCACTCTGTCTGGGGAGCAACCAGCCAACAAGACCTGTACCCAAAGTGGAGGAGGATCGCGTGGAGTTTCGATTCGAAGCTAGTGGCAAGAAGTTTCAGCAACGGTACAGTGGAAATTATTGATACGAAAGGAAGGCTCATCGGGTCGATTCTGCCCAAGATTCAGCAACAGGATGCACCAGTAGAGGACGAAGGGGTCTCGAGCGGTGGCACCAGTCAATTGTTTGTCGAACCCCTGTGTTATCTTGGATTCGTCAATACGAGGAAGAGCAAGAATGAAGATGGTTTTGGAGTCAAATTCAACGGACACAACTATGCATACGAACTCATCACGATCACATACGACGGCGCCCTCAGGAGCTATCTCTTCAACACGCCTGAGGCATTAGGCCAGTCCGACTCCACGCCAACGTCGCCGTTAGAGGATTATCCTAAAAGAAAAAACCTCCAGCACCGAAGGTCGTTGCTCGCAACGCAATCGCTACTGACACCAAGGCAGAGCTCATGGGCAAGAGAGGGCTATTCAGACCCAGGTTTTTTTTGTCCCTACCACACATTCACCTTTAAGGATACTTTCAGGACAGTAGCATGCGCCAGCATTGATGAACATAACGGCATTCTGTGCGTCGGAGGTACTCCGCACCAGAGTAAAGAACCAGCAGGTAAGTCGGACACGATGTTTATGTTGATTATGTTGTATGGGTCGTTCAAAGGTAAATCTACTAATCCGGATAATTCACATATTATAGACAATTCTGGCACACAGGCGGGTGTACAGTTCTGGACGATTGAGCGAGACTCGCCATACTATCAGAGGTATAACACAGATGGTCAACTCCAAAGTTCAGTCGATAGTGTCTTGGACAGAACGCCTCAAGCATCGGACGCAATAAGATACCCAACAGGTCTCTCCGCGATCGGCCCGACTCTTCAAAAACTGTTCGAGCGCGATGTCTATCTCACGAACCATTCCGTTCATACGATTGTTGTCCACGAAAAGTACGGAGCGCTTTCATTGGACAGCTCAGGGTCTCTCACCAGTTGGACATTATCCAAGGAGCGCGGCGGGGTGTTGAAGATGACATGGAACAGCGAGCATTTAAACTACTATGCCAGATCCGAAGAGCACAGCACGCTTTCCTTTCAAGAGTTTCAGGAACTGGTGAAGGAATACCAGTCCAACGGAACATCGACACATTTGATCGGAGTGGCCAATGGACGGTGTGTCTCGATGCGGTTTTGGGCTGAGGATGCCATTCTACTGGGGTACGAGAGTGGAGCCATGATCGTCCTTCAAATCCCAGAGTTGATCAATATTTTGGGTCAGGAGCCCAAGGTGTTTGCCTCATGCCTCGAGTTCACTAATTCTGGATTCAGCGCGCACGATGAGCAGGTATTTGTCATTGAGGAGATCACCAGGATGATTCGTGCTCGTGTGGTGGGGGACCGGTGGATCATGATGACGGACCAGGAGGATAAGGCCATGGGCGAACCAACCGAGCAGGAGATCGCACAGATGATGGGTAATGAGCGCCTTCTCTTCAAGTGGATTGCACAGCTGACAAAATATTTTGGGTCCAAGGACGCCGACGAGCGCCGAGCCAAGCTCCAAAGACTGATCCTTGTCCCCAAGCGGACCTTGAGCCTATACCGGATGCTTCGCGTGCCACCGGAGGAGCTGCTATATCGCAAGTTGGAAGGCAGGGACTACTCTTCCGCACTAGCCATCGCTACAACTTATGAGCTGGACACAGATGTTGTCTACCAGTATCAGTGGAAGCAACTCTCTCATATCAGTGCAGACGTCGTGTCGAACTTGCTGGACAAGATCACGGATAAGCAATGGGTTCTCGCCAACTGTCTTGAAAGCGTTACGGAGGACCACGAAGGCATCAGGACGCTTCTTGAATACGGTTTGCAGCTCACCGATAGCCTTATGGACGACATTATCAGACGATACGAGCTAGGTACAGAGGTTAAGATTGACTGGATTCGAGCCGCCGCCTCAGGAGAGCCCATGAGAGCCAAAACAAGCGAACTACTACTCGCGGTTCAGTTAGCCGAACGGGAAATGTTGTGGTGCAAGTATCGGTGGTATTTTCTGAAGTACCTTAATCGGCTCTCAACTTTTACTGAGTTAACCATCATGGAAAAGCAGTGGAGGACGCGTGAGGAAGCCAGGATTTCAAGGCTGCTATCAAAACATCCCAAGACTAAAGATCCGTTGGACCCACTCGGTATTCTATACGATGACGCCGCGGACCAGAGAACTCCTCCATTACCGCTTCTCACTGGGTCGTACAACACGTTTAAGGACATGGATCTATCTGCTCTGGCTCGAATTTATGCAGAAGCAGAGTTCATTGAAGGCGTCAGGATCCTCTTTACTCGGCACAACCGGGAGACGTGGCCGTGGAGGATGACTACGCTTAACCGCATTCCAGAGACATGTCCGACGGAGGCGTACAGGGGCCTTTTGCCGCGACTCGACCCAGCAACGAGAGTGGAAAAGCCATGGGCGCCGGATCATCCATGGAGAGAACTTGACTGGGCGGAAATTCCAGAGTTAAGGACACTGGTCTTTGGATCAGCAGATCACGAAATGGATGCATATCTACACCAGCAGGCGTTAGCTCTGGAAGAGCGCAAGGCCGCCCACGGAGGGAATGAGGCAGTATCGCTGGATATGGTGGCCATCAAGCAGGAAGCCGAGGAGATTCTGCCGTCACCTCTCCCATTTCCTGCTTCGGGTGAGGACCTCTCGCACTGGTATATTGATCGAGCACTGGAGATCGACAGGAATGCAGGACAAATCATCGAGCAGCGACGCCTTATCCAGTACGGCACCGACAACTATATCCCACTACTGGAGACGATCAGCGAGGATCTGGAGATTCTTTACAAATTGCTGTACGAGATTAAGCCTGATAACCGCCGACCAGAGGCAAAGGCAATGTGGGCGGATACGGTTCAGGATCTTTCGCTCGAGCAATTTTCGCTTATGAACCCGATGGAGGTGGTTCAGCTCTGTCTAGGCATGAGTGATGAGCATACAATCGTGCAGGACATTCGACGTCTTGTACTGCCCTATCTCACAGTTGTTATCCCACGACGCTGGCAGCGAAGCGACCCCGTCCATGTTCCTGGGCAGGGCCTACCCGCTGGACAAGACTCTCAGAACCCCATGTCGTATCTGTATGCCTTTCTTCTGAGACAGAGCCCAAATCACCTTTCATGGGTTGGTGCTGTCATTCAAGCCTCGAAGCCAGTGTACGAACCGGATGAGCGTATTATCAGCAACGATATGGAGTTGTCTTGGCTGACGATGTCGTGCATGTACGGCTGCAGAACCGTGGACGAATGGAAAGTGATGAGCGACATGATCGTCTGTTTGCCAATGTTTGAGCAGACGGAGGACGTGGACGAGACCATTGACAAGGTCCGCCGAGCAGAGCTTCGCAAAAACATCTTTGTTACCTTTGGAAGCGATCTCAACACCTCTTCGGCGCCGGCTCAGGATCGCTCTCGGATATCCCAACAGTTGGATCCCCTCAATATGTATCCTGCCTTTGTCAAGTATGCGCCAACGCAGGGACTGATGCAGCACGCTCTCGATACCCTTGAGCAAAATTTGACTGCTGCAGAGACACTGGCGCGATACGACCTTCCTGTGCAGCTCTCCTGGTTCCTGGAGAACTCGGACTCGGAGGCAAGCCAGCTGCAGATGGTCACCAAGATGGCAAGACTCGCTAGTGGAGGACCGGAGAGAATGGGTGAGCGCTTTGAGAGCGACGACGAGTGGATGTTGCTTTTGGAGGATTTGATCCGATTACGCGGAGGCGAAAAGGGAGGTGGGGTGTTGGGTCGGGTTTCCGAACAAGATATTTACAGAGAGTACCTGGCTGGTGTTTTGAGCTGCGGAAGTAAGTCTTTGAAAGTTCTGCTTATTTTGATGTATCATATTTTTAAATCGACACTGACAGCATCAAACTTGATGACCCTGCTAGAATTCGAGCTCGCAAGGGCGATTTTGTTCCCACCAGGAATGCTCCCACCGGTCCGGCTGGCGACAGCTGAAAAGCTGGTCATCGATTGCTCGAATGAGATGTTTAACAATGCGACCTCTGGCAACAGACATCAGGGACTTATGAAGATGGCATACGATTGGTAAGGGCTTTAGTTCCTCACTTGGATTTTTTAAGTTCGTAGGCGGCGCACGAGCAATTTGGGCATTAACAGAATTTGGAATATTTTATTTATCATCTGTTGTAGCTTGAAAGTTCTTCCAGAGACCACAAATATTCGGAAGGAGATGGATCTGATCGAGGCCACCAACTTCATGACTTCGACGTACAACCTCACTGCCCCAGGAAGTAGCACTACGATTCTCCCGTTCCAGATCCGTGCGACTGAGAATCGACTCTCGTTGGTGCGACGGTTGATTATGAGCCAGGAGAACGCCTACCGTGATCACGCTGCAATGCTCGAGCTAGCCATCAAGGTCACCGGTATCGGTCAAAAGAAAACATTACGGCAGCAAATCGAGATCCAAGTTGTGGGCATGCTCATCGAGGCAGCTCTCAAAGAGAAGAATCACGTTTTTGCGATCCAACAAGCCGAACGACTGATGGAGCTGCTCAGAACCTCAGGAGCGCTCGATATGAATGCAGATGGATCTCCAAGGATGAGGCGGGTTGTGAAGAGCAACAGCTTCGTTACTGGTGGTGGGGGCAACAGTGAGGACAGCGCATCGACACCTTCGCGACCAGATTCTCCTTCGTCGTTATCTTCCCGGCCAGGATCAAGAGCTGGGACGTCATCTGGGCCCTCTACCGCGGCACATGGGCCGTCATTGCAAGGACTTGGTGATCCTGATGCCAGGAACCCATGGGAAATATTTGTCCAAGTCGCAACGGAATCTGTAGGACGAGAGTATTCTAAGCGAATGGCTGTTGCTGGATACGCGCTTGCTTGTTGTCCTGCCGACAAGATTGAGAGCGTGTTGGAGTTGTGGAGATCACTCGAGATGGAATCTGTACACGCGCCGGTACCGGAAGTCGATCCTCGTCGTGGTGTGGCTGGGTTCATGTCGACCATGATAGACAGGTCATCGTCTGGATCCAATGGTATGTCAGCGCCAGGGCTGGGCTATGGGACTGGGTATAATCCCAATAATGTTATTGTCAGTGGAGCCGGAACGCTGGGCGGAGGTGGGGGTCCGTTGGCCGAGATCATTGGACGAGTAGGCACAAACAAATCGAACAGCACGTACCATGACCATACTCGGAGAGAACAGAGTATGAACAGCCATGCTGAGCAAGAGGGGGGACGGAAGCGGGACAAGCTCAAGTCGCTGGTAAGCTCTATCTGGGCACAATAATATCAATATAAAAAAAGCAATCTAGGGCTCTGGAGCCAGAAAAGTATAAAATAAAAAAATAAAAAATCTTTTTTCTGTCTTTCTCTCTCATTCACTCTCTCTCTGTCTGTCTCTATCACCGATGCCTACCACCATCCTACTCTGAACTCCCTACAACATGCCCAAGCGTGAAAAGTGCAAGAAAAGCCACGACCGCCAGACCTACTACGCATGCCCGAAAAGGTATTTCATGTCACGCTCATTTCACACCGCAGCAGCCAGAGTGGGTGCTACAGTGGGTGCTTAGTCTAAGGTATACTCATCTCATTCTTCCTTTTCTTTTGTTTGCACCTTACGAACCCAGCCGTGCTCTATCAAGTGCAGTCCTTGAGATTGGCCAGCCAACAATCTCGTTTCCGGCGGTTCGTGCATCTCGAACCAAGCGACGTCCCGGAGGAGAAGAGGAGCCCTGTTGTTCGTGTTTCCCCAAGGACGCAACAGAGGGCTGTCATTTCCGAAGAGAAGGATCGTCTAGTCCGCACATATACAAGAAAGCGCAAGAACATTGACGCCATCCCGGAAGTGGAGGAGATTAAGCCCTGGAAGTCGGATAAGCGCAAGCGCCAGAAGGTGGATAAAGGCAAGGGTCGGATGGTCGAACTCCACCCTATCCCTGAGATCCACGGCCCCGTTCCTCCACTGCCGAGTCTATTTGGATCTGCCTATAACATCCAAATACACATGCAGGTCTTGGGAATGGGGATTGCCTCTCGAGGTGAACCAGCCAATGGAGGATGATATAAGTATCCCTGCGGATGACTCTGGCCTGGATAACATCGATGAAAGTATTTTCACAGATGATTTTGCCACTGCATGGGACCACAAGATGAGGCAGCCAGTAGAGGACGCCGTGAGCATCTCTGCGGATGAGTTTGATAGCCTGGGTAACATCGACGAAAGCGTCTGCACGGATCGGTCGTGGTTCGAGGACTTTGATAATAATTTTCAGTGCTGATAAGATGGCAATGCTCTTTCTTTTCGAACAGTAAGCTCTCGATGGCATTGCACTCTCTTTATTGTCAACACAACTTTTGCTTTGTTCAAAATAAGCTTCTCTCACATCCACCATAGCCAAACACCCTTTATCCTTACACGTTCACTGCTTGACCCTTATCACTCAAAGTCATTCCCCTTGCTTCTCCCCAACCGCTCCATCCCTCTTGAATTGACTATCAAGAACATAGATACAACGTGGAGACAAGCGTATGTGAAGTGTGCCCATAGTTCTTACTACATCGACATTAGTCTCCATGCTGACTCGACACGAATTATCGAATCTATAGACCTGCTGCTGGACCTGTTAGGGCACCTCGAGTATGTAAATGTGGTCAATTTGGCCACTCCAGAATCACCTTCAAGGACTGCCCTGAGAATCCCAATAGCACGCCCGAAAGGGAGGTTCTTTTTATTCCTCTCACCAGACGCGCTGATTTAATTGCCGCTTACAATCGCCAGCATAACGCATTGGATTTAGATGCTTTACCCCTTGCATGGTGGCCTTTCAATGAAGATTTGGTGACAGGCGTTGATGTCAAAAATAACCTAAATGCAGATATTGTATGGCCCAAGGTATGAATGCAGGAGCGGCGCAAAGATACTTCCAAGGGAAACCCCAAGTTCACGCTTTACTGCTCGGAGGGTCGCATTGTACTGCTCCCGGTATATCCATGCAAAGAACTACTCTTAATCATCCTGTCTAATCACCGTTCTTCAAATCTATTATTACCATAGAAGAGGAAGGCTTCGGAGGAGGATGCACGGCCACCGAAGCGCGTCAGTCCTTGTCCAACCGATGGTGATAAGGGAATTCATGCACAGACTACAGGGAAGGAGGAGGATGAGGGAAGCGAGGCAAATTCTTTATCTGTCTCCAGCATTAGCCTCTACGGCGAAAGCAAGGTTAAAACCAAGTTGGATCTGAAGGTTCGTCAGCTTAGAGTGGAGGAGGCGCGAATCGCTATGGAGCGGGTAAAATGGGAGGCCAAAGTGAAGAGGGCGCAGCTCGGTCTAGAGCGGACAAAATGGAAGGCGAAAATGAAAAAGGTCGAGCTTGAGAAAGCAAAATTACTTTTTCACATATTAATCAGCTTTCAGTGGACTAGGATTATAATTGTGATTGCGAGAAATGTAAGGATATCTCCCATCTTAAACCCCACCACTATGGGAAGTATATCAAAAAAGACGTAGCATTGATAGATACAGATCATAATTTGAATAGCATTGAAAACCGATATTTGCATATTCTTGTTCTATATGGCTATCGCGAAATGTTGCTATTTTTGTGTGTTGTTTCTTGGGACTTGAAGACTTCTGTTATACTGGGCAAGAGAGCTAGCGCGTTCCATAGCATTATTAACTATCAATATGCCAGAGAGAATCCTCTCTTCCAGTGTTGCTTCTTTAGCTCCTAATATCTCGCTCAGAACCTTGTAAATCAACCATTTTTTGAACACATAATGGTTCCTCAGCACCGGGTTCCGTTCGTTGCGTCAGGATTTCCTGTAAGGTTTGTTCATACTCCAGATAGATGGTTTGTCGGGCAGCTCTTCAGAGAACCACTTCTCCCAATGTGTATCAAGGTCAACACTGCGAGGTTACGTTCCAAAGACAGTGCTAGTCGGTGTGATTTGAAGCCTAGCGCGTGCTATTTCGTCTGCAAGACGTTCCAGCTCCAGCTTTTCGTTCTTTGGCGCCGCAGACGTCGGTTATCCATGCATCTATGGAATTGACTCGGGTAACTGCAACAAATGTCCCTGCTGCTGTAGCCCTTCCTCTAGCTCCTCGTACAATTCTTGTTGTGGCTCCTACTGCTGCTGCTGTCGTTGCAGATCTCGCAGATAATGCTGCATTTACTGCTCCTGTTGTCGATGCTCGAGTGACGCCTGAGTCTCCGCATTGCCAAAGACCAGGCTGGCATTCTTTGTGATATCGTGGAACGCGTGTGTTATGAATATCATCTGGTGGCCGAGTCCTTGATTTGGCCTCTATATTTGGCGTTTGACTGATCGAATCTCATTCGAATATGTACCTCCAGAGATGCTAGGGCAGTTTTTATGGTGCGAAACTCTTGCTGGATAGCTGGCGCATTAGCGGTTAGATTGTCTGATAGAGGTGATTTTGCCATTCGCATGCTCTCCTGTAACCGCGAGCTGAATTCCTGGAGCAACGTGGACGTGAAGGCCGGCATCTTGGTGAAGGCATTATGTTGACCACATAGACATAATGGGTTGTCTGTAATATACATCAGAGCAACTGCATCCTGCAGAGTGTTCTTGCGTAAGTGAGCCAAGATAAGCATGAGTTGCATGGCGGAAAATTACGCAGTAGGGTAGTCGATTTGATGGGACTCTGGCCTGTTGAACTCTTCAAGGTTATTTAGCATAACGTTGTCGACCCATCTAGCCCAATCGCTGTTTCTTGGAAACAGGTTCTCAATGAAGGGAAAGCTTTTCCTCTGGAGTTCAACTTTCGGGATGATGGTGTTGCGTTTAGCCAAAACTCTCCGTTTGAAAGGGTAAAACCGGCCATCCTATACGGAACCTCCTTTGGGACTGAGCTCAAGTAATGTGTAACAAGACGACGATGGTTATACCACTTATTAAATGATATATACATAGTACACATAACACATACTATCTACAGCTCGAGCAAATAGAACGCGAGACAGCTCACAGGACATATTTTCACGTCCTTGTTGCGAACGCGACACGAATATATCGTGTGGTCTTGGTTCATCTTCCCTTGAGTGATCACAACCGCAATCCCTAGTGCAAACTGCCTCCCTTGCTCGCGGGTTGCATCCTGGTGTGGATATATGTTGGACAACAAAGTCTCACGCACACTCTGGCCGTGGGTAGTCATGAAGTAGTTCCATGGAATAGAAACACGATCACGGGCTCCGATGATTTTGAGGGTCCTGGCGCCGCCGTTTTAATGCTTATAATTTCGAGTTCAAGGTGACTTGAGTAATCGCTTCAGGATCGGCAGACTGTATAGTCAATTGCGTGATTTTTTTTCCACTTGTAATGCCTGTAAAGTGGAGGTCCGGGACAAAGGCAAAGGATGACCAGTGTTGGAGCGAGGCACAACGCGCTCAGAACCGCCACATTCATTATTATGCGTAACGCTATTGTGCACAAACCGCAACTTGTATTTCGTTACAACCGCACTGATTTCCTGGGTGTGCAGGGAGGTTTTCTCTGGCGCGATAGAGCGGCCAGCTATAGACTTTTGTTGCTCATAGAGATGAGCAACAGCTTTCGTATGCGCATCAATGGTTTCAGGGGAAGGGAGGTCGCCCTCATACATACTTTTTTCTCTTCCCTTCTCTTCACTCCCATCCGCAATTATTATCCTTCCGCACAGTTTACTACGCGAATCCATCACTTTTTTTATCGTCTCTGCACCTTCTTCTTGCCCACGATGACTTCACGCTTCGTTGACCTTAGTCGTCCTGATATCCGTAAGCCACGGCGTCGTCTTCCTTTAACCGTGGACCGTGTAAATACGGCAGACCGGCTGCAGTCGCCGCCACCACTGCAATAGACTCGTTTTGTCGACTCCTCGTCGCTGGCGGTCGACGAATCGTCCTTTTCACAAGCACCGGCGGGCGGTCGATCGCCCTCCCCACTTTCTTTCGACAGCGATAAATCGGTGGTTGTCAAAACAGAGCCGACGTCTGCACCATTCACGAGGTCCATCCGCAACCCCATCCTCCTGCGGCCGGATCCAAGGCCCTATCCATCACGGCGGGAGCGTCGGGCAGCGTTGTCTGTCGAGTCCGATTTTCAGGAGGCGGCCATGGAGTGCATTAGGAAGCGATACAAGGACGTTTGCGAGACGTTGAAGGGGCTCGAGGAAAGGCTTCTGGCGGATGTGCTCCTGAATCAAGAGGAGGGGTTCAAGTGTATGTACCAGCGCGCGTTGTACAACGAGTCGTCGCTGCGCGCCGAGATGCGTACGATGCAGCACGGTCCGGAGCAACTGCTTGAGCAGTTTAAACAGATCTTGGACCGTATTTATCGCACGGACGTGTACCCGGAATAGATGCATCTACTAAAGCTGTTTTTTAAACATATCGAATTGAACTCGGTTATCCTGCCTGACTGGAGTAACTTGAGGTGGTTTCACAGTCGACCATGGTGCTGGATTGATGATCCTTAGTGTAGTTGATAGTAGGGATGAGGATCTACCCACAGAGACGAGTATTGACGAGGTAGGAATAATAGAACGAGTTGCTGGCAAGACATGTACAGCGCGGTCGAGACGGAGGGATAGAGTCATGAACAAGCCCGATCCTGTGGTTGACGGCTCTCGGTGGGGGCAGGATTTTCGATTTTCGATTTTTTGGAAAGGGTGGAAGAAGTGCCGGTAGTTTAGTGGCTCTGTGGGCCAGTGGTTCGGGGATTCAGTAGTGCGAAGGTTCAATGGGTCAGTGATTCGGAATTCAGTGGTTCGAGGTGTCTCGGACCCCGTGGCGTGTGCCGCGGGCAGTTCTCCTAGTTAATAATATGCGTATTCCCCATTCCTCTGAATTGGACGCAGACGTACTGGTAACAATATAAAAATTCTTCACGAAGGCTGTGTGAGGTTTTCGGAGCTGCTGGGGAAGGATCCAAATCCATTGGGCGGCAAAGTCGCGAAGCTGCTGTAGTAGAATTTGCTGTAGCTGTCTCAATTAACTAGGTGTGCTCAAGTCGCATACAAAAGCACTGTATTGAGCAAGAACCAAAAAGGAGACTGTGCTTGATATGTTGTGATGCTATGGATGGATTTCTTTGGGGCATCTTCAAGGAGGGTACCTGTATCGGTCACGAACCAGAAAAGAGGCACCCTCTTATCTAAACCCGGCCCTGTTAAGGGTTACCAGTATATAATCATCATCCTTTCTCCATCGTGTCCTCAGTACATCGGACAGCACAACGCATCAATGGACAGGACAGCAGAGTTTAAGGCTGCGGTGAATTCGCTGCTGAACCGAGGCCACATCCAGACACGCCAACAACATCATTACAGCAATGTCAACAGTTCTGCGCGCAAAGGAAAGGAAGCGGCGGCCTATGCGGAGTTCTCGCGACTGGCGGTTTCTATAGGAAAAGACATCGCGGAGACTTCTATCAAGCTGCAAAAGTTGACCAAACGCAAGTGCGACTCATATTTTATCTGCCATGCTGTCGAGACAAGGGGAGCGTGTATATTCTAACATAGTCATTACTCTAAAAATGGGCAACCTTTTAATAACAGTGGTCAAGCGAAAAGCACTCTTTGACGACCGGCCTGTCGAGATCTCGGTAAGTGAGATGGGCGCGACACTGCATTATGACGCTGAGTACCGTCTATCTTGCAGTTATTGTCCGCACTAACATTGCTTTCTCGTTTTTACTCACTTGCAGGAACTTACGTACGTGATCAAGCAAGACCTCTCTCGACTCAACAGCCAAATCCTTGCTCTCCAACAACATGTACGGGCCACAGCCGCGAAGGCCAACCGATTAGCACGTCAGATGGATGAGCATTCGACCAACTTGGTCATTATTTTGCAGTCAAGGCTTGCCAACATTAGCATGGGTTTCAAGGAAGCACTGGAGATCAGGACAGAGGTATGTACTATGAGGAAAGTTGTACTTGATCATGAAAGAAAACATATGTTTAATCTGTCTGTACTTACATGGCACTTGGATAGAGCATGCAAATGACAAAAAAGAGACAGGATCAGCTTTTGGGTTCTGGTCAAGGCCATCCTTCGCAACTCCAGCAGCAACATCAGCAACTAGGACCAGGGATGACGCAGCAGAAAACGCTACAATTGCCACAGACAAGCATACTTTCATCACTCCGCAAAACAACAAATTCGCCACTCGGTCTCGTCCCCACATCGGCTTCGCCATCCCAACTCCCTCATCAGTACGACAACAGTATACCCCACAATGATAGGACTTCACCATTCATACAGCCGTCATCCAGTCGTGCATCCCCGTCGCCAGCTTCGTATCCGCAGCAACAGCAGTATTCCAATGGAGCGTCGGACGTTGACCCATACGGCAGCAGTGTTCATAGGAGGAAAGGAATCAACGGCAGAGCAGACAACTTTCATGGGCAATACGAAGATGATTCGGAGGCCGCTGGTCCAGCATCTATGCTATTTCAACAACAGCAGCAAGCACCGCACGTCGATCAGGTCTGTAGAGCATTTGCTTGACATGAGTTTTCATACACAGCACTATGTCCAACGTCTTGTAAACTGACAGAACTCTTCAATAGTATACTCAAAATCGATCGACTGCAATTGAGGCAGTGGAGTCAACTCTTCAGGAACTTGGCGGTATCTTCCAGCAATTAGCACAAATGGTTGCGGAACAACGCGATACGGTTCAAAGGTAAAGGCACGGTTGCTTTTTTCGTGGACGATAGGCGTATATTAGATCTTTTCTTTTAACCATTCTTTAAAACTATAGGATTGAAGCAAACACAGATGATATCGAACTTAATATCAGCGAGGCACAGAACCAACTCCTGCGATATTATCGCAATATCTCGTCGGACCGGTGGCTCATGATTAAGATCTTCTTGACCATCATCTTTGTGTTCCTGGTCGTCTCGCTGGTTTCGTAGACCACAGGAAGTTTCTCGTGTTGTTCTGAAAAATAATATAGAAATGACTAAAAAGGAAAGTGTGTTTGGCGGTTCCTGAACGAGTGACGGACACTACGCAGAATAGAAAGAGCGGTGCCCACGATAGCCTCTTGTTTTCTTATTTTTTTTTCTTCTGCTATGTTTATTGTCCATTCTCAATACACTTAATCCACTGACCCCTTTGATCCACGTCTCGTTGTACACTCAATACCTGGAGCAACTTTACAAATCTCTTTGCATAAGTCGTAACACACGCGCTCAAATATGGCCCTTTGGCACTGTCAGTCTGAAGGCACCTGGGTACTCTTCACTCATGTCGATTCAAGATGCAGAATTCATTCCTTTTCGAATGAGAATCAGACCACGTTGGAGAAATTCCTAATATCCTTTGTATCGTCGTCTTTGGTTCTTGTAGGGTCCATTTGATCCCAAATGCCCTGCCGATTTTACTCCGTGCTTCGAAGACACCATCATGAAGGCGGTACCAGCCTTTTTCCTGCTGCTTGCTGGCATCCCTCGTCTGGTCAAGCTATCAAAGCGATCGACCTTGAGACATCCTTCTAGAGATTGGACATACATCGTGAAGGCGGTAGGTGATCTACTCTGCTGATTGCTATTCTTCCACTCCCATCCCCGTAACCATCACCGACTACAAGTGGAGGAAGGAAATTCCATTTTTTCTATCTAATCTCCCTTGCGCCGTGTGTTATCTGATCCTTAAAACGAGGGGCAACAATCTGATAACCTTATTTCTTACTTTTCCAGGCAGGAATAATTCTACTCTCTGCCCTCTCTTTTGCACACATCTTCCGGCAGCGTCATTCCCTATTACCACATGCGCAGCACCTTGAAGCTGAGTTCTGGGCGTCGATTGTTGACATGCTGGCCCTCAACCTTGCCTTTTACCTCACCGTGGTCGAGAATAGAAAGGGCTATTTGGCCTCGAACGTGCTGCTGCTCTTCTGGTTGCTCTGCATCATTGTTACGGGTATCAAGTTCCGCACACTAGTCTCGGACTGTCCTGGCGGTGGATCCTTCGCCACTGGAATCAGAGGACGGCTGGCTGAGGAAGGTATTGTGGGCGCTAGATTGGCCCTGCTTTTTGCAGTATTCGCACTCGAGTGTGCCAAGAAAGATTCGCAGATTCGACTTAGAGAGGATAGTCATGTAAGGATTATTATCACTCATATTTTTGTCTATGAAGAGACACCATACTGCTGTGACAGTATCTAACAGTATGACTTTGCCTATGAATGCAATGCACATATAGGAAAAATGCCCAGAGGAAGAGGCAAACGTATTCTCGATTATTTCCTTCAACTGGGTGACCGGTCTGATGCGTAAGGGATATGCCAAACCTTTAACTATGGATGATCTCTGGCAACTCAGAACCGACGACCGATCTAGCAACGTCTCTGCTTCTTTCGCAGAGGCCTGGGATAGTGAGCTTAGGAAGGAAAAGTACGCTAAGCGATCGCGCGCTTACCTGTATTTGTTCTGAGCAACTTACACTGGTCAGTTATTTGAAGCGTATCGTCTAATAGTAGCTATTGGCCTCTCCTCGTAGTTCAAGTCTCTCGAAAGCGCTTGCAAAAGCGTTCGGAAAGCAGTTCTACATAGCTGGCATCTGGAAACTCATCAACGATACTCTCGGATTCATGCAGCCATTACTTCTGCGGAGAATGTTGCTGTTTGTCATGAGTTACGACACACCTGAGCCTCAACCGTTGTATCGTGGCTATACACTAGCGTGCCTGATGTTTGTTTGCAGTTTGCTTCAGACAACCGTCGTGCAACAGTATTTCCATCTGTGCTTCAGGACCGGGATGAACATCCGTGCTGCATTGGTGACGGCAATCTATCAAAAGTCCCTCCGTCTCTCAAACTCGTCTCGACAAGACTCTACAGTGAGTGCAACGCCTTTTTTTTTTTTTTTACTTTTTGGCATACTAATGGCGGACATTTGACCTTTATTTAGGTCGGTGAGATAGTAAACCATATGTCAATTGACGCCCAGCGCATTCAAGACCTGGTCAGCAATCTCCATAGCCTCTGGTCCGGTGTCTTTCAAATCGCAGTGACTCTCTATCTCCTTCACGCGACTATGGGCTGGGCCATTTTTGTGGGACTTGGTGTGATGATCTTGATCATTCCGCTCAACGCGCAGCTATCCTTGGTCATGCAGACCTACCAGAAAAAACACATGGAGTACAAGGATTCGCGTATTAAGCTAATGAACGAGCTATTGAATGGCATTCGTGTGGTCAAGCTGTACGCCTGGGAGAATACCCTTTTGCAAAAGATTCTCACGGTCCGCAACGAATTCGAGCTCAAGATGATGAAAAAGATGGGATATATCTCTTCTGTGCAGATGTTTACGTGGGCCTCGACGCCGTTCTTGGTCAGCTTGACCAACTTTTCGGTATATACGCTGATCATGAAGAAGACGTTGACGACCGACGTATTGTTTGCTGCGATTGCACTGTTCAACCTGCTGCAGTTCCCTCTGTCGATGCTACCATGGGTCATCGGGTAATGGATCCTTTATTACACGCTGATCCACATGGGTCTTTCATCTGAAAGCAAGATACTGACTAAGAGTTTAATCTCGCATTTTAGATCCTGCATCGAGGCTCGTGTTTCCATCGATCGAGTATACAAGTTTTTGACGAGTGCCGAGGTCGATCCTAATGCTGTCATCACGGAAAGTCGAACTCCCGTGTCAGCTACCTCGGACGCCACGGACAAGTACGCTCTGCTGGTTACCGACGCATCCTACAGCTGGTACAAGCATTCTTCGCCTGTCATTTCGGACATCAACCTCGCCTTGAAAAAAAGTTGCCTGCTCAGCGTCATTGGCCGTGTCGGATCAGGAAAGAGCTCCTTAATGGCCGCATTGTGCGGGGACTTGGAACGCACTTCAGGGGAAGTCCGTATCCGTGGCTCGGTTGCATTTGTGCCTCAACAGGCATGGATCATGAACGACACGCTGCGCGCCAACATCCTATTTGGCAGCCCTTACGATCCGGTGTTTTACCGAAAGACCGTCGAGGCATGCTGCCTGTTGCCAGACTTTTCGATGTTGCTTGGTGGCGACATGACGGAGATTGGCGAGCGCGGGATCAACCTATCGGGTGGTCAGAAGGCAAGGATCTCGCTGGCGCGTGCTGTTTATGCTCGTGCGGATGTCTATCTGTTTGATGACCCTCTCTCGGCAGTCGATGCACATGTGGGAAGGACGATCTTCGACAAGGTGATCGGGCCCAGAGGACTACTGGCGGATAGGGCGAGGATCTTTGTTACACACCAGATTCAGTATCTGGCGCAGTCGACCACGATTCTCATGCTACGCGATGGCAAGATGGTAGAGCAGGGCAACTTTCAGGAGCTGATGGCAAAGAAGACGGAGGTCTATCAGCTGATGACTGAGTTCGGCAAGGAGGACCATAGGCGTCATCATGAAGGCAAAACCGCTGGTATCCTCATGGAAATTGATGGTCAGCAAGGAGCCACGACGGGCCCTTCCGCTCGCCGCGGTAGCGTGCACAGCATTGAAAGCGTTGGAACGCTACGTCTCTCATCTACGGACGGGGACAACCAGGGGATCGATGCAAGTAAGGACACTACTACAGACGACGCCCTTAAAAGCAAGAACAGCATCATCGTCGAAGAGGACATGAGGCAAGGTGGCGTCAGTAAGAGCGTGTACTGGGCTTATGCTAAGGCCTGCTCTTACAAAGGTGTGCTCATGTACATTTTTTCACTGGTGTGCTCGGAATCCGCTCTGGTGGGCATGTCGCTCTGGCTGACCCATTGGAGTCGAAGCAACGACGGCAGCAGCAATGGCAACCACGGCGCAATGTATTACATTAGCATCTACGCGCTCCTGGGGATTGTCTTCTCGTTGCTGACGGTATTTCAATCGATCGTGAACACAGTGTACTGTGGTATCCGCGCGTCGCGCGTCTTACACGAGAAGATGCTTAGGAGCATCTTGAGATCACCCATAGTCTTTTTTGACACCACACCAATGGGACGTATTTTGAACCGTTTCAGCAAGGACCAAGCGACCATTGACGAGATTTTACCAAGAACCGTTGCTGGCTATCTTCTCAATCTGTTCCCGGTCATCGCCATCTTGGTTGTGATTATGGTATCAACGCCGACCCTGGTTTTTGTGATCGTGCCATTTAGTTTTCTGTACATGCTGCTGCAAAGATACTATCTAGCTACGTCTCGCGAGATTCGCAGATTAGACTCTGTTTCTCGATCACCGGTCTTTGCACATTTCCAGGAGACTCTCGGTGGAATTAGCACTATCCGCGCTTACCGTCAACAGGACAGGTTCATCAAGGGTAATGCGTACCGGCTGGATCAGAACTTGCGCGCCTTCTATCCCGGTATCGCAGGAAACCGCTGGCTCGCGTTTCGTCTAGAGACCTTGAGTTCACTCATCATCTTTGGAACCGCTTTTCTCTCTGTGCTGTCGTTGGCCAGACATGTCGCTGTTGATCCTGGACTTGTGGGTCTCTCGTTGACATATGCGCTCAATATCACCCAGACCTTGACCTGGATGGTGCGTAATTTTACCGACGTTGAATCCAATATCGTGGCTGTTGAGCGCCTTCAAGAATACGTCGATCTCAAGCCTGAAGCCTCAGAGATCAATCCCGCCAATCGTCCACCACAGGAATGGCCAGCTCAGGGACGCGTCGAATTCATCGACTACGAGACCAGATATCGCCCAGGGCTCGATCTTGTCCTCCGCGGCGTCAACTGCTCGATCAACCCTCATGAGAAGATCGGCATCTGCGGCCGAACAGGAGCAGGCAAGTCCAGTTTGACCCTGTCGCTCTTCCGCATCATCGAGGCCGCCAAGGGACAGATTCTTGTCGACGGCATCGATATCTCGACTCTGGGCCTGTACGATGTCCGCTCTCGGTTCTCGATTATCCCCCAGGACCCGGTCCTGTTTGCTGGTACTATCCGGTTCAACCTGGATCCCTTGGGGACAAGGCCCGACGTCGACCTGTGGCAGGCACTCGAGGACTCGTATCTCAAGGAATATGTCTCGGCCATGGAAGGAGGACTCAATGCGATGGTGCTTGAGGGAGGCGACAATTTCTCGGTGGGCCAAAGGCAGCTGATCTGCCTTGCACGGGCGCTTCTCCGCAAGACCAGCTTGTTGGTCCTGGACGAGGCAACGGCGGCGATTGATCTGGAGACAGATGCGCTGGTGCAGGCGATTATCCGGCAAAAGTTCCGCGAGTGCACGATCCTGACGATCGCGCATCGAATCGACACAGTGATGGATAGCGACAGGATCATGGTTCTGGACCAGGGACGGGTGGCAGAGTTCGACATGCCAGCGGCATTGCTTGCGGACCAGAGCTCGATCTTTTACTCTCTCGCCAAGCAGTCTGGGAACGCGTAGAATAGCATAGCAATAGGGATACACGACATTCATAAAGCGGCGTTGTTTATTCCCATAGCCCAGATGTGTGCCCAGATATGTGCCCAGATGTGTGTTCAGATGTGTGTCCACACGCCTGCTCAAATGTCTGCTCAGATGCCTAGGTGGTATGTCACGCGCAGTGGACACCATTTTACCGCTGTCGAGCGCCTTTTGTCTGTGGACGACGCCCAGAACTGCTTGCATGCGTGCCAGCATCGGAGCTTGCTTTGCCTCCAGCAGAGGTCCCGGCCTCAAACGGAGACATTCGATCGTCCGGCGACTCCATATCCGAGAAGACATGCTACCCCGGTTGAGGATCCTTTTCTGCTTGCTTTCCTTAAGCGTTGTCCAGGACTCACGGAAGTGACGCTTCTGGCTGTCCCTGAGACTCGCGCAAGGAACTTACTACAGCTACTCGCGTTCCACTGCTCCAAGGTCGACTCGATACAGTCCAGCAATGGTTTGGATGGATGCCAAGGGTACGGCGTGGAGTCAGCTTGTTTAGTAGAGATGGCCCTGCTACATAGGTGCTAGCAGTTGTGGAGGTATGTGTTCGCTATGGAGGTATGTGTTCGCCATGACCAGGAGTCGAACCCGGACGGACAGATTGCAAGTCAATGGCTCTTACCAACCTGGCAAAGAGCCGTGCACGGGTATAAGAATCAACTGAATTCTTTGGTTTCCACCAATCATAGTGATTCATGTGTCGAGGGGGTCTACACCATGTCTTCTCGGCTAAGAGGGTTCTGGGTTATGTGTTGAAAATGTTAATGCGAAAGGCCTGGTGCCCCTCGACACATCTTTTGACTTTTTCTTCCATGTGCTATATCTTTTTTTTTTCTTTTTTTTTGGCACCCGTTGTGACACAGCGGCTACAGGAACCAGCTGTGTGGAGGCACCTAGCAGCAGCGAATGTTCTGTGTATTGTATTTTAGCTTGATGACTGAGGCAGCTATGCGTGGTCACCTGAACCTTAGAAGAGAAAAGTAGGTGCTACACGGCGCTAAAGTCGGATTGGCACACCTGAGCTCACATCGATCGACTGCCGTCGATGTTAGATGCTGCCGCCGATGTAAGGTGCTGGCCGAGACAGCAACAGGTCGAACCCTTGCTGGGAGCCCATCCCCTGCAACTAGACATACATCGTAACAGTGAGCTGCAGCATTTGGAGCGATAACTAGGTATGTTTGCATTTGGTGTTGCAAAAGCACACCGCGCAATGTGCGTTGTGCAGTGTCCGTTGTGCAGTGTCCATGCATTGTGTAACGTCCATGGATCGACGTACTCTACGCATAACTCTTGCACGGGCTCTTATGGCACAGCTAGAAATCTGCAGTCGGCCGTCAGAGTGTCGCACTTGCCCCCAAAGAAACCAAACCGAGAGCCAGCTTGGACGGAAATCAGTACAGGCACCTCGATGTACTGCTGCTGCTTCTACTAGCGCCGGTGCAAGTGTACCAATCATCTTCAAAAGGCCTACATCCTGTCCTTCAGTTACATCGCTGTCAACACCTCCAGCACAAAGCGAGCATGTTATCGATCGCACAAGGCAACTGTTGGAGCAAACAGTAGCTGCTTCTTTATTTTATTTCATTTACTTTATTCCATTTCTTTATCTTTACTTTGCTCTACAATTTTGTAGGGAGAGAAAGGAAAAAGAAAAAGGGAAAGGAAAGGAGGAACGGAAAGGAGGGAAGGAAAGAAAGGGAAGGGAAAAAAAAGAAAAGAGAAAAAAGAGAAAAGAAAAAAGAGAAAAAAAAGAAAAGAGAAAAAAAAGAAAAGAGAAAAAAAAGAAAAGAGAAAAAAAGAAAAGAGAAAAAAAAGAAAAGAGAAAAAAAAGAAAAGAGAAAAAAAGAAAAGAGAAAAAAAGAAAAGAGAAAAAAAAGAAAAGAGAAAAAAAAGAAAAAAGAGAAAAAAAAAAAACGGCTTGCCATCGGTCGACCTTACTCAGAAGAGTAAAGGCCGTGCAGGGCACACCTCGAGCAGGTTGCAAGCCATGGTGCCCCAAAAAACCACGAATGTGGGAAAAAAAGAGTGGATCTCACGCAGCAACTCACCAACCCCCGCTGACCCATCTTTTTTTATTAGCCCTCGAACCCCATGTGCAACCCCCAATCGCGCAGAACAATGCCCTGATCATCACCGGCACTAGACCTACCAGGGTGTTCTTGGCAACACGAAGCCGCCCCGTCAAGCGCAGAGCAGACCACATGGGTCACAACAACAAAAAATGGCGAAAAGTGTTGCGCTCATTGCTGTTCAGAACGGAACTGCTGTTCAAGAAAAATGCAGAGAGGGGGGCCCGCTCTTCGCCGCCCACTGGTAGCCCTAGGCCTCAGAAATGGGGCCGCTCATCTTTGATTTTTTGTTTTTCGATTTCATTTTCATGGTTTTTTCGTGTTCTTCGTCCCGGTGATGAACAAAAAAAATTAGAAACGAATACGGAAAAAAAAAATACGGGGGAAAAAAAAACAACCGAAGCAGAAAAAACAGAGAACCCCGCTGTGTGCTCGTACAGTTGACTTTGCGGTGTACAAAGTCCAAGAAAGCTCTAGGAAAGGTGGGAAGAAGGGGGAAGGAGAGCGACAGAGAGAGAGAGAGAGAACAATGGGGAGGTGAGCGACGATATCAGAGTGGAGGTGCAAAGATTGGAGGCACAAAGAGTGTAGGCACAAAGAGTGTAGGCACAAAGAGTGTAGGTACAAAGAGTGTAGGCACAAAGAGTGTAGGCACAAAGAGTGTAGGCACAAAGAGTGTAGGCACAGAGAGCGCAGGTGCAAAGAGTGGAGGCTCAAAGAGTGCAGGTGCAAAGAGTGGAAGCATATAGTGTGGGGCTGTGAAGAGAGGAGTGAAGAGAGTGCAGCTGTGAAGAGAGGAGTGGAGAGAGTGCAGCTGAATGTTAGTACTTACCTTGACGTTGAAGCAGTGACAAGGAGAAAAGAAAGAGAAAAGAAAAGAAAAGAGTGAGGTACAACGGCTGGTTTACATACCGCCAGCGCCACCATCAGCGCCACCATCAGCTGGAGCCATTTACGGACGAGTGCATTGCGGAGGCGCATGCAGAGAAATACCCAGCACCGATAGCTGTATCGGTAGCAACATCGATTGCAGCAACACTAGTGGACGATACTGCTCTCAAAACGAGACAAGAATAAGTAATAGTAACAGCAGGGAAGAAGAGCGAGGGCAAAGAACGCAGACACGCACAGTGGAGACAATGGTGCTCTTTCGCAGCAGCACGCTTGTAGGCAGTGGCTGCTGAACACGTCTCAAAGCGACTCTTATCTGATCGGATCAAACTATCCACTTTGGAACACACCTTGCTGAATGGGCCCCTTCAATAGCTGATTTACGATCCATAGTTTAATGCTCCTGTGCCTGGATCAAATAAAGGAATATCACCCACTGCAACCGCTAGCGGGTGACAGACTGGCACAAACCCTGTAACGCACATCAGTAAATACGCCAAAAGAGAATGCTACAAGTAACAGCACCCGCGGGGACCTAATAGAGCCGCACCGCTAACACCCTGCAGCGTCTTCTGCAGTGCAGCCCTGTGTGATCACAAAAAATAAACCACCGATCCCAGGATCAGAGTCATCAGCAATGAGGATCGCGGCAGGCGGCAATGAGCAACAGCAGCCCTGCCGCTCTCCATGCTAACACAAACCAAGGTATTCTGCGGAGAGCAAGGAGCGGGTCCTATCTCTGTCTTCGGGCCTTCTGGTCACTGTGGCCTGACCAGGGTGGTCTAACCCTGTGCGCTCCACGCGTATGTGGCCCATGCATTTGATTCTTGATGTAATTGGAGCTCTCTTTGTTTACAGCCTAAATTTGTGGCCCAAGCACTGCACTCCCAAAGAGGCTGTGGATTTGGTTGGTGCAGCGACCATCATTGGGCTGCTGATACTGCCTCACCTCATTTTGCTCCTCCGACATGGTAGCGGTGTTCTGGGGTCCATCCATCCTGGAACACTCCATTGAGGTGCTGAAGCGATTGAGGGTCAATGCCATGTTTGAACACTGGTTGCGCTGCGAATGCTGCTCTGACGAGCTGAACGAGGCGCATTAGACAAAAGTAGTGCTTCCTCGACGGGAAAAGCATTGGTACTGACGATATCCTCTTTAGGCGGGCGTTCTACTTCACCGGCGGCCCCTGGTCGCCTGCTTCCGTAAATGCGTTGCTGCTGGCGCAGCTTCTAAGCTCAGTGATCGGTTGATAGGCCTCTGCTTTCTTTGTCTTCAACTGCTGAAGATTACTCTGCTCTAACTACCTTACCATTGCCCGGCATCAGAACCGTAGACAATTGTGTCAGCTTCTGTATCTGGTATGTAACAAAAATCTCCGTCTTGCCTGCCAGTAGTTTCCTGGACAAGGAGCCTTTCCATTTCGACCCGCAGGACTATTTGGCGTAGCGAAATCAAGATAGTCCCACAACTACAGCAACCGTGGCCAATGTAAAAAAGAGATAAAGATGCCTCATCTTCCCCCACACACACATCCATAAAGGTCTCTCGCTCTGCGCTCTTTCCTGTCCTCACATTCTCGTCTGTCGTCTTTATCCTACTTCCTCGTTTACTCTTTAGCTCACTATCCACCCTGCATACAACGGCGGCATCATATCCCGTAATCCTATTGTACCCCACATTCAACGTTCGCCCTATAATCATTTTAAAGTCCGGCCAATTTGCGCACAACACTATCGTTAAAGCTCACTTGTGAGTATTGATCTCGTAAGATTCGCTAGACCTTGTCGTCTTCCCACGATCCTTTGCTCACCTTAACTTATTCACTACTGTACTATCATTAGTATCATTGCCTCCTCCTTGGAACAGCTAAGTTTCTTTCAATATACCGTCTTTCCGCTCCTGCGAGTCTCGTAAGCTCACAACTGTGTCGCCTTGGCGTTTCGTCGGTGGAGTTAATGGACCAATTGATGCGTATCACTCTATTAATCTCGGACCACTGTCACTTGTACACTTGTCTTTATGTGTATTA